AATCCATATATTATATCAAGTCTTTGAGGCGTCCAAAATCTGAGTCTCTCCCGTGACCATGATTGCTGTAAAGCATTCGAAAAGACAGGAACCAAAAATCAATATAAATTATTTGCTTGCCATATCAAAATGATAACACGATTTGCTTATAAAATAAACAATTTATATTATCTTAATCATCATTACTTGTACTAACATAAAAATGCTACTTCGAGGGCTTAGCTCAATCTTATCTAGTTAATATAATAATATGTGAATATCATGTGCTTGTTAGTTTCTTTGTTTCCCTTCATTCGCTCCAAAAGGATATTTTTTTATCATCTTTGTAAGAACTTTTTGACCTTAAGTAGTTAGCGTTTTATAGAGACTTCTTGTCTCTGTAAATTGGTTACGGAAAACGTTATGTACTCGAAATTAATGAAGTAAAAAAAATCTGCTTTTGATTGAAAAAATTGGTTGTCGCAACTCTAATCAGAAACTCAGTGAGCTGCCAATAACTTTTTTCTATTAGACTAAAGAAAATGTATTAAAGCCATAAAGGGTCTGAGTAACCAAGGTCGAGTCACCACTCGTTTCAGAGGAAAAAAAACGATACATTTAAAATGAAATCTTGGGGTCTTTGAAATAATTTTCATTTCAATCGCAAGCATCCCCCCGCATAGCAACACCTACAAAGGATGATTGTGGCCGAATCGTTTGATGTTTCTGATAAACCGCAATAGAAAATAATGGCCTAAAGCTATATTCTGAAATAAACAGTATTTTTGGCTTCCTTTGTACTCGGAGGCTGTATGAAAAGAAAACTTATACATTTTTGTGGAAATTAATTGGGAGGGGAGGTATATTGAAAAATTCATTTTACGTCCAATTTCTTGCTTACTTTCGATTATTTTTAAAATAAAAAAATAGTAGACGTAGATAGAGAGTATATATATATATATATATATATATATATATATATATATATATATATTTCACCCTAGTGACAGAAGAGGATAGTTACAGAGCACGTACTCCAGTCCAACAACACCGCGACGACACCCCGATGACACTGCGACGACACCGTGACGACACTCCGACGACATTTTTAAATTTGGACCGATAATAATTGTTGTTTTTTTATTGATAAATAACCAGTGTTAAATCTTTTTTATAAATCAGTACAAAAAATGAGATTTAAATGATGCTTTTTTTAATAAATATTTTATGTTGGATTTTTTACTTATTTAGAAAAAAGCTAAAAAACATGATAACTTAAAAATAGTTTACTTTTGCATAATGCATATGGGGGTTAAAATTATAGCAAATAGTCACCCCTGTCACCTTCTAACGGGAATACGGTGGATTACCAATAACCCTATATATACTTAAGGAAAATATTATTTTAAAAACTTTTTGAAGCGTAAATCAGGCTCTTTTAATTACGATTGATTAAAGTATTGTGTCATCAACAAACTTATTTATACTAACGACTCACACTCGCTCCGCTCGGGTTCGTTCCTAGATACGTTTCAAAGATTACTATAGATTTCTCAGAGATGAAATATTTTCCCGCAGTAAAAAGTATCCTTTATATTGACCCGGATAACCAGCTATCATCACAACAAATTTCATCAAATTTTAGTCCTGTGGTTTTCTCATGACGCGTTCCAAGGCAGACAGACAAATAGACTGACAAAAATTCTAAAAACTATAGATTCGACCTCTGTATCGATAATAATGTCTATTTCAATAAGATTTTCCGAAAAATATTTAACGTACAGATTCGACTCAGCTATAATTTTATTATATGTAGGTATAGATAGATAAGTATAATATACCATTTCATTTAAAAATATCTACAGTTATGATGCCGTTACGGGTTTTGAACACCTCTTAGAGAGATTTCACAAATTGTAAACGCCCTACTCTGAATACAAATTACGGGAAGCTTTGTTATGGCATAATTAATTTTATTGGCACGTTTCAGTTATATTTAGAAGATTTTCCTCAAAAAAAAATATAATATTTATAGTACGATACCTTAAGATTACATAAAAAGTTAGTATAGATACAGATCATGAATTCTATTTCCACTCTGAATGATAATGATGATGAATTGATATCTTATAGTAAGTAATAAATGAGCAATTCTTGTGTATATGTATATATATATATATATTCTTATTTCGCGTATCTCGTAAACGGCTCCAGCAATTTAGATAAAACTAGCAGAAGCTGCGGTTTTGCTCGCGCTAAAACTTAAAAAAACCGACTTCCGGGCACTAAAATGTAAAAAATAACTAAACGGAGGTTTTTATTTAGAATAGATACCTAATCAGATATTTTCGATGTCGCTGCCAGCCGATGCAAAGCAAATCTAATTCATTTCGATACGTAAAATATATATTTACCTATTAGATATTCATATCTTAAAATATTGTAGGCTGGCACCGACTATATATATATATATATATATATATATATATATATATATATATATATATGTATCTGGAAAACCCCTTCACCGACTTTAACTCGATTGTGAGCTCAATAGCCGACATCGCAGACATCGATAGCGCTACAAACAAGTACTTAACTGCTGAGATAAATCGTATTTTATAAACTTATCAGTACACAAGTACCCGCACATACTTCACATTACTTTCAATAAAACAAGGCACGTGATTTCTATTTATTATATCTACTGCGTAATTGTTAGAATTCCTTAGATTAACAAATATTTTGGAAATGTCATAACTTTTTTTTATTATAGATATAGAATAAATACTTAATAAATAAAATGTTTTAAAGAAGATCGTCGTTATTTAAAGTAATATTTTGATTAAGGAGAACTTTCCCGATTTCCATCGAAAGTATGTTTGTAAAATATAGTCTCTCTGTCTGTCTGTCTGTCTGTACACGATAAACTAAAAAAATGCCTAACGGATTTTCATACGGTTTTCACCAATAGATGTAGTGACTCATGAGGAAGGTTTAGAGGTATAATACATTAAGATTTTGTGTAAATTGGCTGAAATGTGACGATGATTGTTGAAGATGTCGGAAAATATCATGCCGACTGGGAGCTTTGTTGGCGTGCGTCGCATAAACTAATAAACTTATGTGAAAGCAATGTATTACAGAATTATTCCTCTTAAAAAATCCTATTAGACTCTAGCAACGCTATGTGCACGTACCCACGTAGTATAACTTTATAACTATATATTTGACGACATGTTTGGCTTAGTTTGTAGTGGCCCTACTTACTGTGCCAGCGCTCGCGGGTTCGAGTCCCGCTGGGGGCATTCATCTGTGTGATGAGCACGTTTGTACTCTAGTCATGGGTGTTTATTTTTATAATATGTATGTATTTAAAGTTAAATAATTGTGTAATGTATCAACTATCTGGTATCCATAACACAAGCGTCGTAGCTTCCCATGGAACAAGATGGTGCTGTGTCTTAATGTTCCAACATATTTATATTTATTTATTTATATTATTTATATAAGAAACCAACGTGTTTAAAGCGAAATAATATACACGCAACTTTTATTTACTGCTCTATCTCTACTTAATATCAAACAACCCAACAAGTCGCCCAGGTACAGTATTATAAAATGTCAAGGTTTGTAAATCTGTGTGTATGTTTGTTACTTCTTACGGAAACTACGTAGTTGGATGGAATATATATGTACCTTTAGTAATAAAATTTGATACAAGATGGTGCTAAAACAACTAGCCAAAAAGATGAAAAGTCAATTTTTTATTAAGTCGGAAAAGATTCCTAGGGACGCACCTGGCGTTATTTATACGAACATGGTATTTCTGTAATCCCATCACACAATTTATATGTTGCATACGTAACGTAATCTATATAATTTAACCTATATTTATTTCCAATATTTTTCAATAATAAACGGAAAAGGTAAATATTATTTATAAACTTCATGAAAACATTTGAAAATAAAAATATTTCAATAGAAATAAATAAGGCTAATACCTTTCAATTTACATTAAGAGCTTTTGATTTCTGCAAAAGTTTTATTGAATAAGATTTGCCACTTTGATTTATTAATTTTAAGCTCCGACTTTGAAGTTACTATGCTACGATTTTAAGTAAAAATAATTTACGTTTCAGACTGGTTTAAAAGAGAAATCTAACTTCTTACTTCTTCCCGCAATAATAAAGCAACAGATCTACATATTTTGCCAACTCTAGTTTATAGATGGAGTTTAGTTTGTTTATGATACTTTATTATATCTTAATTTCACTTTAGCCTTAAATTATGGTTGATAAAAACAACTCTTGCTCAACAACGCTCGCTTGGAAGACGGAGTGCAGCGGGTTCAAATCCAGAGTCTCGCACCTCTGATATTTTCATGTGCGAATCATTTCTAACATGATTACCATTTGCTTGAAGAAAAACATCGCTAGGAAATCTGTATGTGTGAGAGGACCTAGCAAGTTTTTGAAAGGCATGTGAAGTCCGCCAAACCACACTTGGCCAGCCAGTGGTGGACTATGGTCTGATCCCCCTCACATTGAAGCGGAGGCCAATGCTCAGCAGTGGGACGTTAAAAAGGGCTGAATACATACATACATACATACATACAAAATTAACTACCTTCTAAATTATAGCTACAAACTGTGTCATATAGACGGCGAAATTGTAAATTATTAATTTTGCCATTAATCGACTCTGAAACCAATATATATATACAAAATATCTACAATTATTTTTTAAATATTATTGGTCTACATACATACATACATACATACAAAATTAACTACCTTCTAAATTATAGCTACAAACATATATATATATATATATATATATATATATACAAAATATCTACACTTATTTTTTAAATATTATTGGTCACATAGCTGTATAAAGCATGTAGTGGTTAACATGCTTTATACAGGTATGTGAGTGGATTATTTGAACAATTTTATCTATCGCCCCTATTAATATATAAGACTATTCTCTTTCTAAGTATAACAGAAACTTTAACGATGGATGGAAAAGTGTTTTTAATTACGTATTTTTTATTCATTGGTTTTTCACAAACAGTAGAAGACAATGAATTTAAAACCTATAATAATTACAAGTGGTATAACGTGCAAGGCAGCAAAAATGCGTTGGAAGAATTGAAAGAAAAAATGTTGGAGAAAGATGTAAGTCATTATTTTGATATATTTTTTTATTTTTTTATTATAATATGTGCAATGAATTGTATATTTATTTTGTGTATATCGGAAATGGAGGAGGAGGGAATGGAGGATTCTTCGCTACTTGAATATAGACAAACTAAAACGGTCGGTGTGTGTGTGTACTCTCAATTTTAATCAAGAACCTTCTGTGTTTTCCGCACAGTACTGCTACAGTAGAACCCTTGTTTTCAAGCATTAATGTTATGAAAATGAAAGTTAAAAATAAACTTTCTACGACCACAATAAAATGAACTTTACACACAGAATCTGAAATTAAAAATTGTTTTAAGTTTGATGGTACAAATGAATATTGTAAGAAATTCAATAAAAATATATATGATTTCATAAACAGATGAAACGGAAAACCAAGAAGATTTGCAAATTGAAAATGATATGGTAGCTGATAATATCTAACAATATATATTATATATTTTATGTATTCAGCCCTTTTTAACGTCCCACTGCTGGGCACGGGCCTCCCTTCAGTACGAGGGGAATCAGGCCATAGTCCATCACGCTGGCCAAGTGCGGTTTGGCGGACTTCACATGTCTTTTGAAAACTTGCTAGGTTCTCTCAGACATGCAGGTTTCCTCACGATGTTTTCCTTCACCGTTAAGACAAGTGATAATAATGTTGGAAATGTTTCGCACATGAAAATACCAGAGGTGCGAGACCCGGGATTTGAACTCGCTTCACTGGGTTTCCCAAGCGAGCGCGTTACCACTGGGCTACCACTGCCTATATATATTTTATAATGATTGTTAAATCTATTTTATTTTCAACTTTATTTCGTTGCTCTAATTAAGTTTGTTAAAAACATGAGCTTTTGTCTATAATTCCTTTCCTGTATGTATTTTATATATTTTTATCGTTAAATAATTCCTAATAAGAAAAATTTAAATTTTTTAAAATAATAAGTACAACTTTCTACAGATTTTTTTATGATAATACTTTTTTTATTTAAAAAGTTTTTTTAATTGTTGTTTTACACTAGGATGGGGTTGGCAACACGACTAGATACTACATAATCTAATACATATATAAATATCTCGTGTCACGGTGTTTGTGGTCGCACTCCTTCGAAACGGCTCGACCGATTTTAATGATTTTTTTGTATATTTGGTAGGTATGAGAATAGGTCGTAAAGTATTTTTCACCCTCATACCCCCATCTTTTAATCGCGATTTCACTATTTTTATATGAATAGTATTATATAAGTACATAGCGACGAACCCAAACGAAGCAAGGGTGAGTCGCTGTATAACATAAAGCCAAGGAGATTTCTTTGTAGATTAAACGCGGGCGTAGCTGCGGGTTCTGCTAGTATGAATATATAGTTTCGACAGCTAAAATCTGAAATTAATATTTTACGCATTTGTAACAGTAGTTTGATAGTGTTTTCAAAATCAGTATTACTAGGAGTAGATTACATAAGATATACTATACACTTATATATATATATATATATATATATATATATATATATATAATGATCCAATTAGGTTCCAAAAAATCTAAATCAATCCCAAATAGACTTTTAGCTTCTATAAAAAAATCCATCTACAACATTTTCCAGGTTTTCCCCCGTATTTGTATGAATCATACATTCCTTTACTCTCTACTAAATAAAGAACGCATTGTTCTTCAAATTAAGTGTAGGATAAAACTGTTGATTCCAGAAAAATTATAAAAATACCTTTTATTTTTCAGAACTCGCTCATTTACTTGAGCGGTGTAAAAACAAATGAAATCTTAATTGCTCCAGAATTAAATTCATTTTTTCTAGAAATATCTTCTAAGGAAAAATTGAACGCAACGCTACTACACGACGACGTTTCTAAGTAAGTTTTGTTTTTATTTACAGGCTTTGGAAAAGAAAACTAGAGCGAGGTCTCATTGTATTTTATTTTCCCTTTTATTATATTGCATGAATAAATGTTTAGCTATTAATTCAAAAGAGCCTTATATTTTACAAATGTGTGTATACAGTCTTATAATAAATGTTAACTTATTATATAACTAGCGAATCCTTCGCTTCGCTCGGGTTCGTCCCTATCATGCTTCTCCATACAAACGTTTATCCCCAGATTCATCCTCTTAAGGGATGATTTCCGGGATAAAAAGCTTCTATGTCCTTTCCAGGGTCTCAAACTATCTTCTTACCAAATTTCATCTAAATCGGTTCAGTAGATCCAGAGTTTACCCCCTACAACGTCACAAACTCATAATCTTTACCTCTTTATAATATTAGTATAGATGAAGTAAATTCTATTTTAATTGGTGTTATTTTGGCTATTAACTAACTTAATTTTCTACTTTGAAAACTAACTTTTTGGCAAAGTACTTAAGTGAAGTAGGTACTTACTCTAACAATAAATAACATTTAATTCATGTTTTTTCACGTAAACCACTTTTATAGACTAGAAACAGCCATTTTAATATACACTATTGAAATTTTATTACTAACAGTAGCCTATATTTTACTCCATGTTATAAACCTATCTAAGTATTTATTAAATTTCATCGAAAATGGTAAAAACGTTTTAGGATGAAGAAATAACAAACAAACAGACAAACACACAAACAGCATGTAGAATGGTAATTTGAGTTGTTTTTAGGGTTCCGTACCTCAAAAGGTAAAAAAAGAACCCTTATAAGATCACTATCTTGTCCGTCTGTCTGTCCCTGTGTCACCACCGAATATCTCAGGAACGGGTGGATCTAGCAAGTTGAAATTTGTACCAGATACTGAAGTCTTTAGTCCCTATAAGGTGTATAAAAAGGTCCTACGTCAACACGATAGGGCAAATTTAGATTTTCGCGAAAACTTGTAAGTACCCAAACGTAACTTAATTTTCAACTTTTTTATTTTTCGAAATTTTCCCTTTACTTGAGATGTAAGACCATGCTTTTAACCAAAATTGACAATTCTAGGTCAACCGGAAGGTTTTGGGTCGAAAACTTATAGGGTAGTTCCGTTAACCTAGAATCACGAAATTTGGAAAAAAGAAAGGTCTTACAGGAAAAATTCTAAAAAGTTGAGAATTAAAGTTAAACAGATTTCCTACAAATTTGTACGGAACCCTCAGTGTGCGAGTCCCACTCGCACTTGTGCAGATTTTTTTAAATATATTATGACTTTCGAAGACTAGAATTACTACCATTTTGAAATACATTCATGTAATAGCAACATTATTGCGTCTATTCGATGAAACAAAAGAACTCTAACAGCCACTTTAATGACCTAGGTACTTTCAGAATAATTCGATAAGAAAAACCTCCAGCCTGGAGATACGGTAAACAAAAATTTTCATGGACTGCATATTACGACGTTGATCAAGTAGGTACTTTACAAACTTTTTTGTTTTAATTGGTAAAATCGATCTGGAATCAAACTATTGAGTTTTGTGTTTTCTTTTTAACGTCACAATATACTATATTGTAGCATATATATGACTAACACAGTCGCCAGATGTAGAGGATTCGATTCCCGCACACGACATATTGTTATAAAGATGGAACAGAGGGCTTGGTGTGATGAGTGGTTGGAACACACTTCTAAAACTATATGAACACTTCCAGGTTTTTTTTAAATGTTATGTAAAAATCGTAGTAGGCAACATTGTCTTCAGATTCTTCGGTCTTACTGAATTTTTCAAGGTATCTTAAAGCATTTTTTTCGGAAGTCGTTAGAGTTATACCTCTCAGCAAGAGTAAATTATAAGCTCAAGAAAATATCAAGTTTGACCATGGCCTATTATATTTATTTGCCAAATACAAAAAAATATGCTTCATTGGCCTTCGAGACTAATGTAGCACGCTTTCCAGATATACGAATATTTATCAAGTATGAAAAAAGCCTATCCAAAATGGACGGAGGAAATAGTTGGCGGGAAGAGCTACGAAGGTCGACCGATACGTGGCCTTCGCATCAATACCCCAGCGGAAGAAGGAGTAGAAAAACCAGTGTTTTTCATCGAATCAGGTCAGCAATAATAAAAATTGTTTTGAAAAATATTCAATCATTATCTAGGGCATTAAAGTTGTGCAATCTGTTGAAATAATAAATTTAATTGTCAATATTTAGATTTTAAGTTTATTTATATGATGTCTTATTTTTAATATAAAGTAAATTATAAAGGTATATTTTATTGTTATTAATTAAAGGCTAAGTTTGTAGTGACCTTACTTGCTGTGCCAGCGGTCGCAGGTTCGAATCCCGCTGAGAGCATTCATTTATGTGATGAGTGTGTTTATACTACAGTCATGGATGTTTATATTTATACTATGTATGTATTTAAAGCTATATATGTGTAATGTATCAACTATTTGGTATCCTAACACAAGCCTCATAGCTTACTACGGAACTAGAAGTTGCTGTGTGTTAATCTTTCAACAAATGGTAATAGAATTCGGAAGTAGAGTATAAATATATTTTTTTTTATTTTATTTATTAGACCACCAACAAAGTAAAAACTAAACACATTATAACATACATGTAAAATAGAACATATAGAGTAGTACCTTAATTATAGGTGATAACGACATTTAAATCGTAAATCATTCTACTTTGCTAAAAATCTTATGTGTCAATTTCCTTTAATTATTATTACGACTATCAATTACTATTGATTTTTGAACGATGCCTTCATCATCTCTAATAGGGAAAACTTTAAATAAAGTCTAAGGGATTCTAATTCACGACCTACACCTTTATATCTGGTGCCAAGAAAGCACCAATATGATATGTTATATACCCACACTTCTACACTTATACTTATGCGAAAGTTTATACACACGTGTTTGTATATGTGTGTTTATGTATTACTCTTTCACACTGAAAGAGCTGGACCGATTTGGATGAAATTCAGTATAAAAATAGACTATACCTAGGCTACTTTTAGGCATTTAGCACCCGAGCGAGTCCAGGGTAAATTTCTAGTTATACATTGAACGTTAATCTAATATTGATATTAATTAGGTATACACGCACGGGAATGGATCGCACCCGCCACAACAACATACTTCATCAATCAATTGCTTACAAGCTCCAACCCTAATGTAACTAGACTGAGGGATCAGTTCGACTGGCGAATCTTCCCTACTGTTAATCCTGATGGATATCATTACAGCTATATATATGTTCGTATTTTATTATTTCTTTAATATTAATCAATACTTTCAATCTTTGCTTTGCTTTTATATAAGAAATAATCAGTTTTAGTTAGCTTTAGATATGAACTGTATGTGTGTAAAGTTTTATATATATATATATATATATATATATATATATATATATATATATATATATATATATATATATATATATATATATAGGGGAGAGGGGGGCACCTTTGAACACTTTTTAGTTATTAAATTAAATTTCTCATATGGTATTATAAATCAAGATGTATTATATTTTATAAATAGATATGGGGCTTATACTAAATAATAAAAATGATATTTATTTATTTTGACCCATCAAACTAGAGCAATTTCCATTTTTTTTAAACCATATTTTCTTCAAATCTGGCCCGAAAATCAAAAAAAAATAACCCGTAAAGATAGTTTTCCTTAAAATATCAAATTTTCGCGTAAATCTACGAAAGTATTATACATTATTTATTATAAAAACTTAAAAAAACCGACTTTCAGGCACTTAAATGTTAAAATTAACTAAACAGGGGTTTTCATTTAGATTAGACGCCTAATCAGATATTTTCAAAGTTGGTCCAAATTCGGTTAAAAATAACAATTTAATACTTTACAATAAGTATTTTCAACTATACTTTCCAGGACAGATATTGGAGGAAGACTCGATCTGTGTCACCAAATGGCTGCAGAGGAGCTGACCCAAATCGCAACTGGGACTACAACTGGGGACGTGAGTAATTAATTACAAAAGTACCGTACACTCTTGTACTATTAATTTAGATCGACGGTTTGGTACTGTGGTCAGTATTTGTTTCTTTCTTTTTGGTGACGAGTTCGATTTTTGCGTGAAAAAATAATTTTAACTATAACTTAATTAGTTTATTTTAAGAATCTCAAATGAAATAAATAAATATTATCTATTCATAATATAATAAAATTCTGAGTCGAATCTTTTCATATCACACGTTTTTACATTAACATTTAATATTTTTTGGAAAGCCTTATTAAAATAGTCATTATTATCGATGCAGAGGCCGAATGTATAGTTATTAGATTGTTTTGATTTTCTGTCTCTCTGTCTGACTGTCTGGGAACTCATCACGAGAAAACAACTGGACAGATTTGGATGAAATTTGGTATGATAATATCTGGTTATCCGGGTCAACAAATTTTCTGCGGGAAAATATCTCAACTCTGAGAAATCTATACTAAACGTTAAAACGTAATTAGAAATGAACCCGAGCGGAGCAAGGGTGAGTCGCTAGTTTCAATTATATAGCAATTCTAAATACTTCTATTTAATTTTAAAACTTATCGATTAGCTATTTATTGGTCAGTTTTCATTAACAGACCAATAAATTTAGACCAATAAATAGAGATCAATTTAAGAGAATCAAGGTACAGCCTTGAAGATATTCGCAATTTTAATTACTGAAATTTAATAAGGTGACAGAACTTTCAACAACAATATTAAAAAAAAGATGACTATTTAACGCCTTATTTAAAAATTAGCACGTTTTATTTTCACTTGTGACGCAGAATTGCCATAAAAAACACCAAAACTGTTGGTTTTTGTCATTGTATTCTATTTCAAGTCAACAATTACTTTTATTACTTTTAACTATTTAATATATAAACCAATGTCCTTGAGTTTAATGAAATGTCAAATCATAAAATGGCGGAAAAATTCAAGAGTCAAGCATCATTATATGAATACCTTATCTCCACCGTGTCTTCTCCATTCTACACGACACTCACGAACTAATCTGTGCCAAAATGGCACGCTTAAAAGCCAAATAACAAAGAATTGAATTGAATTACATGACATTAACACACAACACCATCTAGTTCCATGGTAAGCTACTAGGCCTGTGTTATGGATACCAGATAGTTGATACATTACACATATATAACTTTAAATACATACATATTATGAATATAAACACCCATGACTGAAGTACAAATATTCATGCCCAAAACACAAATGAATGCCCCCAGCGGGACTCGAACCCGCAACCGCTGGCACAGCAAGTAGGGTCACTGTAAACTGAGCCAAACGTGTCGTCAGCCAATTGTATCATTCATTATATTTGTTCCAGAACATTCAACATCTAGCAACCCTTGCGATTATCAGCTCTACGCAGGCTCCCGTCCATTCTCTGAAATCGAGACCCAGACTCTCTCCGACTATATTTCAGAAATAGATAACCTTTTATTCTACGTAGCTTTCCACTCTTACGCAGCACTTCTACTTGTGCCTTATTCTGATTCCACTGAACATATCAACAATTATGATGATTTGGTAAGTAATATGATGATGTTCTCCTGACTGATTCCGGCCACTGCGGCCAATCTCATTGAGACTAGCCAACTGCGCAGGAGATATTATAGTGCTCAAGTGTACGCAGACACAACGTGCACTCTCTATTCCTGTCACTCTCATACTCCGGTGGGACGACTGCTCGACACGACCAGTGAGAGTTAAGGCGCAGGACCGATGGCTTTACGTGCTCTCCGAGGCACGGGGGTGAAACCCCGCCAATTTCCCAACTGCGGGCTGTTACTGAGGCTTACTTATACAGAAAGACTCGATAACTAAACTTGGCCCGACCCGGGACTCGAACCCAGGACCTCCGGGTGCGCAGCCGTACATGCTAGCCACTACACCACCGAGGCAGTTTGGTAAGAATATAACCTATATTTAAATAGGTAAAGACAAAACACTTCAGTACCTTTTTCTCCTCCATTTGCATTCGATTTTCTTTTGTGTTTTTTGTTTAATACCTCTTGACTAGCTTTAGTGTTACCAAAAAAAATTCTATATTCACTTATTTTCCTCAAATTTTTAATAATGATTATGGTCAAATTTTGAACACTCTGGGAACACTAATTTTGTAAATTAACTCAGGGAACCTAATTTTACAGTGATGACCGCTTACAATACATATTCTACGTGTACAATACTTTCATAATATGTTTTCTATACATATAATAAAATTGTAACTAAGCCGAATCTGTAGATTAAATATTTTTTGGAAAATCTTATTGAAATAAACATTATTATCGATACAGAGGCCGAATCTATAGTTTTTAGAATTTTTGCCTGTCTGTCTGTCTGTTACCGCATCACAGAAAAATCACTAGAGCGATTTTGATGAAATTTGGTATGATGATACCTGGTTATCCGGGTCAACATATAGAATACTTTTTACCGCGTGAAAATATCTCATTTCTGAGAAAGAATACAAAAACTGCAATGTAAGAGTATACTAATATGTAAAACCTAAGAATGTGGATTTTGGTCATCTGAACACGGGCGAAGCCGCGGGCAATGCTAGTAGTATATATTAGTCAAGCTATAGTAATTTTTTTATATAATTTTGTGTAGTCGTTAAAATATTTTATAATAACAACAAAGATAAATATTCTGTTCATATGAACATTTTCAATCATTTAATATGGAGAGGTTGGTTTTAAACACAAATAATAGCAACAATATAAAATAAACTCAATACTTTTTTAAGGTTCAAATAGGTAAAGCCTCCTTGGACTATGGATATAAAGTAAATAAAGAGAGGTATGAGGGACCGGGTACAGCTGCAGAAACTTTGTGTAAGTTCTAGCCATGACACTTTCATTTCTTAATCGTTTCATAGAATAACAACTTTAATATAACTTTAAAAACAAATATTTTACTTTTAGAAGTGAAAATAACCTGATATAAACAAACTTTTTTTATTCAACCTATTCCATCAATCACAAAAGTACTAGATACGCATTCCCATACAAAAGTTCTCTTAAAACTGTTACCAATTGTGTTTAGGTAATTATTCTAGTTGATATAAATATACAACAACGTAAATTGAACCTTAAATGCAATGCTTAAGTTGTTTTCACAAAACAAAATAATTAAAAGCGCGCTCAAATGTTCAATTGGGCGCTCATTCGATGAGAACATTTTTTGTCGCTGATTGAGTATCTAGTACTTCTTTGATTGATGACCTATTCATTAAAAAAATATTATCAAAATCCGTTCACAATTGGCGCAAATATCGCATATAGGCACACTCACTAAAGAAAAAATGTGCACACATTAGTTACTTAATTGTAAATAACCCTCCTTCTAGCAAAGTCGGGTCATAAAGAAGGGGTATAATTGGAAAGAATAATACTTACCTAAAGAAACACTAAAAATTTCCTTTTATTGCCCATTAATGTGTCAATTAATGAAAAACATTACAATTTTTTCAAACGGCTTTAAACAAATTAAGATATGTTAGGACATTAACACACAGCACCATCTAGTTCCATGGGAAGCTACGAGGCTTGTGTTATAGATACCAGATAGTTGATACACTACACAAATATTAACTTTAAATTAGTACATATTATAAATATAAACACCCATGACTGGAGTACAAACATTCGTGCTTATCACACAAATAAATAATCCCAGCGGGACTCGAACCCGCCACTACAAACTAAGCCAAACGTATCGTTATACCTCAATATTTAGGTTTAAAACTTGCAGACAAAGCGTCAGGAGGCAGTATGGACTGGGTCAGATATGCTCTGAATACTCCACTGGTATATACGTATGAGCTTCGAGGATCGTCTTTCCACTGGCCACCTTCAAGGATTTCAGAACAGGGGGAAGAAGTTACCCAAATGCTACTAGGTTTGGCCACAGAAGCAAATAAACTAGGATATCACTAGTATATTTTGTCACGTTAATATCACTTGTTATTCATTAAAAGGCTAATGGCCGATTTCACCAACGTCACCTAAGTTTAAGGGATCCCCTAAGCATGGTTAGGGGGCTGTTAGGGGACAGTTTCTGTTTCACCGACAGTCAGGGATCATCTAAATATTAAAAAGGCCTCCTAAATTTAGGTGCTCGAAATATGGGCTTTAAGACGATCGTAAAACGAAAATTAATTTAGGGGCTAGTTTAGGGGACTTTTAAGCTAGGGATCCTATACGTAGGTGGTAGCTTATGGATTGTTGGTGAAATCGGGCATAGGTCATGTTTTTTTTGTTAATTTTTCTGTCAATTTCAATTTTTCTAGATATATTTATGTATTCAAATTTACTTATGTTTAAATTTACATTTGGTATTAAATTCAAATTAAAATAAATTCAAATAAATGTAACTTTTATGAAATAAATAAAGATGAAACTAAAATATTTGATTTATTTATTTTAGCGACTCACCCTCGCTCACTCGCATGGTGATTGATTCCTAGATGCGTTTAGTACTTATTAATATCATTTCTAACATGATTACCACTTGCCGTACGCTGAAGGAAATCATCCTGCATATCTGACAGAACCTAGGGAGTTTTCGTAAGACATATGAAAACATGTGAAGACTTGACCAGGATGATACTAAAGACCGTGCAAAGTGGATACACTAAGCAGGAAGGCAAACCCTGGCAATAGCCGGGATTAATAATGCCAGGCACAAGAAGATGTGAAGTCCGCCAACCCGCACTTGGCCAGCGTGGTGGACTATGGCCTGATCCCCCTCGTATTGAAGGGGAGGCCGTTGACCAGCAGTGGAACGCGAAAAAGGTCTAAATACATAGGCTTAGGGCTATCTTTTGACAATATTTGTAACAGTAGCTTATGTTGTAAATTTCAACATAATTCGTTAGTCGTTGTTGCGTGAAGGATCAATCTATTACACGAACACTTACGATTTATCGCCGTTAATAATAGTAATTTTACATTAATGATGAACTGTAGCCCTTACAGTTTATGTGTATTTAGAACTTAGTATCTGAAAAATCTTTACAACCTGGTATATATGGTTATACCTGTACCGATTATCGGACAAATAATATATTTTTTTATTCATCAGACTAGCGAACCAATAACATCAAAGCTAAAAATAAAACAATTTTATTCGTTTATTATTATATATATATATATATATATATATATATATATATATATATATATATATATATAATTAATAAAAACTCTTTAAAAAAATCACACAACAGCTAAATATACATTTTATTATTAGCAAAAAAATTACATTACAATTATTAATACATAATACATATATTATAATACACATAGTATATAAAACAAAATCCAATAATGTGAATTTCGTTTCATTAAAATCTAATATATTATACTTTTATAATGATTATTAGGAACTTTTAATTAACTACTACAAATAAAATTTTAGATCAAAGCATGTAAAAAGTATAGGGAAATATTTAATAAAGTAGTTCGAGATGTACTCGTATGTTAGAGATTTTCCTCTTCTATTAAAGCGACTGAATCACTAGCATTCCCAACATTCCCATCTTGTAAAGGTATGTCGTTTTCTACAACTTCTAAACCAGCCTGAAATCAAACCAGGCGTTTAATATACATTAAATCTAATAAGTTTTTTAATCTATATCTATACATATAATAAAATTGTAACTAAGTCGAATCTGTACATTAAATATATTTTGGAAAATCTTATTGAAATAGACATTATTATCGATAGGTATAGAAGCTATAGTTTTTAGAATTTTTGTCTGTCTGTCTGTCTCTGTTACCGCATCACGGAAAAACCATTGGAGGGAGGAAAAATATTTAATTTCTGAGAACAAAATACAAAAACTGCATTGTAAGAGTATAATATGTAAAACCTAAAAATTTGGTTTTTAGTAATCTGAACGCGAGCCGCGGGCAATGCTAGTCTATAATAAAATTCTAACTGAGTCGAATCTGTACATTAAATATATTTTGGAAAAATCTTATTGAAATAGTCATTATTGTCGATATAGAGGCCGAATCTATCGTGTTTTGAGTTTATGTCTGCCTGTCTGGGAATGCATCACGGGAAAACCACTGGGCAGATTTTGATGAAATTTGGTATCAAAGCTGGTTTCCGGATCAACATATAGGATACGTTTTACTGCGGGAAAATATCTCGTCTCTGAGAAATCTATACTAACCGCTAAATATATTTATACATAATATACGTAATATGTTATGTACATAATTTTTTTTTATTCAAGCAATTTGTAAGAATCTTAGTGACTCGCTACATTTACTTTACAACTACAATTAGGTTAATCTATGTATTTCAGTGTAATCAGAGCTTTATTTTTTAAAAGTTAACGTTAGCGTCTTGCGAGAACGGAACCCGCTATCTGCTACATAGTAAATACATTGGAGTCAGCATGTTACACTACCACGCTACTACAGACATTTGTGAAAAATAAGATGATTTCAACATTCGTCTTCTTTAATTTCTTCCTCATCTGTTTCCTTAGCAACAGTAGGTCGCCGCTGTAATTTATAAGTATTCATGTATTTATTTTTTAATAATTTACTTTATCTTTATCTATACTAAATATTATAACGAGGTAAAGTTTGTGAGTTTGTGACGTTGTAGGGGGTAATCTCTGGATCTACTAAGCCGAATTAGATGAAATTTGTTAAAAAGATAGTTTATGACCCTGGGAAGGATATACGATAGTTTTTATCCCAGAAAACATCCCTTAAGTGGATGAAAATAGGGATGAAATTTTGTATGAGGAAGCAATCTAAGGACAAACCCGAGCGAAGCGAGAGTGAGTCGCTAGTACATATAATAAAATTCTAACAGAGTCGAATCTGTAAATTACATACTTTTTCCAAAATCTCATTGAAAAAATCATTATAATCGATACAGAGGCCGAATCTATGGTTTTTAAAATTTTTGCCCGTCTTAATTTGTCTTTTGAAAATGTTTACAATTATGGGCAGAATATAACCCCAACTTACATACACGATAGTATTAAATAAATCAAGAATTATCGAACAGATTCAAAAAATGTAGCCGTAAGAAGTTTCCTCAACATTCAAGGAAGTAAGAAAGTAATTTAGTTAACCGGAAACATCATTATCGTCAAATGTAATTGATACACATCATTAGAATAATAAAATTACGTTAAGAACCACTTACAGTGCTCTCTCTCCTTATGCTCTCCCTCCTTATTTCCTCCTTTAAAGCATCCAATTTGGTCTTATCTTCCCTTTTGAAAAAGCCAACCTAAAAACAACACGGTTTAATTTCTCTTTTCACTTAGCATTGTACACATCAGACATTTCAATACTTTCTTATATTTACGCGAATATTTGACATTTTAAATAAAACTATCTTTTCGGATTATTTTTATTACTATTATTATTTTCGGTCTCTCTCGTGACAATGATTGCTGTAAAGCCATGTTTAAAGCTTTCGAAACGTCGAGAATCAAAAATCAAAATAAATCCGCGAAAAATCCGATCAGAGATTTTATTAAATCAAAGTTATAAATTTGATTTATTTTTATTTTATTAATAGATGTTTTAATATAGAATAAAAAAAAATAACAAACGTTTAAGTGGTTAGATTAAACTTATGTTATTATTATTATATATATTAGTATATATAGCCGGAATCGGCTAGGAGAACATCATCATCATAATATTATATCTTATGTAAAACTATTTTTTTTTATTTTCTTGTGGATTTATTTTGTCGCATATCGCGCCTTAAGTCTGCGCTGCCTTTAAAAACTCTGAAATGCATCAGCATTAAAGCTAGAACGGCTATAAACGGACTTTTTATAAACTCCCTTACTTTTTCCGCAAAAGTTGTGTGAAAGAGCTTAAAATATGTACGGGTTACTTAAAAATTGTGTAATGCGTGTTTGTTTGTATCATTACGATTATAATTTAATTGTATTTTTTCTAAAAACATAAAGTAATCATTTTTATGTTTTTTTAATTCTTCTATTGCAAAATTTAAATATTTAAGCCTTTGTGGTTTTCAAAAGGTCGTTCTCCGAAGAGAGAGAGAATAGAGATTTTGTTGATCAAAGTATTAATCTACTCCAATTTCATATTGATTTTTTGATTCAACAGTAAGCAAAAAATAATAAAATGGACATTTTAAATTCACTCATTAGATATTGCCACAGTTTATTAATATATACAGTCGCTTAAGGAAGGTGTTTAGAAAGGACAATCATGTTGGGGGGAGACTCGAGTGAAGTACACTGCATTATCATACTTACATGATACTTTATATGACAGTTACGAAACAGCTTTAGGCTTGAAGGGAATGAACTTCGAAAGCATTTGCCATGAAAATTACTATTTTTTACATCATTTCCGTTAAAATCAATGGGTGTCGATTACTATATGAACTCTTACGATGTGCTATTACTATCTGTAGATGATTCTTGCTGCTATTTTTAATTTGTTAATTATATAATAATTTCTTAGATTTGATGATGATACCTAATACCTAACTTTGGTTGTATAGAAATGTATAGAGAAAAGCTTTTTGCACACTGATTTATTTTATTTATATAACCGTCTTTTACTTTCTAACAACATCAATCTAGAACACCAAATATGCTAGCCATTAGTAGAGTTGATGCCAGAATTATTAATACGAGTACAATATACCCATTTCCTAAGTAAAACCATTATTTATATGATATGTATATAACTTTGTACCATATCAATGACATTAAGTTTGAGGTAATTTGAGATCAGACCATGAAATTATTACGCAAATACAAATCGTATATTATACGAAATTATATTATGTTAACAACATTTAAGTGATGTTTTACACGCGCTCGATTTTTAGTTTTCATGACGAAATTAACGTGTGATTTATAGAAGAGTAAAAAAATTTTTTACACAAATAAAAAATACCGATTTACTCAATCGGGTTTTGTTTGAAAGTGAACTAAAAAGATGGGAACAACTTGACGTAGAAACACAGTGATGATGATGATGTTCTCCTAGCCGATTCCGGCCACGGCAGCCAATCTCAATGAGATTAGCCAACTGCGCAGGAGATATTATAGTGCTCAAGTGTACGCGCAGACACAAGTGCACTCTCTATTCCTGTCACTCTCATACTCCGGTGGGACGACCACTCGACACGACCGGTGAGAGTTAAAGCGCAGGACCGACGGCTTTACGTGCTCTCCGAGGCACGGGGGTGAAACACCGCCAACTTCCCAACTCCGGGCTGTTACTGAGACTTACTATACAGGAAGACTCAATAACTAAACTTGGCCCGACCCGGGACTCGAACCCAGGACCTCCGGGTGTGCAGCCGTACATGCTAGCCACTACGCCACCGAGGCAGTAGAAGAACACAGTATTATGTCGTCGGAGATATAAATACTTACATCATCATCATTTTACTTTAAAAAAAGATTTTACTTTAAGAAAAGATATTGGTCCCGCTGAGTTTCTTTCGCCAGTTCTTCTCAGGTCTGATGCTTCTTCTTTCCGAACTAGTAGTAGACTCATGACGTTCAGTAAAAAATTGTAATAATTTAATGCTGAATAAAATATTTTGATCTGATTTGATTTGATCTCATACGAGTACATAGATTTTACCCTCCTTTGGGCTTCACCGTAGTGGCACCGTAGTGAAAAATAACAACAAAATTGTAGTGTAGTGGGTTAAGTTTTTTTTTAATGAATGCCACGTCTTTTGCAAAAGCAGGTAATTTTTTCAAGTATGCCATTCAGACCTAAACCTCTAAAACCATTTAATCTTCGACTTAACCTTTCGTTATTTTAGTAATATTAAAAAACTTTAATTGCCCGGTGTAGTGGCTAGCAAGTACGGCTGCACACCCGGAGGTCCTGGGTTCGAGTCCCGGGTCGGGCCAAGTTTACTTACTGAGTCTTTCTGTATAGTAAGCCTCAGTATCAGCCCGGAGTTGGGAAGTTGGCGGTGTTTCACCCCCGTGCCTCGGAGAGCACGTAAAGCCGTCGGTCCTGTGCCTTAACTCTCACTGATCGTGTCGAGTGGTCGTCCCACCAGAATATGAGAGTGACAGGAATAGAGAGTGCACCTGTGTCTGCGCGTACACTTGTGCACTATAATATCTCCTGCGCAGTTGGCTAGTCTCAATGAGATTGGCCGCCTTGGCCGGAATCGATCGGGAGAACATCAATATTAAAGAAACACCAATTATAATTCATAATTACCTTTCGTAGAACCATAATGACCACGTACAAAACGAATAACGCTAACAACACAGATACCAAGATGATGAGACTCTTGTTGTGGCCGAAACTTGTATCTACTTGATATTTGACAGTCGTTGTTAATCTAAAAATAAATTATATAATTTGAACATTGATGAAATCAATTTTTTTAATCTGAAAATAGGTAAGCCGATTTTGATAAAACTAAACGATGAGTATATATTATAATAGAATAAAATTCCAGCATAGTTGAGAATGTATAACATCTTTACAAAATAGCACTCCTGAACTATGCTTAAAAATAGATCCCAAGACAGTTGTCAACGTATGATAATCAATGACAAGGATAGTTAATATTAAAATGCCATAAGTGAGAGAGAGACAAAATAAATTCTAGAAGAATTGAGACTCGAAATATTTTCTAATTTTTGTATGCTAGAATGTTCTTTGTTTATGCATACGGAAAGCGTGGCAGTGTGATGTGATCAGTTAGAGTTCAGAGTGAGCGAAGATCGAGAAGAAATACGTAAAATGGAGAGAAGTGATAGTATAAGTGAAGTTAGTGGTGATAAAATAATACTCAGAAACTGGACTTCTTTAATTTATAAAAAATAAATTAAAAAAATATACTAAACATACTATTAATGTAATTTTATTAAGGAAATAAAAAGGCTAAATAATAATAATTATTATTATAAATTAAAAAAAAATATTTACTTACGATTTATTCAGAATCTCATCTGTCGGATTTAAATACAAGGTAAAATTTGACGTCACTTTTAACTCGCCATCGATTAAATTATCCACTGTGAAACAAAAATATTGTGTATTTTATTAAAATTAATCATTATAATTAATTACGGCGGTAATTTCAAAAGTTCTTTAAACTGCTCAAAACAAGATCAAATCTATTTAAATATTACCTAATAAACAATTTGTTTAATTACTCTGTGTTTAAACATATCCATTTATTATGTATCTTTATTGTTATTTGTAAATAAATTATTTTTTTATACTTATATTACTTTTTTTACCTTAACTTAAATTATTCAAATTACAATAATATTATCACACGACCAAAAACCAAATTCTTAGGTTTTACATATTAGTATACTCTTACATTGCAATTTTTGTATTTTTTCTCCGAAATAAGACATTTTCTCGCGGTAAAAAGTATCCTATATGTTGACCCGGATAGCCAGCTATTATCATACTAAGTTTCATCTATATTTTTCCTGTGATTTTTCCGTGATGTGGTAACAGACAGACAAAAATTCTAAAAACTATAGATTCGGCCTCTGTATCGATAATAATGTTTATTTCAATAAGATTTTCCAAAAAATATTTAATGTACAGATTTGGCTTAGTTACAATTTTATTATATGTATTTTTGTAGATAAGGCATGGTATAATACCATTAATATAATAATTGCGATAGTGTTGTTGGATGTTTGTTACACAATCACGCCAGAACGGCTGAACGGATCTGGATGAAATTTGGTACAGGGATAGATTATAGTCTGGAATAGGTACCTTTTATCCCGGAAAAATGTAAAGTTTTCGTGGCATAGATTTCATAATGTTTTTCGGTTAAAAATAAAAATAAAAACAAAAGCAATCATCTGTTAAGTTTTATAAGCGGTAATTTTTACATAATGCTATTCATATATGAGACGTTTACTAATTACATTTTCAAATACGTCACACATAAGCTCATATATGAAACGAACTCTAAAATATATCTAAATAGTTCCTTATCTATATCTTCCTATACATGTAATAAAATTCTGAGTCGAATGTATACATTCAATATTTTTTAGACAATCTTATTGGAATAGTCATTATTATCCATACAGAGGCCAAATCTATAGTTTTTAGTATTTTTGTCTGTCTGTCTGTCTGGGAACGCATCACAAGAAAACCACTGAACAGATTTTGATGAAATTTGGTATGATGATAGCTGGCTATAAGGGTCAACATATAGGATACTTTTTACTGCGGGAAAATACCTCATCTCTGAGAAATTGAATTGAGGGTGAGTCGCTAGTAATTTATATATTAGGACTTTTTAAAACAGTTAACTGTACTTACTAATTTTCTCTTTTATGATGTTCAAAGTAGTCAAAATTTTTATTGACGAATTCGGATTCAGATCAAATATACACGTAATTATTATATATTCTTCTGTGTTTTCTTCTTGAACAATTAATTCTTCTGGCGAAATGACCTAGAATTTTTTGGTATTAATATTCTAAAAATATTAAAACTGTTTAAAAAAATCTAGATAAATTTACTTACTACATAATTTTTGATAAATGATTCCTTATTTAAGACTATGATAGCATTAAGGTCTTTCCAGATAACTGTTCCATTATTAGTAGCCTGAAATAAAAATGTTTTTTATAAATAATAAAACTGACAAATTGGAGAGTCGGCGCAAAACCTAGATGCGCTTGGATGAAGTGGCCTCTTCAAATTGCTCAGGTAATATCGAGTGCAAACTTTTATCTATACTAATATTATAAAGAAGTTAAGTTTGTGAATTTGTAAGTTTGTTACATTGTGTGGTAATCTCTGGATCTACTGAACCGATTTAGATGAAATTTGATAAGAAGATAGTTTGAGACCCTGGGAAGGACATAGGATACTTTTCATCCCGGAAATCATGCCTTAAAGGGAGTGAAAATGGGGATGAAAGTTTGTATGGGGAATCAAGCTAGGGACGAACCCGAGCGAAGCGAGGTTAAGTCGCTAGTTGCCTTATATTTTAGTTATTTACAACATTTTTTATATACAACATGTACACGAATCTATTCTATCTATAATAAAACAGTAACTTAGCGAAATTGATGTGCGCGTTTCACGCAAAAAGTACTTAACCGATTTTTACTAAATTTTGTAATGATATCTTATTACTCGGGTCAGTACACTGGCAATAACTATTCATATCTATTTCAAACGTACCTAGTGATGCACCCGAGTGAAGCGAGGTTATGTCATAGTAGTATATTATAATATTATGTAACAGCTAAATTTACAAGCGCATTTAAGTTCCACGCTAACTAAAAATTACATTTTAAATTACCATTAAAAAATAAGTAATAAAATGAAGTCGCAGAAAATGTTACGATGTATACACAAATTAAAGTTAAATAATTGTTAGAAATAAATAAATAAAACCGGAATTTTATTTAACAAAGAAAATAAAATTTTAATACATATATATATGATTTTTTTACATAGTGTCGTTTTGTTTTAACTGGAATATTCTAGATATTGCCAAAAATGCAAACATCAAATCTAAAAATCATACTGATTCGTACCTTTCAAACAATTTATAAACTAATTATAGATGCAAGCATAAGTAAGGTAGATATGATTCTTGGCTGATATGAACTGCCTTGGTGGTCTAGTGACAAACATGTACGGTTGCTGATCCGGAGGTCTTGGGTTCCAATCCCGGACAAGACCCAGATTAGTTATTGATATTATATTGTCTTTGCAAAGTTGGCATAATTTCTTTCTTCATAAAGTAATTAGAAATTAATACTTACAGTATATACTTCATGAAGATCTATAAAAGGAGATTCTGTATTTTCTAAGACAAGATCAGTTACGTTTCGATCGTATTGAATCCTAAAAAAACACAAAGATAATATTATTAGTGTGGAAAAAGGTTAGGATATGGATTTAGCTTGTTAGAATCTCTAAGCGACCTAGCTAACAATATCTCAAAAAGTCCCATAGGTACATTGTACACATCATCATATCCCCTTTGACTTTTGGCATACTTGACGTTAGAACACTGTCCTAACATAATAAGGGCTACCGCGTTTGAATTCGCCGCGAGAGGCGCTAGTGTAGAGTGAGATCTCTAGAAATCTCAAATGACACTGAACGTTTACTGTTTGCGAGTTTAGAGTTAGAGAGTTTGTACATCATGGAATTTCACTAATGAATCATGATTATTGTAAAGATTGTGCCATTCCTGATTAATTATGACAGACACGATACGGCTCAACAAATGTTATTGATTTAAAAGAAAAGCTAAGAAAAAGTATACATTTTATCTATGTAAATGTAATAATTGTTTATTATATATTAATTATTTAAAACAAAACCCTGATAATCTGATGTACAAGCAAAAAATTTAAAAAGTATAGATTCGGCCTCTGTATCGATAATAATGACTATTTCAATAAGATTTTGCAATTAACAAAAAACTAAAAACCGACTTCAAACAAAAGCACTAAAAAGTAAAAAATAACTGATTGGTAGTTTTCATTTACTATACATACCTAATCAAATATTTTCGAAGTCGGTGTGCTTTGCTTTGTATGGGCTGGCACCGATTTCGAAAATATTTGATTAGGTATGTATTTAATAGGTAGGCTTTAATTACTTAGCCAAAGCACACCGACTTCGAAAATATTTGATTAGGTATGTCTATACAAAATAAAAACCGACTTCAAACAAAAGCACTAAAAAGTAAAAAATAACTGATTGGTAGTTTTCATTTACTATTAAATGAAAACTACCAATCAGTTATTTTTTACTTTTTAGTGCTTTTGTTTGAAGTCGGTTTTTATTTTTTTGTTAAAAAGTTTTTATTTTTCCCTTTTTAGTGTAGACAGTAGTAGCAAAGTAAGAATTCTAACGTGTTAGGCTTGTCGTATCAAACAAAATAAGCCCAAACTCAAAGTATCTACTATTAACCGTTGAAGAGTTCCACCTATCCACCTTCTGGCCTTACCATCAGATCAGGTCAACAATACCGAACCACTGTACTATCAACGGAAATAGAAACACTTGCAAAGTTTCAAGTCAATATGACAATTAGAAGTAGGTTAAATCCATCATTAGCTATTTTTCCACCCTTAGGGGTGGTATTTTTTTTGAAATTTAAATGGGACCAATCTGGAAGTATACCCTTTCAAACAAAACAAAAATTGTCCAAATCGGTTAATAAATGACGAAGTTCTGAGGTAACAAACATAAAAAAAAAACTAAAAAAAATACAGTCGAATTGAGAACCTCCTCCTTTTTGAAGTCGGTTGAAAAATATTTAATGTACCTACAGATTCGACTCAGAATGTTATCTATACATATAATAAAATCTAATTAAAATAGACATTATTATCGATACAGAATCCGAATCTATAGTTTTTAGATTTTTTGTCCGTCTGTCTGTCCGTCTGTCTATCTGTCTGTTACTGCATTACGAGAAAACCACTGGACAGATTTTGATGAAATTTGGTATTATGATAGCTGGTTATCCGGGTCAACATAAAGGAAAAATTTTTACCTCGGGAAAATATCTCATTTCTGAGAAAAAATACAAAACTGCAATATATAATAATAATTTGGTTTTTGATCATCTGAACGCGGGCGGAGCCGCAGGCAATGCTAGTCATACATATGTATAGATGTTAAGTTAAAAAGTTTTATTTAAATCACATACCCATCGAGATGTATGTCACTGGTGTCCAAATAATATGTAATAACTTTTTTGTCCGTTAAAGTCGCGTTGCCAATCGCCGCGCAATTATTATACAGCATCACCTTTACTTCTAGTTCTTTATCTCGATTTGTCGTTTGACTCATATCAAATATAACATCAACAGGATACTGTGAAATTTAATATTTTTTATTATATAAATAAATGGAAATTGAAATATTTAATGGATATTTTGTTTATCTATACTAATATTATAAAGAGGTTAAGTTTGTGAGTTTGTGATTTTGTGAGTTTGTTACGTTGTAGAGGGTAATCTCTCGATCTTCTGAACCGATTTAGATGAAATTTGGTAAGAAGATAGTCTGAGACCATGGGAAGGACATGCAATACTTTTTATCCAGGAAATCATCCCTGAAAGGGGTGAAAATGGGGATGAAAATTTGTATGGGAAATCAAATTTAATCAGCGAGAGTGAGTCGAAAGTTATATCTGTATATAAATGGGCAAAGACAAAATAGTTGAATATCTTTTTTTCCTGTTTGTCCATTGATTTTCTTTTTTTTAGCTATTGATATATATTTTTTTGAGAAAATTAGCTTTTATATATATAGTGTTCTTATATGTTTTCCTCAAGTTTTGAATAACGATTATTGTCGAATTTCGACCACTAGACGATCACAATATAAAAGTTCAATATGTAATAATATATTTTAATGTACATATAAAAAAATAACATATAGGTAATATTTTTTATTAATTACCTATTCACTAGTATTATATAATGGTAATTTAAAATGAAATGTGTATATGTTATTAATATATTTATATATGACACGCGACTCATCCTCGCTGGAATAGATAGATGTACATATATTATTTTTTTCCAAGTTAAGCTAAAATTGTTGTAATTCGTAATGATTTTCATACAAAATACAGTTATGTACTTTTACTGCTAGCTGTTCTTATGTATATTCTGTCCTATATTTATATTTAAACCACCTATGACAACAAAAAACGAATTATTCAAATTGGTTCAGCCGTTTTCATTATTTTTATTATTTTATATATATATATATATATATATATATATATATATATATATATATATATATATATATATATAACTCACATTGCCTCAATGCATTTTTATTATTGTTGCAGTAAATATATCACTACAAATATATTTTTTATATTATAGTAGAATACCGACAGACAAAACAAATTTTTCTTACCGTCTCATGTCTGTTTATTTCTGTAAAATCACATCTGTACCAAGCATCGGACTCTACGACACATTCCGGTAGTTTAAACTGCAAAGAAATTATATAATCAAGAAAAGATTTCTATTAATTAGTTAATTAATAAATAAGTACAAGAGCGACTGGGCTTCGCTTGACGTAGGCGTTATTATAAATCCCCCCAACCTGCGTTCACCTTGTCGTGGTGGGGGGGCTCAGTAGTGCCCGGAAATACAGCCGGGCGCGAAGCCAAGAAACGCACAGGGAGGAGGCCCACTTCGGTGGGTGGTGGGAGGTGGCCCTCTTCGGAGGGCGGTGTACCATGCGGGTTGCTCCTGGTACTTCTCTGATAGCAGAGTGGACTTTGGAGCAACCCCATGGTCGTTGTGGTCTGCCTCGGCAGACCTGCCGTCGGGGTGTCGTAGTTGAATGCGTAAGCGATCCTGCGACGCCCCATTAAGACGGGGGAAGGTTTTGTTGGGTTTTAGTGGGTAGTACTGGCTTTGCCGGTGAGTCCCACACCTCGTGCGTAAATGCATTTCCCAACTTAAAAAAAAGGCGTTATTATATATTATTTTTGAAGTAAAAACTTCTATAGGCAGGTTTGGATGGGGAGTAAATTCATGTAAGTCGTCATCGACATGGTCACGTGACGTGTTAACGCTAACACTCAGAGTACCGATAGATGTCAAAACCAGATAAATGTAAACAGTTTTAATTTACAAATTTTAATTTAAGATCAAACAATTAATTTGAATATCTAAAAATAACAACTGTTTGCTTATAGTTTTAAGTTTTCACTTCTGTCGGCGGTTCTCATGACTGCTTTTTTCATATTGTAATATGTTAAATATTATTAGCTTTTTTTTATAAAACGTACACACACAGGTCACAGTTCAATAGGTTTTAAGATAATTACAATGTTTGTCCGTTTGCGTGAGCACATGCCTCAAAAACAAATTGATATTGAATTTAGGTACACTCCATTTTTTTTATACATATAACATATCTTTACTAGTGACTTACACGTTTACGCAGAGACGTCTTCAACAATCATTTTCATATTTTTGCCAATTTACACAAGCCTTAATGAATTATACATCTAAACCTTCCTCATATCACTCCATCCATTGGTGAAAACCGTATGAAAATCAGTTCGGTAATTTTTGAGTTTATCGCGTTCAGACAAACAGACAGACAGACAGATAGACAGACAAACAGATAGACAGACAAACAGGCAGACAGAAAGAAAGACAGACAGACGTGGCGGAGGACTTTATTCTATAATAATATGTAGTGATGATAGTATAGTTATTACCTGTGCTCCAGTTATTTTTATTCTTGCACAGGACTGGTACGTAGTGTTGCCATCATTGCGCACTAATAATGTCATATTTTCATTTGTACTCGAACCCAGCCAATATTCATCCTCTCTTAAAAGGAAGTTGAACGTATTTAAAAAAAAATGTGTAGATTAATTAACTGACAGCTAAATAACGCGACAAAATAAAAAAAATAGTTTTAAATGATGAATCGCACTAAGACGAGTTATATTTAGAGTTTTTCTCTTTTATTGCTTAGTAACTAATATTTTTTTTTTATAATTTCTATTTGGGTGATTGTTGTTAGAAAAATATAAAAATATGAAAATCGAAGACAACAAAAGCATGCTAAATCTTAAAAAAAATTACAAATATATTTAAAAAAAAACATTTTTTCTTCTATTTACCTGCCAGTCCAATCAAAAGTCAAAGACAATTTAGGAACACAGTCGTCTTTACATCGACGCTCAAAATCAAATGCAAATCTCGTCCTGCTGTATGAACTAATTTTATATAACGAAGTATCGAAATCTGAAAAATATTTTGTATTTAAATAGAATACATCAATTCGGTTCGGAGAACGGCTGGATTGTATTACAATTAGCCCTTTTTTTAATATATAGTTTCGATTCAATACGACATTTATGCAGTACTATAAAAAACGGCAGTGGTAGCCCAGTGGTAACGCGCCCAGTGGAAACCGAGTGAAGCGGGTTCAAATCCCGAATCTCGCACCTCTGATATTTTCATGTGCTAATCATTTCCAACATGATTACCACTTGTCTTACGGTGAAGGAAAACATCGTGAGGAAACCTGCATGTCTGAGAGAACCTAGCAAGTTTTCGAAAGACATGTGAAGTCCGCCAACCCGCACTTGACCAGCGTGGTGGACTATGGCCTGATCGCCCTCGTATTGAAGTATAGTGGGAAGTAAAAAAGGGCTGAATACATATAAAACGTTCCCATTATATTTATAAGCAGAGAACTACATTATAATGAAAGTAGTGATAAATAATAAAACTAGTTGTTGCCTGGGGTTTTGCTTGCAGTTTATTTATGTATAATTAGGCCACTCCTCAGGTTTGTGACTTTAGGTCACCTATAATAAACGTCAATAAAATTATTTATTAACGTCTTGTTCTCCTTATCCTTTATCCCACGTTACGAGGGGTCAGCACAATATCCTTTTCCCATTATCTCTATCGGCAGTGATCACAGCAAACACAGCTTTCACACACATATCCTCTTTTACACAGTCCTTCCATACCTACCTTTCCTCATGCATCAATCAATCATTTATACTACTAATATTATAAAGAGGTAGAGTTTGTTTGTTTGTTTGTTTGTTTGAACGCGCTAATCTCAGAAACTATTGATCCGATTTGAAATATTATTTTTGCATTAAATAGCCCGTTTATTGAGAAAGGCTATATATCATATAATATATAGTCTATCTACTCCATACTAATATCAATGAAAAAAAAATCATATCTAATCATCAATTCCCGAGAACAGCGCATCCAAACAAACAAAATATAAAGAATCTCTTCAGCGAAATAAATTAATATTGCATTATCAAAGTTCCAAATATCAATAAAAAGCAATAAAGTAAGTACCTTTCCGTTTTAAGTTTTCTGCATCCGATTCAACATTGGCAGTGAATTTAAAGAATCCTGGTTCTTCATTTATCTAGAAGTTAAATGTTAATATTCAATAACATAATATATGAGAATAGCATAATATATAAAACTGCCTCGGTGGTGTAGTGGCTAGCATGTACGGCTGCACACCCGGAAGTCCTGGGTTCGAGTCCCGGGTTGGGCCAAGTTTAGTTATTGAGTCTTTCTGTATAGTAAGTCTCAGTAACAGCCCGAGGTTGGGAAGTTGGCGGTGTTTCACCCCCGTGCCTCGGAGAGCACGTAAAGCCGTCGGTCCTGCGCCTTAACTCTCACCGGTCGTGTCGAGTGGTCGTCCACCGGACTATGAGAATGACAGGAATAGAGAGTGCACGTTGTGTCTGCGCGTACACTTGTGCACTATAATATCTCCTGCGCAGTTGGCTAATCTCAATGAGATTGGCTGCCGTGGCCGGAATCGGTTAGGAGAACATCATATGAGATAAGATAAAAAAAGTGGGCATCCTACCAAAAATAAAACTAACTAAAAAAAATAACACCACCCAGCGTGACACCCGGTAGGAAAAAAATCCCTTTCGCTGTCTGCCGTTGTATCATAAATTAGGTCTAAAAACTGTATTGTATCATAAACATCAAGTAGGTAACGTAAATTGTACATGTTGAAACTCATCAAAAAAAGGCCTGCACAGAGCGAATACGAACTTCCTACAAACATTCCTTAACACTTATGATCGCCTGGTACTTTTGTCACGAGTACTCCCCTAGTACCACAAACCTCAAGGAATGCCTATAAAGAGTGCATGTAAACTACTTTCAACATACACTCCTTAACACTTATGAACGCCTGGTACTTATGATGACTAATAAAAATTATCTATAATTATAATAAAATTGTAACTAAGCCGAATCTGTACATTAAATATTTTTTGGCAAATCTTATTAAAATAAACATTATTATCGATACAGAGCCCGAATCTATAGTTTTTAAATTTTTTGTCGACAGACAGTAGACAGACTTGTCTGTCTGTGACCGCATCACGAGAAAACCGCTCGACAGATTTTGATGAAATTTCATATGATGATAGCTGGTTATCTGGGTCAACATATAGGATACTTTTTACTGAGAGAAAATATCTCATCTCTGAGAAATGTATACTAAACGTTAAAACGTACCTAGAGACAGATCCGAGCTGAGCGAGGGTGAGTCGCTACTTAAATAATAAAAAATGTCGTGATGGTAATACATTACATTTGTTTCCGTCTAGTTCTTATTTGCTAAGTAAAGTGTGCTAAGTAACGTGCGATAAGGAACTTCATTCCAAAAGTTAAAATAAAAATCTACCACTATCAGATAAAAACTAGGTATTTTTGTTTCGACTACAACAAAGATAATTAAAATGAACAAAAACCGCGTATTTCATTTTTCACCCTACCATATTATAAATACGGGTTCTATGTCATGCTTTCACGCTGAAATAGCATGACGAATTTGAATGAAAGGTACACAGATATGTAGCTCATATAATACAACTAGCGACTTACGTTTTAACGTTTAGTATAGATTTCTCAGAAATGAGGTATTTTTCCACAGTAAAAATTAATCCTAAATGTTGACCCGGAGCTATCATCTTACCAAATTTCATCAAAATCTGTCCAGTGGTTTTCTCGTGTTGCCTTCCCACACAGACAGGCATACAGATAGACAAAAATTCTAAAAACTATAGATTCGGCCTTTGTATGTACAATTATAATGACTATTTCAATAAAAAATGTCCAAAAAATAGTTAATGTACAGATTCGACTCAGTGAGAATTTTATTATATTTATAGATTATTTAAAAGGTGGCGCTACTTATTTATAATATTATAATTACAAAATCCACCGAAGCGAGGGACAGACTCTAGTTTTTTACATCTTTACTTTAAAAGTAATGTATTTATTTACATATTTATTTAAATATTAAATTATGAAAATACTTACAAAAGAAACAATTACGTATTTCGTAAACAAGGAAACGTTCTTCGAAAGTATAACTTCGTTATCATATTTTATTATGTTAGCACCTTCTCCATTTATGTTTGTTCTAACAAAAAGTTCTGAAAATATGCAGAGGAAATAAAGATATATGTATATAAATATAATATAAATAAATACTTAGATTATGGACGATAAATAAATAGTAGATTTTAATTTTTGAACTGTATGATGTTTCGATGGTGACTGACAATATTCAACTTAAAAAAAATTGACCACCACCTATATTAGAATTACATAGAGAAAAGGCATGTGACGTCCGCCAATCCGCACTTAGCCAGCGTGGTGGGCTATGTCCTGACCCACCTTATACTAAAGAGAAGCCCTTGCTCAGCTATGGGACATTAATAAGTTGTTACATCACGATTATTGCTACAAGTACAACAAACGAATATTATTTGACATCAGTTTATTATAAAAACAAGTTCATGTATTTTACTTTTTTTTTACTTTTATTATATTTTACTTCTTTTTATTTATTCATATATTTCACTTGTAGGGGTGGATTTTTGTCCAAATGTTTATGGCAGCACCCCAGAAGTATAATCTATACATTAGGAAAAACATTATGCAAATCGGTCGGTGATATACAGTCGAGAGTTCTCAATTTTATAAATAAAAAAAAAACTTCTTTTATTATCAAGCAACATAGGCTCATAGTTGGTCAGTACAATATAATTACTTAAGAACTTTGTTAGTAAAACAAAATACAAGCGAAATAAATAAATATTTTAGAGTCGATCATAAAAACTAAAATTACTACGATAAACTTACTTCCATCGATAACTTTTGGCTTTATTGGATAAGTTACAGACACAGTTACTTTAACAGAGAAGTTCATATCTCGTTCTCTTACAACCTGAAAGTATAACACGAGTATCTCATATTAATTAGCATGCATATTCTAAGTTATTTATTTATCATATCCCTTCCACCTTCCTCTCTTCTATTTATCGTTGACATAATAAAATCAAAATTACAACAAAATTTACCGCAATCCTGAATAAAAATCAGATTGTGTTAAGATTTTACTGAAGATCTTCTTAGAAATGTATCGTAAATTCATAATGTAAACATACCCGTATATATGTAGGCTTATTGCTCACATATTAAAATAGAACATTTTATTAACATGTGGCTAAAATAAATGCGTGAGAGTGAGAGTCATTATAAATAAATAAATTCTTTATTAACATAATTTTATAGGTACAAGTGATAATAATAGCTTCGGCGCTCGTAAAAACTGTATTGCAGGAGCCAGTTACAGTACAAACTACAAACAACACATAAAAAATAATTTAGCACAAAAAATAAAAAAAATAAAAATGGAAAGAATAGTATATATGTGTGTGTGTGTGTGTGTGTGTGTGTGTGTATGTGTATATTTATATTTCTCTCTTTTATACTCTATTCTGTCACGATTTCTTTTACTTTAAAAATCAATATTTAGATTTTTTTCAGTAATTGTACTCACGTCTTTACCAATTATCTTCGCAGAAATAGTAACGTTTAAAAATGGTATACTTCTGTATACTGCTACATTGTTACTATTCATAGCACCTACTGCTAACGCTGAAACACACATATTTGCAAAATAATAATTTAGAAACAAAATGTGGAACGAAAATTAAGACATAAAAACGGTATAAAGAAAAGTGTGTATTTACGGCAATTTTAATTCCGCATCAATCATACATAATCACTAGCATTGCCCGCGGCTCCGCCCGCGTTCAGATTACCAAAAACCAAATTCTTAGATTTTACATATTAGTATACTCTTACATTGCAGTTTTTGTATTTTTTCTCAGAAATGAGACATTTTCCCGCGGTAAAAAGTATCCTATATGTCGACCCGGATAATCAGCTATCACCATACCAATTATCATCTAAATCCCTCCAGTGGTTTTTCTGTAATGCGGTAACAGACAGACAGACAAAAATTCTAAGAACTATAGATTTGGCTTCTATATCGATAATAATGTTTTCAATAAGATTTTCCAAAAAATATTTAATGTACAGATTCGGCTTAACTACAATTTTATTATACATATGTATAGATATAGATTCAGTAAAAGAAATGAGATTAGTGAAATATTACTAAAAAGGAAATAAACCAAAATAGTTTATCCAAAACGAGTTACTTTACCTATGCGCATAAATATACCTAATCTTTTTAAGTTAGTGTCACTACTATACTTTAGATTTACACGAATATTTGACATTAAAAAAAACTCTTCGCATTTTTTCGCGGATTTATTTTGATTTTTGGTCACTTTATTTTGAGTTACTACCAAACCGAAAATAAAAAAAAGATACGAAAATAACCGAAAAGATAGTCTTACTTGAGTCACGCATTATAGACGCGAAAGTTTAAATGTGTATGTTTGTTACTTCTTCATGCTGAAACTGCTGATCTGATTTGAATTAAATTCAGTACACAGATAGACTTTACCCTGGACTAAGGCTACTTTTATTTATAGCACCCAATTAAAGCGAAGAAAGTTACTACTAGTTTATATTGTACTAGCGACTCACCCTCGCTTCGCTCGGGTTCGTCCCTACCTTGCTTCCCCATACAAACTTTCATTTTCACCCTCTTGAGGGATGATTTCCGGATTTGTTCTATGTCCTTTCCAGGGTTTCAAACTATCTTCTTAGCAAATTTCATCTAAATCGATTCAGCAATTTCGGAGCTTATTCGCTACAAACAAACAAACAAACAAACAAACAAACAACCAAACAAACAAAAAGAATCTTTCCCCTTTATAATCTATACTTATTATAAAAATAAGTCCCCCGGCCGCGTCTTTCTGTCCTCCTGTCTGTCCTCCTGTCTGTCTGTACGCGATAAACTCGAAAACTACTGAACGGATTTTTATACGGTTTTCAACAATAGAAAGAGTAATTCTTGAGGAAGGTTTAGGTATATAATTTATTATGCTTTTATGTAAATTAGCTGAAATACGGCGACAAATGTTGAAGAGGTCGCAAAAAATCTCGCCAAATGGGAACTTTCCACGCGAACGCCGCGTAAACTAGCAAAGATACAGTTAAGTAATGTACTAGAGAATTCAAAATCTATAAAAATGCTACAAAAAAGTCCGCGATAGCATATCTCTATCTCTTACGGTTGACTTACAATAACCACTTTTATGTTAACATTTTTAATTAAAAACATTACGTTATTTTCAAAGTTATTTTCTTTAGTTCGGTATTAATCCTTATCCAAATGAATATTTTAGTTAGCTTAGTCATTTAATGCAGATTAAAATTGCTCTTTACACTAAATCAATCAGATGAATAGTTTTTGAGATATCGTTGTTAGAAGTAATTAGTAGCGAAACATTTTTAATGCTTGGCGAGCATTGAGATGCCTACGGCGAGTCCATCCCCTCTGCCCCGCATCGCTCGACCGCCTGCTCAAGCTATATAAACCGGGCGATGTAGCGCGCGATCCTAGGATACTTTTTACCGCGGGAAAATATCTTATTTCTGAGGAAAAATACAAAAACTGCAATGTAAGAGTATACTAATATGTAACACCTAAGAATTTAGTTTTTGGTCATCTGAACGCGGGCGGAGCCGCGGGCAATGCTAGTATTAGTATAAAGTATCAACTTACCTTTTCCACCATCTTTATCAATGTCTACCAAAGATTGAAGACTGATGCCAAGAGCTTTAAAATCTGTATTTTTAATTAATTGTATATCTTTCAAATCGTGTATTTGAACCAAAACATTCCGACCTTTATTTAATAATGACGTAATTTCTTTTCCAGAAAATACGTACAAAACACCTGTACCTTCGTATGGGGCACTTATAAAAATTTCTGAAATAAATTCATTTATTATTATATAAATTTAAAAACAAAAAAAAACTCAAATCAATGGGTTTTTTTCCTAAAAAATTTAATTATTTTTTTTTTATTTACCTGGTAAACTGTCTCCGTCCAAATCATTTGAAGCAATAGAAGTCCCAAACCTTGATCCATCTTTGGTTCCATATATACAGAGATTTGCCTTATTTCTTTTTTCAGCCTGCAATGGAATATCAAACATGGTTTTTGACTCAAAATAGTAAACGTAGAACTATAATATACTTGCAGAACTCACGGCTTCGCTCGCGCTAAAACTACAGTAAAATATCTAAAAAGGTAGTTTCATACAAATTTTCAACCCCTTGTTTTATACCCCCTTATAGCATGAATTTCGAAAAATGCTAAAATACGTATTTATTTAATTTTATTGAAGAGCAATAATACCAAGTTCTGAGTTATTCTGATTTTGATCTTCAATATTTTTTTGGATTGTATTATAACGTGTATTTCTATAGGAATTAGATAATCTGCCGCTGTAAAAAGTAGCCTATGTCACTCTCCGGCTCTCCAACTATCTCCACACAAAAAATTACGCCAATCCGTCACTCTGTTTCGACGTAAAAGAAGGACAAACAAACAAACTAACAAATAAACAAACACACTTTCAAATTTATAATATTAGTATGGATAATCGTTAGGTACCATCGTAACATGTTAGCATCGTGAAATAATTATTAGCTAATACAAGACTTTTATATACCTTTCCCCCTCCTATATAAAAGTGGACTGCACCTTGTTCATATCCTTCGATTGTATTACTCTGCGCAGGCGCACCGACCAGTAACTCTACAAAACTATCAGAATTCATATCAACACTATGTAATGCTGCACCAAACATCGATCCAACCGCATCATCTTCTATGAAAATAGCATCTCTATTATTTTGCATAACGGATATAGTTTTTGACAAACTGTCGTAGTAAAGGAAACCAATCTAGAAGATAAAGAATACTTTATATAATATTTGTATATTAAGCTATGCTTAACATATTTAATTTATTATTTCTCTTACAAATGCCACCTCCTTTATAATTTATATCTCGAAAAATCTCATAAGAGCTTATACTTGATCTCTTCGCGGAATCAATTATTATTGCATTAAACATAATGCTTATAATTGATCCCGACATTATATGCCCCGGATTAAAAGATCAATGTTATAAATATTATAAATTAAAAAAAAACTCACCGCGCCATAAAGCTTAGTTACACTAATCATACTAATAGCATATAACGTCGTCTTGATATCGAAGAACTTGCCAATTGCGAAACTTTGTCCTGAAATTATTTTTTTATACAATAAATAAAAAAATTTACATTAAATTCATTAAATATATAGAAGCAAATTACCTTTATAACCATAGCCATTGAAGAGACCCCGAAAATTAACTACAATAGCTGGTTTTAATGGTTGATCCATGTCTATATAACTTATGCTGCTTTCAAGCATAGGCTTTGCAATGAGAATAATTTTGTTAAGTGGATCTGATAAAGTACTCCAACCGATACCACCGTATATATTCACTGGAACAAAAACATTTTCTATATTAATATCTAAAGCACCTTTAGCGATATATATAAATTTGAGTGCATGAGCAGCTCAATCTTCTCTTAATATATCGGCGTAAAGTATCAGTATCCACGCTATAGTTTCATTCGGTAAGTAAGAGCGTGTCAAGCGCAATTACAATTACTTTAAAACTGGTATCCCTGATTTCACCAAATTTCCTACGCTAAATGAGGCAAGCGGTTCATGTACTTAGGTTTTCTGTAACAAAAATGCAGAACTGCATGTGTGTTGTTATTGTAAGGTCTAATATGATAGTCTCTTGCCTGTAATAGCGCTGGCTACCTTATCCTTCAAACCGGAACACAACAATGCACTTATTGTTGCTTGGCGGAAGGGATAGATAAAGGGGTGGTACCCATCCAGTCGGACTCCTCAGGCTTGATAGAGTCGTAACATCGGTGAAACTAAAGAGATCGTGTGTAAAAAGAACATACCTATTCTGGGCCTGGCATACGAAAGTGTCTTGCCCGATTGCATGTCAAAATATTGTTCAGTTAAACCAAAATATCTGGTAATATTTGTACCATCAGATAAGAAACATGTCCCCAAAGCTCCAAACCACGTTTTTCGATTTAATGTTAATTGAGTCCACAATGGAGCACAAGTCTGAAAACATTATATTCACATAAAATCTATGCAGATAATAAAAGAAAATTGTAATAGCTTCAGTCGTGGTTTTAATTGTTTCAGAAATATTTAAGAAAATATAGAAGATAAAAAAATGATTGATTTTGTTAAGTCTTTGATTTCCAAAAGTCAATTTAAAAATATATAAACTTCTTATTAATCGGTCAGTTAGATCTAACATGATTTTTACTAAAACATACCGACTTCAAAATCATTTAAAAAAAGTAAATATGCCATGCTTAAAGGTGGAATGTTTTTCTTTAAATTCATATGGGATAAGTATTAAAAAGCTATTATATAAGATAAGAAAAATTGTGAACATCGATTCTCAATTAAATAAACAAAAAAATACAGTTGAAAAAGCGGTATTCATACTCGTAACTATGTATAGATAAATATAAACTTTAATATACTTACCAAGAAATAATCTGGCGCCACAGATATAGTAGCTCCCAGGCAAAAATTTTGATCAGGGCTGGCACCTAAAAAAATTTTTTTTTTCATTAATTGATTTTTAACCCCCGGCTCAAAAAGAGGGGTGTTATATGTTTGACGTCGATGTCTCTCTGTCTGTCTGTCTAGATAAACGGATGGACCGATTTCGATAATAAAAATAATCATCAGTTATATTTAACGAGAGATTGTCTACACCATACTCTGTATATAGGTACATACTAATTTAAATGAAATTCAGAAATTCTACCATATTCGTCGTTGAAAATTTGAGTAAAACATATATATAGAATTAAAAAATTTATAAAAAAAACAGTTTTAATTTTTTTAATTGATGACTAACACTAACAGCTCGTCCATACCTATTGAACCAAAAAAAAAGAAAATTGATTGACAAACATAGGAGAAAAAGGTTCTGAACTGTTGTTTTTGCCTATTTATGTATTGAGTACCTGATCGACCGATTTTCACTCGGAGTTCTTTTTTGTTATATCATATTTTTTTAGATAAAAAAACTAAAAAAATGAATAAATACGAAAAAAAACAAAAGTTAACTCTTTGTATCCGACAGGGATTCGAACCCGACACCTGTGATTGTCAATCTTGCGCCTTGGCCGCTTGACCGCGATTTTTATGCCCGCAAATAATTCGAAAGAAAACCGCGTGTAAACTCGAAAACACGCATTTTCCCATACATAAGACTAAACTAGATCAATTTGTTGCCCACAAAAACCCCCATATACCAAATTTCAGCGATTTCGTTAGAGCCATTTCCGAGATCGTCGCTATAAATAAACAAGTATACAAGAATTGCTCGTTTAAATATATTAGATTATATCACTGTTGCTTTATCCTAAGAAAACTTAATGTAAAAGGCTACAAAATTTAGATATATAAAAAATACTTGAAAAAATACACTACCCTTACTGATTTACCAATTTTCGCAAAATTGCATATAATATAAGTATAAGTAAGTATAATAAAAATATAATCTTACTTCTGTTATAATTTCCAGCATATTTGTCTATATCGATTCCAATGTCCTTACAGATTGTAGTTTTTCTTTTAAGATCAGCGATGGAACATGAGTAAACCTTACCATCTCTATTACTCAGAGGCGCACCCACCACTGAAAAAATGTATTTAATATTACTTTTATTATACTGTTAATTAAAATGCCTGGACATATGTAAGTATTCAGCCCTTTTTAACGTCCCACTGCTGGGCACGGGCCTCCTTTCAATACGAGGGGGAGGGGGAGGAGGGGGGATAAACCCACCACGCTGGCCAAGTGTGGGTTGGCAGACTTCACATGTCTTTCTAAAACTTGCTAAGTTCTCTCAGATGTTTTCCTTCACCGTACGACAGTGGTAATCATGTTGGTACATGAAAATGTCAGAGTTGCGAGACCCGGGATTTGAACCCGCTTCACTCGGTTTCCAAAGCGAGCGCATTACCACTGGGCTACCACAGCCTGGACATATTTTATTACAATCTACTTTTTTTACAACTAGATATGTCATTGCTGTTACTTCAGTATATCTATTTGGAAAAAAAATCCTACTTATACATATGATGTTCTCCTAACCGATTCCGGCCACGGCGGCCAATCCCATTGAGACTAGCCAACTGCGCAGGATATATTATAGTGCTCAAGTGTACGCGCAGACACAAGTGCACTCTCTATTCCTATCACTCTCATACTCCAGTGGGACAACTGCTCGACACGACCGGTGAGACTTAAGGCGCAGGACCGACGGCTTTACGTGCTCTCCGAGGCACGGGGGTGAAGCACCGCCAACTTCCCAACTCCGGGCTGTTACTGAGATTTACTATACAGAAAGACTCAATAACTAAACTTGGCCCGACCCGGGACTCGAACCCAGGACCTCCGAGTGTGCAACCGTACATGCTAGCCACTACACCACCGAGGCAGTTCACTTATACATATATATTACGTATGTCCATATTTTTAAATAAACTCAGCCATTAAAATATAATAAAATATTTTTTTTTTTTCATTTTGAGGATATTTGGTATGTCATAAAAGGATATCCAATTATTTGAACTATTTCCTGTTTCGTTCGAGAACTATATAATGATTTGGAGTTTTTTAACACATAGACTTTTGGTACGTAGTTTTTATGTTAAAATATGGACACTTCAAATTTTGATTATAAAATTATTTAATTATTGAATTTTCTAGTAGAATGATTTGTATAAACTACGAAACATAACGAATATGTCATTACAGCAATTTAAGGAAAATATACTAATGAGGTCATTATAAATATCTGTGTGACCATGGATATGTAATATGTATGCGATAGGCAGTGAACCTCAGAATAGAAGAAAATGATAGAAGAAATAGAAGTATAAAAAATATAAATATATATGTATGTTTACTTGTATGTTTGTATGTACATTTGCACTTGTCTATGTAATATTTGTATATATTTTTTTCTTTATTCTGTAAAACTTTTGATCGCACCTCTTCCCAATCTTTTTCTTTCTCCTCCCAGGCCTCCTGCTGTGCTATATCTTCTTTAATATACTATACTATACATATGTCAATTGTCATATAAGTTTGTGGTGTGCAATAAGAAATATTAAATTTAATTTATTTAAATAAAGTAAGACTCAGTGAGTTGTAGTAGTTATAATTATTATTTATTATTATTGCTGAAATTGAGGAGTATGCTCCTAACATCATGTAAGATTTATTTCCTCGGCAAGTCTGCTGAAGCAGACCACACAACCAAGGAAGCCTTGGTCCACTTTACTGTCACAGAAGTATCAGGGGCAACCCTCATGGTACACCGCTTACCGAAGTGGGCCACCTTCTAGTATGTATCTTGGCTTCACGCTTAGCTGGATTGCCGGACGCTAATGAGCCTTTCCACCACCACAAGGTAAACATACATCGGGAAGGATTTTTAATACACCTAAATCAACTACTACTACTACTAACTAAAAATAACTTACCTAAGCTATTAGTTTTTGATTGATATCCAATTGAGAATCCAAAAGTCTTAGAAACATCCGGTGGTTTAAATTCAAGATATGATGGAGTGTGGAAATAAGCCAAATTAACATGGAAAATATGTAGAAACCAAATAATGTATATGATAGGATGTCCTGCAAATATATGTAAAATAAAAAATGTTGGATCTATAAAATATGATCAGACTACATGTTAATCGAATTTTTGTTCTTTACTCTTAAACGGCTGGACGAAAGATATAGAATTTTTCTTTCTTATTTGGAGTATCTATCCAATCTAAAAATTATTGAGCTTTAAGAAACTACGTATTAAGTTTTTATGTCGGCTTTTTATTTTGAAACACGAGTTTTTTTTTTTAAAACAATCATAATAATTATATCTGTAATTCGAATCTTAGTGCATAATTTTTAGCGAGTTATTTAAAAATTTAAAAAAAATATCTTACCTTTCATACTGGAACATTGAAGAAACACATAAATTAAAAAAAAATGTCATTAAAATTAAAGGTAAAAATGTACTGGAAAACACTTATCAACTTTACCAATAAGGACAACCGTTCAAATATAAATTAACATGTGCAATAACAAATATTCCTTTAGTGTTTTTATAGGGAAAAAATTTAATTATTTTATTATGAAATTAAAACGTATTTGTGCTATTAAAGTAGATGAAAGGTAAAAAATTTCACAGTAATATGTTTTAATATTTGATGACATGTTTGGCTCAGTTTGTAGTGACCCTACTTACTGTATCAGCGGTCGCGAGTTCGAGTCCCGCTGGGAGCATTCATTTATGTGATGAGCACGAATGTTTGTACTTCAGTCCAGTCCAGTGTTTATATTTATAATATGTATGTATTTAAAGTTATATATGTGTAGTGTACCAACTATCTGGTATCCATAACACAGGCCTCGTAGCTTACCATGGAACTAGATGGTGCGATGTTTGGATGGATGTTTGGTATTCAATCACGCCAGAACGGCTCTATGGATCTGGATGGATTTGGCACAGCTATAGATTATAGTCTGGAATAGCACATAGACAAATTTTTATCCCGGAAAAAAATATTATTCCCGTGGGATAGACTAGTTTTTGTTTTTCTAGTTATAAATATGATTGAAAATGTTCATACGAACTTTGTATTTATAATTTAACTAGACAAAAAAAAACAAATTTATCCCACGGGAATTGTATATTTTTCCGGGATACAAAGTAGCCTATTTCTTATTCTAATTTATGAACTATATTAATGTAAAGTTTCATTATAATCCTATCAGTAGTTTTTGTGTACTAAGCTGTATAAGTTACCATAGTTTTTTAATTATTCTACGAGAAATCTTTAATTTTCCGGGATGAAAAGTATCTAAAATGTTGACCGGGGATATAAGGGACCACCATGCAAAATTTCATTTAAATCGGTCTAATCGTTTAGGAGATTAGCCCGTACAAACAGACAAACAGACAGGGAAACAAAAAAATTAAAAAAATCTTGATTTGTTCTATTTCTCTTCTTACATCCCCCTGATTCGGTTTTTAGCATTTTTTTCCTATGTACAAACATTCGACCTCTACAGTTTTAATATAGTATAGATAGATAATAAATTTAGTAAATATAACTAGTTATTGTTATATTATATTATAGACATATTAATTTTCCTTATTATTATAATACTAAGGAAAACTTAACATAGCTGTACATGATGACAATGTTTAATTATAAATATGTTTAGCAATGACCATGTCATTAAGTCAGTTAATGAGGTTTTAAAAATCGGCACACATTACAATCATGTCGCGTAAGTACTAAATAATTGTTATTTAAGACATTTATTGATTAATTTATAAATTGTTTTTTTAATATTAAAGTTTAATTAATGTAAACTAGTTATAATAAAAAAATAAAAAAATAAATAAAAAAAAGTTTGATTAATTTATTTAAACTAGTGATAATAAAAACTAATAGAAATGTTATTTATGCTAATAATTGTAATAGTGCAAATGTTAAAACATATGTACGTAGACGCCCGACAGTGAATTATATCGTGAAGGTCGTGAGTTCGATCCATACTTGCGAATTAAATGAAATTGCGATTATTGGCCATAAAAAAAGCGTAGGTGATGTAGTGAATAAAATAAATATTAACAAAGTTTTAAGTCCAATAAGAAATCATTTTTAATACGCATTATGTATGAATTGTTGTTTATATTTATAATATGTATTTATTTAAAGTTATATATGTGTAGTGTATCAACTAACTGGTATCCATAACACAAGCCTCGTAGCTTACCATGGAACTAGATGGTGCTGTGTGTTTATTTCCTAACATATTTAATTTAATTTATTTGTTTTAGTGTCAACTATAATTTTTATACTAATTCAAAAAGTTCTAGTACAAGGATTATTTCATGAAAACTCAGTACATATTATCGAGCGGCCTTCATTTTTATCTGAGCACTCATTATATGGGTACAGTATCGCCTACCAAGGACATAGGTAATGTGAAACTTTATAAATATAGTCATGTTAATCGAATTTCAATTAAGACGCCAAATCTTACTAAGGCTAGATATCTGGAGGCCTACTATCAACTCTCATAGCAATTCTTTTTATGACTTAATATGAATCTTTGGGCATCTCGTACCATGAAATTTAAAAGACCTTCAGTTTAGTTCGGAGCCTATACTCCTATTAGATGTAACTAACAAAACTGTGGGTATTACGAAAACAAGCGATACAGTTAAGAACCTAAGCTGAACTGCATCGGAAATAAACCGTTATGTAAAAGTTGATGGTAGCTTAAAAAAATATAACTATCTCTATATACTAGTACAGACAGCTTTACAAACACTGCTAACACTGACTTCATCAACTTTTTTCTTTAAAAAATACCATAAATATTTTTAGTCTGACTCGAGACTCGAACCCACACCTCAGGTTCTGCGGGACGAAGCCTTATAAATATTATTGATGTGAATTACTTAAATGAATATTATAATGCATTAATTAATATACATAATAAGCTTATTAATTTATTTTAATTTGTTTTCAGCCTAATTGTAAGCGATCCAATTGGCGATGGCGTTGGAAAAATCTACCTCATTGATATCGACTCACCTAAAAATAGTACAAAAGTGACCAATGTCCCTATAGAAGAATTAAGACGTACGTATTTAGTTCATGTTTTACTTAATTTCAACCCGTGTTCTATCTTGGGCTGTTTTTAAGCCTTTCATTTATTTACCATTTATAGATATGTCTAAAATAGCCTGTGATATTACAAAAACCATTCCCTCGTGCTTATCACTACATACCTATTATAAAACAAAGTCCTCCGCCGCGTCTGTCTGACTTTACACAATTAATACCGTAATACACAAATACGGTATTAAAATCCTATCACCATTTTAAATAAGTTGGGGGTTTTTCATGCGCATTATTTTACTCTTTTACACCATCTATACATATAATAAAATTGTAACTAAGCCGAATCTGTACATTAACTATTTTTTGGAAAATCTTATTGAAATAAACATTATTATCAACACAGAGGCCGAATCTATAGTTTTTAGAATTTCTGTCTGTTCGCTTAGATATTTTAAACTACTCAACGGCTTTTCATGCAGTTTTCAACAATAGATAGAATGTTTCAAAGGATTTATATGTACTCGTATAATACATGGCATATTATAGCAAAGAAAAGCCGAGAAATTCAAAGATTTGTATTTCATACTAACCGTTAAAACGTACATAGGGACCAACCTGAGTGCAGCAAGGGTGAGTCGCTAGTCTAAACATATATAATAAAATTCTGAGTCGAATCTGTACATTAAATATTTTTTGGAAAATCTTAGTGAAACAGTCATTATTATCTATACAGAGGCCGAATCTATAGTTTTTAAAAATGTTGTCTGTCTGTCTGGGAACGTATCAAGAGAAAACCACTGGACAGATTTTTATGTAATTTGGTATGATGATAGCTGGTTATCGGGGTCAATATATAGAATACTTTTTACTACGGGAAAATATCTCATCTCTGAGAAATCTATACTAACCGTTAAAACGTCCCTAGAGACGAACCCGAGCGAAGCGACGCGAGGGTGAGTCGGTACTATTACTGTAAAATAGAAATCTAAGTCATAATCTGCACTGAAATAAAATAATAATATAATATATTTGTAGGTCAAAAACTAGCAAATCGTCGAATAAAGCACGATTTTTGGCTTGGAGCATCTGTGAAAGCTAATGAAAATTTCTTTGTGGTAAGTGTTAAATATACATATATTGTACAAGCAATCCCGACCACGTGTTGCTGTGGCACACTTGTAACTTCTTGAGTTTATTATTTATGACAAATTATATTCGGATGTGAAATATATAAAATGTAAAATTAAAATTTTTATGTTAACTCTCCGCTGTTAAAACAAATTACATACAGTAAATAAAACTATTTCGCGGAGGCATTATGATTTTTGGTTCCCGACGTTTCAAATGCTTTACAGCAATCATGGTCACGGGAGAGTCTCTCCTTTTATTTAGAATGCCAAATATTTGCGTAAATCTAAGAAAGTACATAGCTGCTGCCTCAGCCGCTTCTTCAGCTAAAAGACATAATTAATACCCATTTATTTCTAACATAGTAAATTAAAATATAATCCTGAAAAAAATTATAATATTTTTGGTCAATATCAATACTTTACCTTGAACTTCATATAATCATAACTTCCACATGCCAAAGCCTTCATCCAAGCCTCCATAGAGGCTTGTGAGTTTGTGCATAAGAAATATGTTCGGCCTTCTTCACAATAAAATACTATTTTAAAACTGTATGATTCTTCTTCTGTTAGTTCTAAAATAAACAAAATAATGTTGGATATAACACGATTTTAAATGCATATAGAATTGAACTGGTATGTTATAAATTACCAATAGTGCATCCTTCGAGTATGATAACGCTAACTGGTTCTTTATCTTCTTTCTTGTCGAAATAGAATAGTAGATTCCCTTTAAGAGCCAGCTTTAAACCAGCATCGCTGATAACTTATAATGCTAAATTTCATCTAAATCGGTTAAGTAGTTTCGGAGTTCATCACGTACCAACATCATAGCACGAGTTTATCTAGGGTGGGTTGAAAAACAAAATATTTTTTTTTTGCTTGGGGGTAAAATTTGTAGCTTAGGGTATCCATTTCTCAAGTTCTCTCGAAGATACTGAAAGGTTTTGTCCTGGCCTGTTTAAATATATTTAGACATTTATTTATTTTCACCTTTGACATCAAGTACAGATGGAATAGAGTCGTATTATCTACACACAGTACTCCTCCTGAAGTTGACGAAATAAGATGATGGTCTATAATATAAAAATAATATAAGGGTTCCTCGAAGGACAAACATTCATATATCAGCTATTTTTGCAACTTCTGATATAATTTTATAATTACTATATGAGTTAAAAATATCCTATCTAATACGCACAGTAAATTTTTAAAAACAATAATTATGATGTGTTACATCCTTATACAATCATCAGTCGAAAATTTTTGAAAGTTAGAAAATTCGTAAATTTTCTCACTCACTCGTTTAATTAAAGGTCAAAAATGATATTAATATCTTTATATTCTATTACAGACATGTTCTCCTCGCTATGCCGAGCTTAAATCAATTAAAGTGAAAGGACGTCGTGACTTAGCCACAGTTGGTTTATGTTATTTGAAACCTTCAAATGGGACAATTCGGAGATTACCTGTATTAACAGCCAGTGATCGTTTGAGAACTGAGACACGAGGAGCAAGTAAATTTTTAACTTTCCATTGGTATAAGAAAGCACGTAGAGCTTTATAGCAGAATATATTTTTGTTCATTAAAATACTCGTCTGGTGCAATGATGCTAATTTAAGTTTAAGCAGAAGATGGGAGGTCATGTGTTAAGTTAAATTTAACTTTTTCAACTGTAAAACCGTTTCATTTAAAAATTTAAAGCATAGTAAATCTAAATATACGCCTAGTTGTTTGTACATTGAAATAAATATTTATTTTTATTTATACAACTAAAAAGTCATATAAATATTGTAATAGTAAGCGATATGAATTTTATTTTTTAGAACTAATGGATTCATTTGGTTGGACTACACATATAACATCGCAGAATGAATTATTAGTAGGTGGTCCAGCAGTCAGCAAAGGTAACTAGCTTATTTAATTTCGTCATGATTAAATTTCAATGTTGGTTTTAATTTCTGTTTAGAATTTCTATATTATATTGTTTAACATGGTTTCGATGTTCCAACTGAAAATGTGACAAATATTTGACTGATAAAACAATTTTAGTTAATATTAATTTATGATTAGATGACACGTTTGGCGCAGTTTGTAGTGTCTACTTGCTGTGCCAGCGGGCGCGGGTTCGAGTCCCGCTGGATGCTTTCATTTATGTGATGAGCACAAATGTTTGTACTCCAGTCATCGGTGTTTATATTTATAATATGTATGTATTTAAAGTTGTATATGTGTAGTGTATCAACTATCTGGTATCCATAACACAAGCCTCGTAGCTTGCCATGGAACAAGATGCTGTGTGTCAATGTCCCAACATATTTATTTATGATTCATACACATATATACTCGTATTGTTTGGTAGGAAGAGTGATAAAATACGAAAAACCAATGAGCAAAGACGACCCAAAACTGTTCGAAAAAATAAGCCACTCAAATCCAGTCCTCTATAATTTTGGTAAGTTACTATTATTTTCTTAACAAGTTCCTCAATATAGGTACATAAAAACTTTATAAATATCTAAAATTTTCTTCTACGACAACGTCCTTTTTTTTTAACGTTGGGAAATGCATTTACGCACGACGTGTGGGACTCACCGGCGTAATACAGCCAGTACTACCCACTAAAACCCAACAAAACCTTCCCCCGTCTTAATGGGCGTCGCAGGATCGCTTACGCATTCAACTACGACGCCCCGACGGCAGGTCAGCCGAAGCAGACCACCACAACCATGAGGTTGCTCCAAGGTCCACTCTGCTATCAGAGAAGTACCAGGAGCAACCCGCATGTCACCGTCCCCCGAAGAGGGCCACCTTCCACCGCCCACCGAAGTGGGCAACCTCCCTGTGCGTTTCTTAGTTTCGCGCCCGATTGGGTTGCCGGGCACTACTGAGACCCCCCCCCCACCACGACAAGGTGAACGCACGTTGGGGGGGCTTCGACAACGTCCTAGTCATACTGCTAGAATACTTTTTTTTGTTAAAGAATTCAAAATACAATTTTCCTGAGGTTTTTATAAACAACTAGTTTTACGCTCGCTTCGCTCGGGTTCATCACTAGGTACGTTTTAAATAGACATGAATAGTTATTGCGAGTGTACCTTAGAATAAAGACTTATGCTACTGCAAATTTTTCTATAGCCCTATTAAGACCTACAATTCTAGTATATTGTTTTGATGTATATCTTAAAGTTTAGTCAGCCTTAGACATGTAAATTTCTAAGAACAACTTGATAGAATCAGTTATTTTGTTTTCCCGTGGGAATGAAAGATTTTTCTGTAATAAAAGGTATCCTAAATGTTGACCCGAGTACTAAGTTATCACTAAAATTTTTTTGTTAAAATCGATTCAGTACTTGTTGCGTGAAATGCGCACATAGATTTGGCTAAGTAACTGTTTTATTATATGTATAGATACGGCATTTTTAATCTGTTGCTTTATTATTATAGGATACAGCATAACAAGTGGAACTTTTTTCGGAAAAGAAATAAGCTATGCCGTGAGTTCGCCATTCGGAAATTTGGGATACGGAAAGGTAAAATTATAAAATCACTTCTTTTATAACGATGTCAATAATTATGGACTTTTAAGACTTGATGACAATTTTAGTTTTAGCTGATTTGATGTTTCATCTGTTGGATTTTTTGGCTTTCTCCAACAGCATCAGCTATCATAATAACTTGTTTATTATGTGTTGTATTGTATGTAGTATAAATATGAATATTTAATACTAGCGACTCGCCCTCGCTTCACTCGGGTTCGTCCCTAGCTTGTTTACTAATACAAACTCATCCCAATTTTCACCCCCTTAGGGTATGATTTCCGGGATAAAAAGTGCCCTATGTCCTTCCCGGGCTCTCAAACTATCCTCTTACACAATTTCATCTAAATCTGTTCAATAAATCTAGAGATTACCCACTACAACGTCACAAACTCACAATCTCACAAACTTTACCTCTTTATAATATTAGTATAGATAACGAAATTTGTAAACTTGCAGGTATACTTTTTTAATTCAAAACTGGACAACATCGGTGCGATCAATGACATCGCTTACAGTTCTTTGTTTGGAGCTGCTTTATGTTCCGCGATGTTACCAACTGGTGCACTCGTAGTTGGCGCCCCATTGTATACAGATAGCGCTACTGAATATGATGTTGGAGCAGTATATATTTATATGGCTGACACTGGTGTTAGCTCTAAGGTATTAGAATTCATCAACTACCCGCGAGAATCAGTTTTCAAACTTTGAATGGTAGATAAATCGTCGTCTCAGTGCTTATTTGTACAAACGACAAAGTTTTTAATACAAAATTATTTAATGTATATAAATCTTGGAAATAATTTAGTTTTTAATATAGAAGAAAAAAGTCTATACTGTAAAGCACAACAAGTATTGTTCGGTTGAACAAGCACTAAGGCATCGAAATAAAGACCATTAGCCAGATACTAGATACCACGTTATTCAAAGATTATAATATATAAACTTTGAAAAAACAAAATAAATATAAACAATGAATAAACTTATTATATGGAAAAATCTATAAAGTGAGTTTGGGAGTATGAGGTAAAATCTGGAAATTGATTTTAATAAATGGTAATGCTTCAAAGAATTATGCCATTTTTTATATCGATATAACAAAAATGATATAGTATTATTTATTAACAACTATTTTTTGCCCGGCTTCGCTCGCGTGCTAAGCGGGATGAGTATCAAGGTCAGCCTATATCCTATCCTAGCATGCAATTATGTTTTTGCACTATTTCATCGAAATCTGTTTATCAGTTTAAGCACGAAAAGGTAACGGAAATACTTTCACATTTACAATATTAGTATGGATGATACTGTGCCTGATTTTTAGGAAATGTTTCTAAAACAGAAGATTAAGGGTAAAGCAAACGGTGGATATTTTGGTAATGCTATTCTTAACCTCGGAGATATGGACGGAGACTCCATGGACGGTAAGTTTACACTGCATTGGTGTCTGACTATCTACTTTGACCTTTTAAACAAATATATTTTTTTAACTGATCCTAACACTACTTAATATGTGTATCTTTCTGTTAACTGATCGAGAAAGACCAAGTGAGAGGTTCACTGAAAACGAATATAACCAAAAAAAAAGCGCGTGTGTGTGCAATTCACACATGGTAGAAGTGAAACTTCAGAAAAGTAACCCACGATGAGATGAATATAGAGTATTAGGAGTAGGATAATTATAAGGTTTATGTTTTTTAGATTAGTTTTACCAAGTTTAAAAGTATTTTACACTTTATTTAACATAAATATACAATAACAACGGTTACCATGGCAACATGATAATGTATTCTATCTCATTCTCTCGCCGGCTTAATTCTATACATTTATGTATTTGTCTCTTTTTAGTGTCGCATTTCCGTTTAATTTCTATTTCATCAAGTTTCAAATCACAACGATTTTAAAAAGTTTCACTTCAAAAATATACGTTATTATAATTGATCTGATTCCTGGTTTTACCGGAGTTTTGAATTTAAAGTAATACTTTCCCTAGAAATCGCAATAGCGGCCCCATACGAAGACGATGGCAGAGGCGCCATATATATTTATACTGGCAAGGGTCTCTTAGAAGGAAGATATTCGCAAAGATTACATATAGATGGGTTTAAATATTTTGGCTTCAGTATGACGACAGTGCAAGATTATAATGAAAATGGATGTAATGGTGAGAATCTATTATTATTATTTAATCAAAGGATAATTTAATATTTTCTTACGCCAATATTTGACATTTTAAATAAAACTATATTTTCGGATTTTTTCGCGGGTTTATTTTGATTTTTGGTTCCCGACGTTTCGAATGCTTTACAGCAATCATGGTCACGGGAGAGACTAAGGTTTTAGATAGTTTTATTAAAAAAAGGATAAGTTGCATACATTTATTATAAATCATATCGATGGTTAATTGGAATGACCGATAATACTGGTTCAGGGTTCCCTGTTTTAATTCTCGCATGAGGCAAATGTTGAAGATAATACGAATTTAATATGTTCATTATCCATAAAATATTTCTAATTTTTACAGAACTGGCTATTTCTTCACCAATGAGCGATAAAATTGCTTTAGTCAATAGTCTAGCTTTTATAACAGTGAAGCTGCGAGCTGTATTCCCAAATTCTCAGGTACATATTAATATGTCTTTACTGACTTCATATTACTTAGATAAAATTTGCGTATAAATAAGATATATTGCTAAAAGAAAGAAGGGAAAATGTCATTACAATTTTATTAAAATACCAATGACTTTTATGAATTTTCAAAGGCACTCTGCTTATGGCATCACCAATATACATTTCTATGAAGTAGTTGGTACTTAAGTAAATATGATTTCAATGCACGTTTTATTAGAAAGTACAATGTAACGAATGAATCAAGAGCTTCCAATCTGCTTTAAATTGCTATGTCGACTGTTTTTTTTTTGCTATTTATAAAAAAAATGAATAAAACACAGTTTTTTGTGTTATTTAACACACAAAAAAAACAGTTTTTCATTCATTTTGGTTAAACATAGAGAGAAACATGCATATAAGTAAAGTGTACTAAAAACTTTCTAAACGTATCTAGAGCGACTTTTTTTTCTAATATATTTGATATACCTACTTGTACTCAGTAACAGTTTTAGTATCAATGTTTAGATTATTTTTTGCTTTTCAGAACATTACTCTTGGCAAATATTTTGAATTTGAATCATGCTTTGATGTTACATATCCAGAGAAGCCAAAAGATATTGAAGCAGGTAGTATAATTGACTATATAGTATAAGGAACTAAGACACTACATTCTTTTCCTTCCGCCAGTAAAATCTAGTTTAAATAAATGGGTTAAACCTTCCGGCTTTTATCCACTATTTTAAAACGGACCTATTTTTCATTTATAAATACCTGTTTAGCTATAACGAAAGTTACAAGAAAAAAAACATATTACCAGGCAGACATAAAATGTCTAAAAATATGTTATGAGGTTTCTATAGAATAGACATCTCAATTTTACTTTTAAGTACCCAACAATTCTATTCCTAACTAATATTATAAAAGTTTACATTTTCCCGCAGTAAAAAATGTCCTATAAATTAACCTGGATAACCAGCTATCATCATACCACATTTCATCAAAATCTGTCCAGTGGTTTTCTCTGATGCGTTCCCAGACGGATAGGCAGACAAACTGACAGATATTCTAAAAACTATAGAATCGGTCTCTGTATCGATAATAATTACTATTTCAATAAGATTTTCCAAAAAATACTTAATGTACAAATTCGACTCAGAATTTTATTATATTGTGTATAGATAAAACCAATCACACACTTTGTACTTCCAAGCCTGAAAATATTTGGTTGTTAAATATAAAAATTATGTTTTTTTTTTTTCAGATTTAATTGTATCCATTGAAAGCTCATATTCAAATGTAAAATTACGCAGATTAGGCGTTGAGCGCAGTGAGTTGACATATGAACAGTCGGTCAAGTCAAAAGAATCATCGTATTGCCAGAGTATAGGAGTCATAACATCAAATATCACAGTGAATATTATTATTATATACTAGCATTCTCACCTAGCTTTGCCTAATACTTCCAAACTATACAGATAAATAAAATGAAGTGTCTGTTTGTAATATCAAAAACAACGCTTTTCACTAAATGCATAAGAAATTATATGTAGGGTACTTATAAGAAAAACACAATTTTTAAAATTTTTGTCTGTCTGTTTATCTGTTTGTTCCGACAAATCTCCGAAACGGCTGGACTGATTTTGATGGGTCTTTCACTAGCAGAGGTTATAAGGAATAGCTTAGGCTACTTTTATTTGTGAAAAAGAATAATGGATACCGCTCAAAAAAATTCAAAATTACCCACGGACATTACCTCATAAATCGCGCTTGCCACATTACTAGAAGCCATTGAAAAGTTCTACACCTGGTTTCATCATGACATTAGCTCGATGGTATCATAATTATACCATCGTGATTTCGTGTTTCTTATAATATCATGTTCTAATTAACTTTTATTTTTAATTAACACTTACAATGCTTCTTAATAATTAGAAGCAGTTTAAAATCAACTTCCATAAACTTAAATGATTTAATTACATAGTTAATTAGAAGTAACGTGAAGCTGACAGAAGCGTGTTAAAAGAACACCATGTATATGTTCAATCAGACCTTTCAAACGTCCCACTGCTGGGCACGGGCCTCCCTTCCAAGCAAAAGGGAATCAAGCCATAATCCACCACGCTGGTGGTTTGACAGTCTTGACATATCTTTCTTAATCTTTCTACGTTATATCTGGCATGCAGTTTTACTCATGATGTTTATCATCATCACCTTTTTAACAAGTGGTAATTGTTGGAAAAGATCTGCACATAAAAAAAACCATAAATACGAGACCTGAAATTTAAACCTATTTCACCTGGTTTTCCAAGCGAGGTATTTCCACTGGTCTGCAACTGTCATCAATATAACAATATTAACATTCATTTCTTATAATTTTGCCGTATTTCAGAGCGGCATTGTTGTAAAACTTAAACTTTGTAACGTAGAAATTCGTATTCATATTTAAAAATATTCATATATCTATATAGAATGATAAGACCAATTATAATAAAACTTTTACGATAGTTGAGTTTTGCTTCTATGTTTCTTTTGTTACACAGTTGTATTTATTTTCTATTTATTATATATTTGTACGATACGTATATGTATAAACATACACTCTTACTACTGTCTCTTTATTTGTTATTCGCGCCCTTTCTATCTTAGTACTATTTCCTACACTTAAAGGTAGCCTGGAAGAAATCGCTCTTTTAGCGATAAGGCCGCCTCTTGTACCTTCTTCTACATTTTGTATATTTTCTTTTCTCTTTTTGGGTGTACAATAAAGAGTTATTCATTCATTCATTCATTCATTCATTCATAGTACAATTATTTAAATACAACACATATTTATATACTAATTATATTTTAGGAGAAAGAGTACAATCTAGTCTTAGCGTACAAAATATCAGCGAAATTAAAAGAAAATCCATTAAGTTTAACAGAATTCGATATATCAAGAGTACTACTGAGTGAAAATAGCGAGCTGACAATCGAAAATAGTGTATGGACAAGCGTCTGTGTAAGCGATCACTGTGTTCCCAACCTTTCGCTTATTAAATCTTGCTCTATATCGTAAGTATTGTTTTAAAATATTTTGATACGTATTAGACCAATAGCTATTAGCATCATTGCTATTGTATTGTGTGTTTATATCAGACTGATAAAGAACTACTGGGTAAATACAATATATTTATTTATTACTGTACCAAAAAAAAACATAAAATAGAAAACAGATACCATGTGTACATTTACAAAGGATGACTTATCTTTTTAAGAGATCTCTACCAGAAACCCTCAAGCGTGAGAAAAAAATAATGGGTTGCGGTGTAGGTACAAACAACAAACATCAATTATTATAATATAAATATACACATATATACATATTTACATAGATACTTACATACATACATCCACACATACACATACTTTAACAAATATATCATGTAATAAGGAAATCAAGTGGCGTGACTTAGATAAAATTCTTTTAAGCGAGATTTAAACAGATTTAGCGATGGATTGTCATTTATAATCTTATCGGGAGTTCCAGAGTTTTGCTTATATTTATATTTTTAGACTAGAAGCAATAAACATTACTGCGCTAAATAAGTACAACATAGGGATCCTATTTAATAGCTACAATCTTATAAATGCAGAATTTTTTACTAAATGTGGTTGTTTCGTCTTCATGCCGTACCGACTCAACGGATTTGAATAAAATTTTGAACAGAATCTCTGTTAAGCTTAGAGTCTATTACCAAGTATGTAAGTGGAACCGCGGGCAGCAATTTACTTAAGTAAAAATTTAGTTCCATTCCAAGTGATATTTTAGAAGAAATATGTATATAAATCTGATTTAATTTCTCTCCGTAACCACTTACAAGAACTATGCCATTTTATTTCAATTTAGAATGAAATTTATCCAGCTACTTAAACCATAAATACCCGGTAAATAGTCAAATTTCTAAAAACTGTAAATATTTCTTCTTTTACAATTTTATTATAAGTATACGATGGTCATTTATGCTCTTATTAGAAAATAATTAGTCTCATTAAAAAATTTAAATCAGTAAGCATTCGTAGGACCTCTAATAACTACTAAATGTATAAACTTGATGACACGTTTGGCTAATTTTGTAGTGTACTTGCTGTGCCAGCAATCGTGGGTTCGAGTCCCACTGGGGGTATTCATTTTTTGTGACGAGTACGAATGTTTGCATTCCAGTAATGGGTGTTTATAAAATGTATTTAAAGTTATATATGTGTGTTATACATATACATATAGGTATCAACTATCTGGTATCCATAACAAAATCCTCATAGCTTACCATGGAACTAGATGGTTCTGTGTGTTAATGTCCCAACATATTTATGTTATGTGAATTTCCAAAGGACTTCATACATCATCGGTTCAACAAATGAGGAGACACTACATTTAACCATAAGCAATGCTGGAGAGAATGCGTACAGTGCATGCGTCGTTGTGACGATACCTAAAGCTCGTACCATTCGTTACCCAAAAGGTTGCTCCTTGAAACAGTATACAAGTAAAATAAGTATTTTGTGCAAGCCAGAGATACTATTGGAAACTGGTAAACAGTGGGTGAGTATCAATCCATCTTATAATGATACGAGAAATCCTTCAGCTTCAAAGATATTATATTTTTGCTATTTCCACATCTTATTTCGTGTCATGTAACAACTGGCTTTACATATCAATAACTAACAAGGAAATTCGTCTTTTGTTGGTTCAGTTGGATAAACATTATTAGGACGTCTTGGATTCGTGGTTCTTAATGAAGCGCTATTTTTTGACTTATACTCGTAATCAAATCATCGATGTCGAGTTTATCTATTTTAAACACAGGCTTCTAACATTTTTCTGGTGAAATTGGCATTAGCAAGCCATTTAACTTTTTTTCTAAGTTACAACGCACGATGAACCTGCCATAAAAGTTCTTTCACTTAATTATTTCTTTTTTTACAGATAATTCCAGATATCACAATAGAGACTAACTATTTAACAAGTTTAGACGACTCTTTGAATATTATGTACGATTTATATGATAACTGTAATGATCAATCTGGTCACAAATCGTATGCTGACAGCTTTCCTTTAACAAGTGATTTTGATGGGATTTTTATTATGGGGTAAAAATTATCTTTCTCTAACTTATACATCTATACAGATAAATAATATTGAATGTATTTTCGTTATGTCAAAACAACTACTTTTTTACTAAATGCGTATGAAAGTTTATACGGTAGGTACTTATAAGAAAATAACAATTTTTAAATTTTTTGTTTGTCTGTCTGTTTGTTCTGGCTAATCTCCAAAACGACTGAACCGATTTCGACGAGAGTTTTACTGGCAGATAGCTGATGTTATAAGTAGTAACTTAGGCTACTAATATTTTGGAAAAAGAATCAGAGTTCCGCGCACAAAAACTAAAACCCATGAAACTTTGACTGTAATCCGCGTACCTATGAACGATGACCACGACTTGCCACGATGGCAAATCTCACTAAGACTATCCAAGTCTGCGGAAAATATTATAGCGTAGCGTACATAAGCTGTACATCTATGTCTATAAGGCACTCCATTCTTTTTACTTAATTTTTAGCCACCAGGCTATCAGGCCACATATAGTATACATACATCGAGAAAGAAACTTGAAAATTAACAAATTAAAAAGTACTGTCCAAAATGTAATTTCGAAGCTTTATTATAATCAGCTCTCTATCTAGCTAGCTCTCATTTAAGATTTACTCTCGATTAACAGTTACTTTAAGCTATCAAATTAGAAACTACATCAAAATTGGTTACACCTATATGATCTAGATCTAGAAGAAATAAAAATTAGTATTAAATGCATAAAACAATTTATTTTCTTTTTATTCTAGCAAAACAATTCCAGAGGAATTTGTTAATTTGACTACGAATGACATCCAATTTGGGAAAACTGTAGAACATCATTACACGGTAAGTTTGCGAATATATGGATATATTTGAGCACGAAAAATCTATTTGTCTTACCTAAATGTGTGTTACTTTTAAAAACCCTTTTTAAGTGCTATTTTTGACGACACGCTTGGCTCAGTTTGTAGTGCCTACCCTACTCGCTGTGCCAGCGGTCGCAGGTTCATTTATATTTATAATATGTATGTATTTTAAGTTATATATGTGTCAATCAACCATCTAGTATTGATAACACAAGCTTCGTAGCTTACCATGGAACTAGATGGTGCTGGTGATGGTGTGTTAATGTCCCAACATATTTGTTTCTGCAAAATTTAGAATTTTGGGTGTACCGAATAGCTTAATACCAATTACTTTAGATACTTACAATTTGGGTTAACTCTTGTTTCTTTCAAATGCTCACATATTTTTTTATATTCGTATGAGCATTGAGCACTTCCAGTTATATAACCTCGCTTTAATTTAAAAAGGCGTAAAAAGAAGTCTATATTTTCTCTATATCAATGAGTGCGGGACAAATTATTTAATTTCGATGTTTAGTGTTTGAACTATTCAAGTTAAATCACTAAAAATAGAATTTAGATGAAAGAACAAATTTAAAACAACATATTAAAGAAACTTTAAGTTTAAGTTATGTACTCGTACTTCGTCTAAGTGTGTAGATTCTCCATAGAAAAAATCATCGGTCAGAAAACTCAGTAGGAAATATAAATTATGATTTTAATTGCAGTTATATAATAATGGTACAACAAACTGGATAAACGTGCAGAGCGAAATCACCTTAGAAAATGTTACGTTCGTCAAATACTCAGAAGCACCTATTACTGTAAGTTGGTCGTTTTTGTTACTTAAATGCAACATTATTTTTTTAAATTCATTAATTAGTTAAATATATTATAAAATTATATAAATATATTTAATATATTATAAAATTATTAGGTAGGTTTTGTTGGGTTTTAGTGGGTAGTACTGGCTTTTCTAGCCGGTGAGTTCCACATAACCACCTGTACGTCTACAGGTGGTATGCGTAAATGTATTTTCCAACATTAAAAAAAAGATAGACGAATTTGGACGAATTTAATAAGCAGATAAAGTATCACCTCGGCTAACTCAGAGGCTTAGTATGTAAAAAAACTTAGCAAAAGGTAAAGAGGTACTATATTTCATAGTTCGTGGTTACGTGAAATGACAAAAAAACTAGCAGTCGCCTTTATAATATTATTATTTTTACTTACACGTTAACAGATCAACACTGGATCATCATTGATCGAATGTGCAATGACAGACACCAAGACGAATGGTAATAACATAACAATGTTATGTGACATCGGAGATCTGCGGATAAATGAGAAAGTTGTTGTAGTCGTCTCCATAGAAATCCCACCGGAAACTATAGGTTTGTAATGTAAATCTTATAATATTATATGTATATAAATTTATTTTCTGTATCTCGGAAATGGCTCTAACGATTCTGATCAAATTTTGTGTTTAGATAACGTTATTCTTTTTAAGTTCCTCTAAAAATCTAAATTTTTATAATTTATATAATAAAAACTATAAAAATTTAGTTAAAATAAAAAAATAAAAGTATTATAAATAATAATTTTACAGTGTTCTGCATGTTTTTTGGCTCTCCTGTGAAATCGAATTTTGGTGCTTACGTCCTTTGAGCCCCGAGGTATCGATATGACACTAAGAAGCTTATATCGGATCTCAATAATCTACTCTAGCAGTACTAAAAAAACAAACTCTGACACACCGACGGCAGCGCCACCGGGTGCAATTGTCTTTTCAAACCATCCAGGAGCTCATTGAAATATACACACAAAATTTCATCCAAATCGGTCTAGCCCTTTAGGAGGAGTAAGGTGCCAAACACACGTACAGAAGAATTATATATATTAAGATACATATTATAAAGCAAATAATTATTTACTTAATTTTTATTACACAATATATATTTTATATCAATACATATCAATTAAATAACGTGCTATGACGTATTTAATTAATTCTCTACAGGAGCAAACGATGAAAATAGGAATATCACTATTTCTACAAGTATCAATCTACTGCTTAAGGGTCAAAGCAAATATTCAAGGTTAGTTTTAAACTATAATTAATACAACTATATCGGTGGTGTAGTGGCATGTACGGCTGCACACCCGGAGGTCCTACGGCTGCACACCCGGAGGTCCTGGGTTCGAGTCCCGGGTCGGGCCAAGTTTAGTTATTGAGTCTTTCTGTATAATAAGCCTGCAGTAACAGCCCGGAGTTGGGAAGTTGGCGGTGTTTCACCCCCGTGCCTCGGAGAGCACGTAAAGCCGTCGGTACTGCGCCTTAATTCTCACTGGTCGTATCGAGTAGTCATCCCACCGGAGTATGAGAGTGACAGGAATAGAGAGTGCACTTGTATCTGCGCGAACACTTGTGCACTATAATGTCTCCTGCGCAGTGGCTAGTCTCAATGAGACTGGTCGCCGGTGCCGGAATCGGTCAGGAGAACATCATCATCGTCATATAATTAATAAGTAAGAAATTCTCAATCTCTAAAATAACTCAACCAACTCACATAACTTTCATCGGTAGATAGAGAGGTTTGTGAAGTAAAAAATGAACATATTTTGATTTTCAGTCTCCAAACAGTACTGCGTCTACAAAGGAGTGAAGTTCCATTGTGGGTAATAGTCATAGCGTCACTTATCGGATTGATTCTCGTTTGCGCTGTTGGATATATATTGTATAAGGTATTATAAAAAAAATTTTCTAATATATAACTTTCTTAATATATGTACATATTATATTCTTACATTAAAGTTATTTTTCAAGCTCTCCTTAACTAATAGAGCTAACGAAAATGTCAATATAGATATACCTATATAGATAGGTACAGACAGAATAAATATTTTTGTCATTATTTTGTTTTAACAAACAAAAATTTTTACTTAACGACTTCTAAATCACCTTAGAAATAATTATTCGATGGAAACAAATCGACCTTTCAGCAGCTTCCGCGACAGCTAACCTGCACTTGTCCAGCGTGGTGGACTATAAACTGATCCCTCTCGTATTGAAGGGAGGCCCCTGCCCAGCAGTGGGACGTTAAAAAAAGAGGCTGCATACGAAGACAAACTTCCAAAAGAGATCTGAGCGACAGACCATTAAAAACTTTGTTTTACTGGATTTTTCTTCACTCCAACTGTATTTTTATGCTACACTAGCAACTCACGCTTGCTTCGCTCGAGTTCGTCCTTAGCTTCATTTACCATACAAAAATTTATCCCCATTTTCACCCCCTTAAGGGATGATTTCCGGGACAAAAAGTACCCTATGTCTTTTCCAGGGTCTCGAACTATCGTCTTACCTCTAAATAGGTTCAGTGATCCAGAGATTATCCCCTACAACATCACAAACTCACAAACTTTACCTCTTTATAATATTATTATAGAAAAATCAGTAATAATACGCCTAATAGTAACTTCAACTGTACCCGTATAATATATTTCTTTCTGAGCCACCATTCAAGTTGGCCAGTGGCCTTTGTTTTGTATGGCAATTCATAGAGTGAGAAGCTCATGAAATGCTTTAGGTTTCTGCTAGGCAAATAGAAATATTTCCAAGTGTCGATTATTGTGATAATGCAGTTTTTATCGTAATCTTTGCAATAGTTTTATTAAAATTTATTAAAACGTTTTTAAGAGATGCGGGATTAAAAAAATATAGATAGGTATATGACGATATCGTCATACTACAAATAGGTATAGATACGACGACACGTATGGTTCAATTTGTAGTGACCCTATTTGCTGTGCCAGTGGTCGTGAGTTCGAATCCCGCAGCGGGCATTCATTTACGTGATGCGCACGAATGTTTGAACTCCAGTCATGGGTGTTATTATTTATAATTCGTATGTATTTAAAGTTATATATATATATGTAGTGTATCAACTATCTGGTATCCATAACACACGCCTCGTAGCTTGCCATGGAACTAGATGGTGCTGTGTGTTTATGTCTAAACATATTTGTTTATTTATTTTATTTATACAGTAGTAATAAAAATTTTACTTGTATGATAATACAAAATTTATTCTTAATTCTCGTTTAATACATACCCATTCTTTGGCAGAGCGGTTTCCTGAGAAGAAAAAATAAACAAAATCTAATGGCTCTCAAAAAGTCTGTCTATCGGCAAAGTATGGTAATTTATTATTATCATTATTATTTTATTAATTGAATTGAATTTATTTTATTTATTAAAAAGCATTGTACATAACGAATAAAATAACAAGTGAAAAAATAATATTTTTTATTGTTGTAGAAGTTAATAAACTGTACCTATCATAATTATTCATACTAGCGTTCGTCCAGTAGTCGAAATTCGATCATAATATTTTTTTATTGGTAACACTAAAGCTTGTCAATAGCTAGAACAAAAAAATTGGTTGATAAACACAAACGATAAAGGTACTGAATTGTTTTGTCTTTGCCTATACATATCATTCATTATCAAATCTCCGAATGATATAACTTGCAATATTAATCGATATGGTACTTTTAATACGTTAAAATTAATTTTCGACTTTAATTTTCTAAGAAAATAAGTTATATATTTGTTTTTTGTATTAATAAAGTTTAATTTACAGTAAAAGAAGTGCAAAAAGTAGTAAAATATGATGATTTTTTAAATATTTTATTACAGCAACGTTCAGCGATGCGCGAGAGTATGCGTGTAACTGCAACGCGAAAAAGTACAGAAGATGTGAAGTTTTTAAGAACTGGAGGATGCTCTAAATCTGACTAACTTTGAACTAAAGTAATTATTATAGTTAAAAAACCGAAGAAATGAATTAGTATTTCATTTCTTTTGTCGATTTATTCTTAATTATATAATATACCTTTATATTACATGTATTTTTATTTCAATAATTTCAATAGGTACCACTTGCTTTTAGCTCCTAAAGTCGTAGAACTATCTAGATATTATAGTTATACTAACGACTCACCTACGATCGCCCCTCATTACGTTTTAACATTTACTATAGATCTCTCAGATATGAGATATTTTACCACAGTAATAAATATCCTATATGTTGACCCGATTAACAGCTATCATCATACCAAATTCCATCAAAATCGGTCGAGTAGTTTTCTCGTGATTTGTTCCCAGACAGAAAGACAGACAAAAATTCTAAAAACTATAGATTCGGCCTCTGTATCGATAATAATGACTATTTCAATAAAATTTTCCAAAAAAAAATTTATGTACAGATTCGACTCAGGTACAATTTTATTATATGTACTATGTATGGCTTTTTGTGCAAGATCTAAACCACTATAATGGTACATAACCTTACCGTGTCTAAACTGTTTAAAATTACTCGTAAGTCTATTACTATTTTGTTTACATAAAATGTCTAAGCTCTTGCCCGCTGTGGCATTGAAATCTTGAACTGGTATTTGTATGTCTCGTACGTATCGGCCCTTATATTCAACAGAGTTCGACAGCTGTAGCTGCTCTCTTGAAGACTGAAGAAGTTTTAAGTTCAATTTCCGGTCAAATTAAATTCGGCTATATTATTTTCGATTACTTAATAATTTACGTTTATTTTTAGTTTTAAGTGGAAAAGTAATGAAAAGAAAACATTTTTATATTTAATTGTTTTTATTTTCTTTTTAAAATAAAAATTTTCTCAATTGGATTTTACAAGAAACACTATATTACAAAATATTGAAAGTTATTAGTTAATTTTCGTAAATTACTAATTAGTTATTAATATTATGTTGCTATTTCTTCTTGTTTTTCATTTATTTCCGGTGTGTCTTGTTTAGAAATTTTATCTTTATTAATATATCGCATCTGAAAAAAAAATCAGGTAAATGATCCAAATTATGACCCTCGTGATTCATCGTATTTTATCTTTCCATATCCCGTATACACGTTTCATCTGGGAGTCGAACCCGTAATCTTTTCTCGCTATAAAATATACTTGTATACAATCAAAATCTGGTTAAGAAAGTACCCAAAAGCTTGTTAAGAAAGTACCCGTACCCAAGAGCTACATATATTAATTCTTTCATTAGTTTCTTTTAACGCTAAATAATTTTAATATACGTTTTTTTCCTGTAAATAAACTTACTATTATAATCAAACCTGCTACCTCCGGCGCTGTAGCTAATGTCAAAGAAATGTGAGCATAATTTATTTGATACAACTAAAGGGATAAATTAACTTACCTCAGTTTGTATTCTACGTGATTTCCTTAAACTCTGCAATCTTTCTTTATTTTGCCGTTTGAAATAGCCGCACTGAAAGAAAATGTCACTTGGTGTAAATATAAAATAGTTTTTAACTTAAAACATTTATCAGATCAACTATGACAATAGAGAGTTTAAATTGGATACCAATGCTTATTCGTGATTTATATGGAATTAACACCAAACAACATAATTTAATAATAGTTTAATAATAGTTTAACAATTTACAAAAATAAACTCTATACAACTAGCAAGCTTTTTCTGTTCAAAAACGATAACACTTATTCTCGAGTAATACGTGATCAAACAGATAAATATACAAAAATTTAAACACTTATAAACTTAACTAAAACTGTGTTCCTTGATAACCCTTATATTACACGCCCCTTGTATCAAAACGATTAATTTAATTTTAATTAAAAAGTTTAGCAAACATCAAATAGTCGTTAAATTATGTATATTTGACGTTAAAACTAATCTATAAGTACTAATATTATAAAGAGAGTGAGTTTGTTTGTTTGAACGCGCTAATCTCATGAACTACTAATCCGATATGAAAAAATCTTTTTGTATTAGATAGCCCGTTTATTGAGGAAGTCTGTAAACTATATATAACCATGCTGCTACTCAAGGGAGCGTGGCAGTAATCATAAATGTCAACCAATCAGGCAGACTTCCATACATCATTGTAAAAATGATGTTTATATCGGAAGTTTGAACGCGGGCGCAGCCACAGGTACCTACTGCTAATCTAGTCATAAAAAAATGAATATGTCACGTAGAATGAAAACATTGGGCAAATTAATCTGTGCTCAATTAGCAAGCTTTAAAGCCTAACTTATTAGCCAGATAATTAATTTAAATTAATTATTATTATTACGTGTATTAAAATATAATTACCCGTCGTAATATCAACACTACTATGAGAAGAATAAGCAATGCCGATAAAACAGCAACAATCCATATCCAATTTGGTATAGAAACTGACAGTAGCATCAACTTCGTTTCGACCCTAAAAGGCAAAAAATATTAATTATTTAGTATCTTTATATTTGTTTTACATATTTTCCCTTCAAAAAGGTTATACGAATAGGTTATATATATATATATATATATATATATATATATATATATATATATATATGACGTTAAAAATAACTAATGCTGACAAGATTAAAAGATTCCGAAAAACCAAGTGAAGCGGGTTCAAGCCTTGCCTTACGTACAGGAAAATCGCTAACCCGTACTTGGCCAGCGTGGTAGACTATAGCCGGATCCCCCTCGTATTGAGGAGAGGTTTGTACCCAGCAGTTGTGCATTAAAAAAATAATGAATGAAACAAAATTTCGTACAAGCCCCCATTTCGTACAAGCTATATTATTAGTATTAGACCTATTCGATCGATTTTTAAAAACAAAAATATCTCAAAAATTCGGTTAGCCAATGCTAGTTATTCGTGAGTAAGCAAAGTTTCTAAAACTCAACAACATCTCTCATACAATTTTTAATAATTACAATATAGTATCTCCTTTACTAAAACGCTATAAACAATCTCAAAATTGATTTAAAAGTAATTATTCCACACCTAGCGCCAGTGAACTTAAAATGTTGAATACACACATTTTTTTACGTTTTTTTTTTGTTATTTCAATTATAAAGATATCGCGTATCATACACCCAAAAACATAACACATATCGAACACTTCCTTTTTTAAAATCGATCAAAAATATCTTTGCACTAGGTACTTCTTTCAATTATATTTTGTAACCATACAAACTTTATGATACAATTGTTAATTTTGTATATGTATATAATGTATGTATATAAAAGTGCGATCGTTCTTTTTTTTCGTGAAAACCTTACAATATAAATATGTAAATATCGTAGCTGCCCTTTTAAATTATTACCTCGCAATAAGCCTTTTTTCTGACAGTAGCAAGTGGACTTCAGATAATACTGTAGCATTATTTTCTATTTCACCTGTATAAAAAAAAAACAGTTTGTCTTGAAATTGAAGGTTATCTAAATTAATGCCTAAATTAATAAAGCCTTAAGCAATATTTTTTTTAAATCTTCATATGATATCACAATAATATACATATCGTAATAAATAGCTTAAATAGCTTAAAAATCAAAATTCTATTTTTGTCCTACAAATATTAATGCCTCGGTGGTGTAGTGGCTATAATGGACTGCACATCTAGCGGTCCTGGGTTCGATCCCGGATCGGGCCAAGTTTAGTTATTGCGTCTTTCTGAAAGTCCCGTTTCGGAAGCCCCAGTGACAGCTCGGAGTTGGGTAGATAGAGGTGTTTCACCCCCGTGCCTCAGAGAGCATTTAAAGCCGTCGGCCCTGCACCTGAACTCTGACAAGTCGTGTCAAATTATCGTTCCATCGGAATTAGAGAGTAACAGAACTGGAGGGTGCATATTGTGTCTGCACTGATACTTGTGCTGACCAAAATTTATCGGGAGGACATCATGATATGTATGTATGTAGGTACCAAATACCAATTTTTTTGGTGCACTAGGTTCAGAAAGAAGCGCTGTAAAAAGCAATGAACAAGCAACTGATTTTACGCGGTTCCATTTTTTATTGAATGTACTTCCGTACGTTCCATAAAAAATGGGTTATCCCAATAAAAATATCATTTTAATTTAAAAATATACATACCCAAGTTGTTTGGTAGAACATCGATAGATAGAAACAACAGTGCCTCACTAGCCTTTAGTAGTTCAAAAGAGCATAGCATGTTTGTGACTCCCTTCACTACCATTGTCTTATGAGAACACTCTATTGAGAGTGTTTCATTTTCTCTTATTAATTTCTATTTGGCAACAAAAACTAAGTATAAATATCGTGTTTCAAGCTTTACTAGCTTAACATTTTATGCTGAAGGTCACAGCTTCTCTTCCCGGTGTGAATTTAATAAGCAAACCTTATCAGATGACTTCCATGCTACATAGTATGAAATTTGCATTCCAAATATCATTAACAACAATTGTTGGCAATTTTACCAGACTTGTTGAAAATTGATATTATGCATTTCTACCAGCTCATTTCCCATTTTCCCTTTGTTACCTTATATGGCTGACGCTTTATACAATTCGAAGTTAAAACAAACATCACCGAGAAATGACTTACGTGATGACTGACAGATTGATTTAAACGTGTTTTGTCGATTATTAATCATTATCTTCTGTATTAAAAGCAAAGTACATATTCTGTTACATACATACATATTCTAAATATGTGGACATCAAAAATCAAATGACAGAATGAATGAAATGATGAATGAAAAAAAAAGTGCAATGATAGATGTAAGCTATACCGTTTCTGCGAGAATCGAACTCGTGACCAAAGCGACATACTTGTAGGTATATTGAAAACTTCACTTAAAGAAGAAATTGAAAAAGTTTTTATATAAGACATTACCAGTACAGGTGTTTGATAATTGATGTAATTTTTTCTTTGTAACTTTATACGAATGAATACTTCATAAAAGTCAATATAACCTTTGTTGCTTATCTGAAAAAAAAAGCACCATATTTAATAGCTATACTGTACTTGTGTCTTTAACGTGAAGAAAAATGACGTGAATTGCCAACCCGCATTTGACCAGCGTGATGGACTGTGGCCTAATCCGCGTCACAGTAAGGGAAGACCCATGTCTAGTAGAAAACATTAAAGAGCTGAATTATTATCTATCTGTTATTATTACATTACATTATTATCTGCTTTATAATCTTTACGTCCGTCCGTCTCAAAGAACAGACACTATATATAGTCCTCGCAGTTGGCTAGTCTTAATTAAATATAGCAATATAGCAATTAAAATACTTATTAAATTTTTAAAATGTTTAGAAATACTAAAAATCAACAAATATTTATAATATTTATATTAAGTTCTTTGGTGCCATTTTTGAATTTTTGAAATCATTTTTGTAAGATAGTGGGTAGGCACTGTCTGTAACAAGTATATAAAACCTTTGAGACGTCTATAACCTTAGTATCTCCCATGACCATGATTGCTGTAAAGCATTCGAAACGTAGGGAACCAAAAATCAAAATAAATCCGCGAAATAATCCGAAAAAATAGTTTTATTTAAAATGTCAAATAGTCGTGTAAATCTAAGAAATTATTATGAATAAAAATATATTGAACCTTACCGTATAAACATGCTGAATTTTTTTAACGGAACCAACATCATTGTCTGTAATATTAAGAACCTTATTTGGAATTGAAGCCCTAGAAGAAAAAATATTCTAATATACACAATACACATATTATACACATAAATACAAAAAAGAATGCTAAAAATAACACATAGATCACATCACATAGTTAATGGTGCTTTCAATCTTTTATTAAGGTTTTATCTTAGGAAATATTCAGAAGCAGTCGAGAAAAGTTATTACAAATACCAACATTCTTTACTACTTACTACACATCACATTTTTTTATAATATAATAACCCCATTTTGATAAAAATACACTTATTCTGATTCATTAGTTCTATACTAGAACTTATTTTTGATTGTAACTATGAGAGTTATATAACAGATTCTTATCTACTCTCACTTTTGCTTGCGTTTACACTTGAGCGTGTTATTTGATTTAATAGTAATCAAACCTGCACGCACTATCGTACATTTTGTTTACTTTTAACTTACCCACTAATATGAAAAACGTCATAGTCAAAAATCAATGGATAATATACTTCTTCAGTGTGCTTTTCCGTTTCGTTTTCACAATGACCATAAATATCATATTGAATACCCAAATGATCGTCTTTATTGGTCAATGCACTTGTGTCGATTCCAATGTCTCCAACTGGCTGGAATGAAATATTTAAAAAAATATATAGTCGCGCTTGTATTTTAACAGCCAGTGGTAGAAATTCGACCATAAAATTATTGATATTTATTTATTGACTAGCATTGCCCGCGGCTCCCCCCGCGTTCAGATAACCAAAAACCGAATTCTTAAGTTTGACATATCAGTATACTCTTACATTGCAGTTTTTGTATTTTTTCTCAGAAATAAGTCATTTTCCCGCGGTAAAAAGTATCCTTTATGTTGACCCGGATAATCAGCTATCACCATACCAAATGTCATCAAAATCCCTCCAGTGGATTTTCTGTGATGCGGTAACAGACAGACAGACAGACGAAAATTCTAAAAACTATAGATGCGGCCTCTGTATCGATAATAATGTTTATTTCAATGAGATTTTCAAAAAAATATTTAATGTACAGATTCGGCTTAGATACAATTTTATTATATATATATAGATAGCACTAAAACTCGTCAATAGCTACTTAACAAAAACCATCTATTGACAATCATAAGAGAAAAGGTACTGAATTGTTGTCTTTATCTATTTATATAAAAAATAACTGCTACAATAAACGTTTTAACTACTAATAAAAAATAAATTAAAAAAATCAATTAACAAACAAGAGAAAAAGGTACTGAATTGTTTTGTTTTTGCCTATTTAACCGACTTCCAAAAAGGAGGAGGTTCTCAATTCGTCGGAATCTTTTTTTTATGTATATTCACCAATTACTCCAAGACGCCTGAACCGATTTGGATTTTTTGTATCAAAAGATATATTTCCCAGGTGTTCCCAAATAAATTTTATCGAAATCGGTCGTGCGGTTTTTAAAAAATCAACAATAATATTTTTTAAATAAACTGTTTAATCGAATATGTTACGAGCACCGATTATATTATTGGCACCGACTTCGAAAATATCTGATTAGGTATCTATTCTAAATGAAAACGTCCGTTTAGTTATTTTTTACATTTTAGTGCCTGGAAGTCGGGTATTATTATTTTTTTAAGTTTTTTATCATATGAAGATGTTTTATAACAAGAAATTAAAAAAATAGTTTCAACTATATCTTACCCATATGATTCCTGTGGGTATCTTTTGTGGAGGTCTGCATAGAAACTTCCGAGTGCTGTTATAGCGACTGCAGCTCGGTGATATGTTTTGAACGAATGCGTTTGAAACCGAGATCACAACACACGCATCATACGCGGTCTCACCCAAATTCTGGACAAGTACGGAGAACCGCTCCAATGATTGTAATCCTACTTTGTATGGATTACTGTTGGATAATTTAATAAAAAATTATAAGCATTAAAATATGTAGTTTTATAATATATAGGTATTAGAGTAATGCAATCTAACTAAATGAAAAGGTTAACTCTTATGCTAGGTCCAAACGCTTGCCATTTGCCACGAACTTTCACAATTCACAAGCACTTGCCGTACCTTTATTTGTACATAAACATCTATACTTAGGCAAACTTACAACCTACAAGCCAAGCCAAACGCCTTCTTAACAAGCATGTGGACACCCAACTAATAACTAATACCACTTACGTTAAGGTAGTCTGAAGCGTTACAGTGCGGAGTTTAGGCACACAACGGCAAGACAATTTGCAGTCTGCAGCACATACTGACTTCTGCAGTGTCAGAACGCTTCTATCACTCAAAATTACTTCAGGCGCGCTAAAGATCGTGCTCTTGAAAGCATTTATCTTCGCGGTGAAATTAAATTTTATTAATTCTTCGTAATTACCATTCTGTAACAAATTTTCATTTCTAAACTTAGCAATATATAGCAATTGATTAATAACATTGTAACTCTTAAGTCTCTTTCTTGGTGATCACTGACAGCCAATATTGATGGGTGTTAGGAAGTGTACCAGGTTACTCCTGGTATTTCTCTGATTACGTCTACATGCCGATTGCTCCTGGTACCTCTCTGATAATAGAGTGGTATTTAAGTTTAGTTTAATTATTTAGTTAAGTTCCTAGGGTTTGGGTGGATTATAATTGGTTATACATGTATATAAAGGTGGAATGAATAAATTCATTTCATATTTCAGTTCTCATTTAAAAAAGGTGGTCGTCTAATTGCGATGCAAACAATACAAAATAAAAGTTTAATTGACATGAAATTTGTTTGTTTTTTTGTTAGAAGTACGATATCTTTATCGAACGTTTTTAAGGGGGAAAGGATGTTTAGGGGTGACAACATCAATAACCATATGCCGCATAGAGTTTTGATAATAGGGAAAGTTAAAAAAGAAAGAGGGATATTCTACCTACGGATGAAAGATGTACCATATATATACATACATATACATTACGGCACAAACAAATAAGGAGTCATGTAAAAGTGAGTAACATAATCATTTCTTTGATCTAATAATACGCTTCATTACACCATCCTTCCAATCTCCCATTTATAATTTTATTTATTACGGCAGCCTTACCCAAATTGTGTTTGTACATTCGTGTCTCATAATCAAATCTGTCAATCCCAATATCGTCATCAATGTATCATCATATATCTCATAATGTTAAAGCCCAATTGCCATTTTATTTTGCTATCTATCCTCTATGTGAAAGTTAGATGCTTTATTTTCTCTATATATTTTTTCTACAATAATATTATTTTATTCTTTTCATCACTATTTTGCTGTATTTTCTTACAATGTCACTAATAAAACTTCGAGATATTCCTTGCATATATTTTTATACTAGCGACTCACCCACGCTTCGCTCGGGTTCGTTCCTAGCCTGCTTCCCCTACAAACTTTCATCCCCATTCTCACCCCCTTAAGGGATGATTTCCGGGATAAAAACTATTTCACTCATTCACTTTTCATATCATGAGATTTAAAATATGGGGCATTTCACGTGAAGCGGACAACGAAAATAAAGTGAGTTTGTGAAAATTGTTCATACTCTGGTCAGTTATAGTTCTAGTGGACATGGATGTGCAAATACATTATTTTTTTCGTATGATGCTTTATTGCCGAGTTATGAGCTTTTAAAAATTTACGAAGTATGAAATCCGTACTTTTTGAATGCTTATTATTTGTATCATAGTTATCATAGTTTGAGGCTAGTCTTGTTTGGAAAATAAACACTTACAGACATCGTAACAATGAAATCCTTGCAAATTCTTGGAAGCCGTTCTTCTAAATCAAATATAGACGGTTCCAAATCATCACCAAAGCCCACCAATTTTGCTGCTGCATGTATCACATCAATTTTAAGTTCGATTTCTGCAAACAATAAAGATTTCAACATATTAATAAACTATCAATCACCCTCGCTTCACTTGGGTTCGTCCCGATGTACATATAATAATAAAAATATTTTTCTAATAATGTATGGAAGTCTGCCCGATTTGCTGACATTTATAATAACTGCTCCGTATAAGGCTATATATAGCCTATATAGCATTTCTTAATAAATGGGCTATTTAATGCAAAAATAATTTTACAAATCGGGTTAGTAGTTTAAACGAACAAACAAACTCTGCCTTATAATATTAAGTATAGATAAAAGCTTAATTAATATTGACTTTTATTTTTTATTGCAAATAATTTGAAAATGTTGTAAGTAGCTGCTATTTCATCATTTCATCTTATGTAACAATGAAATATAACTTTTGGCGAAGATGGTAACGTGTAACGCCATATTGTTTTACAATGTGTAAACTAAAAGTAAAATATAGAAATGATGGGTAATGATTACTTAATATTATAAAACGAGAGGAATTTATATATTCGCTTATTTGTTACCTCTTAAAACCTTTTAGGTTTTAACCTTCTTATATGATGATATTTGGCACGCATATTTGATTAGGCATAAATACTAATATTATAAATGTGAAAGTAAGTCTGTCTGTTATCGTTTCACGTTATACGACTGAACAGATTTTCATAAAATTTGGCGAGGATATAGAGTGTGCGTAGCTTAGTACTGTGCGAAGAAACGCACTGGGAGGTGGCCCACCTAGGTGGGCAGAGTGCCATGAAGAGTACTCGTAGTAGTTCTCAGATAGCAGAGTAGACCGTTGAAGCAATCCTATAGATGTTGTGGTCTGCTTCAGCAGACCTGCCGTTGGGACGTCATGTTTGAGTGCGTAAGCGATCCTGCGATGCTCTATTAATACGGAGGAGATTCCGGGTTTTAATGGGTAGTACTAACGTTGCCGATGAGTCCCACATAACCATCTTTAGAGATGCCAAAAATCTTGGTCTCTCTCATGACAATCATTGCTGTATTCGTAACGAAAACAAAAAAATCTAAATAAATTCGCGAAAGAAAAAAAAACTCTTTTGAATTTAACTGTTTTGGCGAAACTGCGAAATAAGAAAAACAAACACTTACGTGATCGAATTTTTATCGGATCCAGCGGATATGAAACATTAAGACATGCTCTGAATTTATAATATTCTCCATCATTTGTTTTCTTCTGAAAATTTAAGACCAGTTTAGGATATGATAACTGAATTTCATATTAATAAGTTCTACAATAATTTAACTGACATTATTGTGGATCAAGTCTTTCAAAGAACGTCATGGGATTATCATTCATGAGATTTCTTTATCGAAGATGTAATATTGTCTATATAGTGTATATGTAGATACATATATGGTTTGTGGACTTCTTGAATAAATAAATAAAAGACTGATTACTTTTCTTAATCTATGTATATAATATATCGTGTTGTGTGAGCAACGAAATAGGGGGTTTTTGCTAAATTCAATTGTTAAAAATCTTTAAATTAAATATACATATAGTGACGTTGATAGATTTGAAAGATTGTGATCTTGAGACTAGTTAATTGCACAAAAGATATACATAAAACACTTTGTGCGTAAAATCAAGAGATCTCTATTTCTTACCTTCTTATAATCTATAAGGCGACAATTTGATATGGCCAGTCAGGTAATAGGTGCGGCACCGACTTTATGTTATTTCCAAGGATCCTACTTGCCAATTGCGGGCTGCTAACTATTCGCGACTCGAACCCAAGCCCTCAAGATCTGGAGCCGTACATACTAGCCACGACCAACAAGCAAAAAATATTAGAACTCACCTGTACGTTTGGCAACTCTGCATCCAGTTTGACAGTAAGAATTGGAATGCATTTCAATATGAAAGCATAGTTACTTAAAGGCGCACCAACCCCAAGACCTATAGAAATAAACACATAAAATATAAAAAACACATCACAATGTATTATGTGTTTTGAACATCTAGAACACAAAATATTAATTTAATTTCAAAAAAAATTAACAACAAGTTAATAAATACAATTTAATTAAGTTTATTTTTTACTGTTTAGTTATTTTTTTCTTCTCAGCAAACCCTTTTATTTGATATCCATATCATGAGAGTGCATAAAAAACATATTCCGCCATCTTTGGGAATCCACCATATTGGATTTAGAATTACGTTACTTAGCTAACCATGCATTGTCATCCAAACTAAACGTGTATGTAAAATTTCAGCTCAATCAGTTGCGGATAACTGCTTTAAAATTCAGCTGCAAGATTTGACTGGAACAAGCATTGATACCAATATTGCATTAGGAAAAAATGTGTTTATTCAGATTATTACGTACCATTACATTTTGTTCCACTAACATCGGGAATTGGTGCCAGACTAAATCCAAAAGATTTAAATTTTTCCGGTTGAATCTTTCGCAACCATGTTTTATCATTAAGCAGACTAAATCCGGTGTAAATATACACGGCTCCTTCACCGTCATATGGTGCTCCAATTGCCACTTCTATAATAATAAATTCAAACAAAATATAAAATACGTGCAATTGTTAGTAACATATAATATTAGCTTTTGCTAATGTAGTTTTCTATTGCGTATGTATTGAGCCCTTTTTAACTTCCCACTGCTGGGCACAGGCCTTCCTTTAAAACGAGGGGGACAGGCCATAGTCCACCACGCTGGCCAAGTATAGCCAAGTTTTCTTATATTGGAAGGATATTATAAATATATAAAGCCGGTTTTTGTAAAATAGTTTAACGTCAACGGTCCAGTAAGATATGTAGTTTGTTAGTGGCTATGTAAATCTAAATAACAATTTACGTCCCCCGCATTACCGTCCGGCAATCCTGCCGGGCTCATTTATTATTTATCTCATTTATTGCTAAATATGAGGGCTTGCGTATAGTTTAATGTTTTACCATCTCTTCCGTCTCCATCTATATCTCCAAGACTAACTATTGAAGCACCAAAGTATCCGCCGTCTACTGTCCCTTTTAATATCCTTATGAGTTGCGGAGCCTGAAAATAGATGGGAACCTAAATTTACAAAATGATTGATTCGGAGTACTCACTGTATTCAGCCCTTTTTAACGTCCCACTACTGGGCACGGGCCTCCCTTCAATACGGGGGGATCAGGGCATAGTTCACCATGCAAGTCAGCCAACACACACTTGTGCGTTGGCTGTTATATAATACTTACACTAGATAGTAATTTCGCTTTTTCTGCTGGTACATATACGTACACGGCTCCAGTGTTGTAACGACTATTGCTAGCGAACGTTGGGGCTCCCACCAATAAAGAAGTGCGAGTATGCCCCAAGCGAGCTGCACAAAGTACTGCCCCATATATAGAGCCAACTTCACCGACATCGAGTAATTTTATTTTCTTCAGTAATTTATCATAGAAATAAACCTAAAATCGAAATAAACATAGATAAATATATTTTATCCGTATTCTAAACAAAATATGGGCCGAGATATAGTAGAGATAAGAAGAAAATATGATATGATAGAATATAAAAAGTCGATAATTTATAATGATAATTGAAATATTTAAAGTATATCTATAATTTTCTTGCATTGCACACAGTCCTGCTCATGTAACAGACACATCGATAAAAAGTTGACTTTGACTTTCAAGGATGGTCGGTGATGGTCTATTTATAGGTTAAGAGAAGCGGGGCTAACACCTTAGTAGACCCTCTTTATCACGTCTTCTGAGTAAGAAGAGGCGCTGGTATACATATATTCTTCCACTACCTAAAAGAACTTCTGTTGGAAGGCCACTAGTTGACCTTCCGGGACGACATCCGGGCGATTAAAATGTTTCACGATCCCAAAGCATTTAGATACGGTATCCCGCATGGTTAGGGCAGTCCTCACGGGTGTTGTAGTGCGCGTAATACATGATTTCGTATTAAAATAGACGAAAGAGAAGTCTAAAAATAGTAATACCCGTCCTTCTCCATGTTCTCCATACGGAGTGCTGATAGCATAAATAATTTCTTCGTCCGATAAAAAGTTTCCACTTGCGATACTGTATCCTAAAATAAATAATAATGTAATATATTCGAAACTTCAAAATTATTTAAATGTGAGCACGTAGCTTTATTCTATAAGATATATACATATTATATACGAATTACAAACCTAAGTTAGGAGTATCTGTAATTAACGTTCTTGGAGGTGTCAAATAATTCTCATAAATTTCTACTCCACCTGTAAAATAAACAATAGATAAAGTATAATATAAAACACATATGTTATAAGATATTTATTTAGGGCATAGTTATTATTTCCATCACTTATATCTGTATAATACGGTATAATATTGTAAAAGTAAAATGAAATTATCTATATATAAATAGGCAAAGACAAAACGGTTAAGTACCTTTTTCTCTTCTATTTGTCAACCGATAATTTTTGTTTCAATAAAAAATGTTGGGAAATAGTTATTTCGTTTTTCGTCAAAAACAAACAAATATTTTTTGGAAATAGTTTTTTTTTAATATAAATAGGTTAATTCTATTCAATATACCATTTACCTCAAATTTTTAGTAATGGTTACTGCTTAATTTCGACCACTGGACGAGACACTAGTAAAAATATTTAACAGTCTTAATACATCGTGAAAACTAAAATATTTTTTTCTATAAACCTAAGAAAATATTACTTTTTTCCTTTACACTAGATTATACGACTGGACAGATTTTGATAAATTATACTTATTTTTATCATATGAAAATGATGATGTTCTCCTAGCCGATTCCGGCCACGGCGGCCATTCTCATTGAGACTAGCCAACTGCGCAGGAGATATTATAGTGCACAAGTGTACGCGCTGACACAACGTGCACTCTCTATTCCTGTCACTCTCATTCTCCGGTGGGATGACTACTCGACACGACCAGTGAGAGTTAAGGCGGTAATGCATATGAAAATATCAATTATAAATACATACATACCGGGCCCTACGCCTTGACCACCAATAGCAATAATATTAGTTTGATTATTAATATCTACGATCCATCCAAAGCTCTCTACACCACCATCTAGAAAGCAAGAAAAATTACAAATATTATAATAAAATGGTTACAAAGCGAAATCTTAACATGATTTTTTTTTAATCATTGACAGTTACGTATTCTGTACACAATAACTCCAAAATTTAATAGCATTACATACATAACAATAAGTTAATTATTATTGAAATTTATGCCTTTTTGTCTGTATATCTGGTTTTCACGCACAAAAAGATTTTAACTAAATACCTACTGTGTATTATGTGCCTTATTACTCAACAACAAACAAATAAACAAACACACTTTCACATTTATAATATTAGTATGGATGTAGGAGATGACAGTGATACGTCGGAAAGTGAAAATTAATAAATAATGTATACAAATATTTAAAAATACAGTAATTTTACTTTAATGTTGATTTTATTTTATTACAAATTATTAATAATTCCTCACTAAAGCATTAGCAACATGAACGAGCCCTATGAATTCAAACCAGTTGCAAGTGTTAGTGGGCGGAGCTGGACAATTTTCTGTCCTTATCAGTTTGTATGCTAATGTGGGACAGAGAAAGCGCTTTGCATGGTTCACTCCGTAAACAGAGTATAGTATAGTATAAAAACAAAGTCACTGTCTGTAAATATATAATATTCGCAGTTAACGAAGTATTACACCCTACCCTAGAAACGAAATTTATAATTTTATTGTATGAAGATTATTTATTATAAAATATTTTATATGAAAATAGAGTAATCGTTAAAAGTTATAATTATAATAAATACTTACTCAACGGTTTTCGATCTGGTAGTTCCATATCACTTAGTTGTACTATATCATCACTGCTTGAAAATTTGTAACAAACACCTTTTGTGACTAGTTTAACTAAAAATAAAGAATAGAAAATATATCGTGTTGTCACGAGATTGGTAAAACTAAAAAAAATGTGTTTACCATCTTTCGCTTCAATCTGAATTCAAAAATTGCAAATTTTTAAATTTTCGTAAAGTTGATTTTTTTTTATTGAAAAGAAATGCAAAAACAATAATCAAAATGGAGAAAACTTAATGTCTTAATGTAAAACATATCTATGAGATAAATACAACTTTTGCTTCATGCAGGAATCGAACCTTTACAATCTTATGCAGTAAGTCTAACAATACTAATATGATACAAAGATATATTTTACTTAATGCTTAAACTTTATACAGTAATTACAGTATATTACAAATAATTATTTATTTATATTACGATTACTAAAATTTAATTTTATTACTTGCTTACCATATTTATAGATAGTCCTTGGGGCACACGTCTGAAAAATAAGTTACTTTCTTAGCAGTTTTTGGTTGTAATATTGAATTTCTAAAGTTAGCAACCATATGTGTACTTTCTCTTTCATTCTCGTAGTCTAAGCATTACAATCATGAGTGCGAGTGATATGGCTTTACGTGCTCATCAAAACACAGATTTGTCATACACCATCATTTACCCAACTAGTAAAAAGGGAAATCCCTATAACTCTTTTAGCTATGCCCGGGAATCGAACTTATAATTTCGTTATTTGTATTATATACGCCTAACAATCAAATAAGACAGTCAAAATTTATATTAATACTACTATATCTAAAGTGAGCTATAACTGATTTGTAGTACTTACAACGACATACTTAGATCCACTCGTGAGATATGCTCCCAGCCAATAATCATTTGTATAATTTGAAGGCGATTCTAGAAAATATATAAGTTTTGCTTATCACTTTGAAAGCAATAATAAATATCAATCAAATAAATAATTATCAATTATTCTTTATGACTTTTACTTGCTTGTGTTATCTATTTCTTACTACAGGTCTTAACATTTGTTTTTAACTTATTAATGTATTTTTTTATTTATTTTTTACGAATGTTTTATCTCTTATCTCCTAACTTTGTTATAAGTATAACTATAACAACGGAAACTTTTATTGGTTATATTTTATTAATAATTTGTTACTAATGAATGAACGAACGAATGAAACAAGTACACAAAAGAATGAAGAAATTGTCTATTTTTCTTCATGTAGGAAATACCATGAAATACAAATTTGTTTTGCTACTAGTGAAATAAATATGCATAAAACACTTTTCTTGAAAAGAAAAGAGAAGAAATCATTCAATCATTCATCATTTGCTTTTAACATAGATGTCACAGTTAAAAATTTTAGTAAAAAAAAGACGTAAACTCAACAAACGAGACCCAAGCAAAATCTAGTTTATAGAGAAAAGCCAAAAGCCAAACGATTTCTTATGGAAATTAAATAACAACTTATATATTATTATATAGCATTTCCCGCAGCTCCGCCCGCGTTCAGATGACCAAAAACCAAATTCTTAGGTATTACATAATATTATACTCTTTCATTGCAGTTTTTGTATTTTTTCTCAGAAATGAGATATTTTCCCAGAGTACAAACTATTCTTTGACCTGGATAACCAGCTATCACCATACCAAATTTCATCAAAATGCCTCCAGTAGATTTTCTGTGATGCGGTAACAGACAGATAGACAGACAAAAATTTTAAAAACTATAGATTCAGCCTCTGCATCGATAATAATGTTTGTTTCAATAAGATTTTCCAAAAATATTAAATGTACAGATTCGGCTTAGTTACAATTTTATTATATGTATAAATAAGAACAATGATTAATTAGCTGTATATTATGTTTATATATAAACGTATTATGATATCATTGTAAAAACCTATTTACCTCGTTCGAGTTTGAATGCAATTTCATTAAATGACTTTTTGATAACATCATAACTAAATATTTTTCCTATATTGTCCGCTGTTGGTGCACTTATGAAGAGTCTGGAATAATAAAATAATACCTAGGTATATTAAAGTTTTTACTGACATCCAAAAAGAAGGATGACCTCAATTCGATTGTTTTTTGTGTATGTTAAACGACCCTCGTCATATTTTGTTGAAAGACTTCTACCATTCTTTTTTTTTAATTAAAAAAAAATAGGGATTATCCTATAGAAAAGAAATCCATCCAAATTTGCAATAAAATTTCGTATTAATTTTAACACTGGAGATTTTAGTTAAAAATTATATAATAAGAACATGATGATTATAAGTACCTTAGTTCAGTTATCATTATTGTATATTATACATTATTATACAATAATGATAAGTAAACTTATCATCATTATTCTATAAAAGTGTTTTTTTTATTATTATTAAATAATAATTTTATTATATATTTTTTATCTCATTCAAAATTCGAAACATATCCGTAGGAGCTCAGCTCTAAGTCAAATACAAGTAATAAAATTGACTTTTCGATTCTTATATAATTAGTAACACATTTTCAGCACTCGATGACCACATTTGCCTTGATTATAACAAATGAAGCCGGTCTCATAATAAAACTAAAAGTCCATAAGAGCATATTTCAAATAAATAAAGCTTACTAAAATATAAATTCTCAAAAATAGATTCAGGACCAAGAAGAAGTCATGAAAGCTCAGCGGCGCTTTTCATTTTGTTTTATTCGTCCCTAAGTACGTTTTAACGGTTAATATGGAATAGATAGACTATATATTATATTATATATAGTTTATAGCCTTCCTCAATAAACGGGCTATCTAATGCAAAATAGAATTTTTCAAATTAGTTTAGTAGTTCCTAAGATTAGCGCGCTCAAACAAACACATAAACAACCAAACAAACAAACAAACAAACAAACAAACAAACAAACAAACACACACAAACGAACAAAGAAACAATCAAACAAACTCTACCTCTTTATAATATTAGTATAGATGACATGCATATATAAAATATAAGCTAATAATTTCAATCTTATATACTCACTGTTTATTAAAATAAGTGATGCTGAATCCAAAATTTGACTTATTATTCAACGTCTCAGGCGCATTGATTAATCTCATAGATCGACTGTCGTATACAGCTAACACCGTCGATATACACAAGTGGAATGAAAACGTTTGTATTACCCCTGTAATATTTAAAATTCTATAATTTATTAGTAATCTCTATAAAGTAATGTCCATTTTAAATGTATGGTATTATATCCATCGGTCACACAAGTACTAGATAGACAATCCCATACAAAAGTTTTCTTAAAACTATCAACAATTGTGTTTAGGTAATTATTCTAGTTGAAATAAATATGAACAGAACAATAAAAATTGAACCTTAAATGCAATGCTTAAAATTGCTTTCACAAAAAAGTTTTAAATTAAAAGCGCGCCCAAATTTTCAATTGAACGCTCATTCGGTGTGGACATTTTTTGTCGCTGATTGTGTATCTAGTACTTTTTTGATCAATGATTTATTGTATGTATTCAGCCCTATTTAACGTCCCACTGATAAGCACGGGCACTGATAAGGTCGAGGAGGATCAGGCCATAGTCCACCACGCTGGCCAAGTGCGAGATGGCAGACACAATATGTATTTCGAAAACTTGCTAGGTTCTCTCAGACATGCAGGTTTCCTCACGATATTTTCCTTCACCGTAACACAAGTGGTAATCATGATGATATTGATTCGAACAGGAAAATATCAGAGGTGCGAGACCCGGGATTTGAGCCCGCTTCACTCGGTTTCTAAAGCGAGCGCGTTACCACTGCGCTAACACTGACATTATATAATAAATACTAAACAAAATTAGGGCAAACATAAACCTCTTTATTTTAATGATATAAAACTGGCTATTTACGATGTTTTTAACTTTTCTTTATGTACTTCTTTGTATTTAAACGCAACTTATAACTACTAGACTAGGTACTAAGTTTTTGGGACAATTCGTCTGTATTATTTACGTCTGTTTTATATTAGAAATGTAATGAAAGTCTGTACATTTTGTTATGGAAGGGCGAAGTCTCCTAATATAGGCAAAAATTACTTTCTTAAAAGGGGACCTCAACCACAAACTTTGTCAACACTATTATATCTTTATGTAAATAAAATATTTTTATTTTATTTATTTATTTATTTAATACAATTAATTTCATAAAAATCATTACATTTAAAAATAATAAGTTTATCCTATTGAGGTACTGTGCTTTAAATATAAGTGTCAAAAAATCGAATTGTACATCTACTATTTTTATTCGTAGTTCGTACTTAGTTCTAATATATTATACTTTCCTGCATTAGAAATATGTTGGGACATTAACACACAGCACCATCTAGTTCCATGATAAGCTACGAGGCCTTTGTTATGGATACCAGATAGTTGATACACTACACATATATATCTTTAAATACATACATATTATTAATATAAACACCTATGACTGGAGTACAAGTTAACATTCGTGCTCATCACACAAATGATTGCCCTTAGCGGGACTCGAACCTGCGACCGCTGGCACAGCAAGTAGCGTCACTACAAACTGAGCCAAACGTGTCGTCAACTGCACTATACATACTGTTGTACTCTAAAAGTAATCAAACTCTACACTATAAAATAATTATAACCAAAAGATATAATTTCATACTTTAGTAAAATTATAATATAGTGAAAAAAAAATATAAATCTAAAATAAATAAATATAAATCTAAACTAAATATAACAAAAAAAAACAATTAAAATAAATAAAATAATAAAATGTTACAACTTACTCATGATTAAAGTATTAGCAATAGTCCCCTCTGGCTTAATTCTGTAACATGACTAAATAAGTCGTTAAAATATTGCATTGTGTCATAGTTATTTACGAAAATATAGTTTAAAATTAACAGTAGAAGTGACGTCAGCCATTTAATAAGATTTATTGAAGTATAAATATCTTCTGCTTGTTTTGTAATCTGGAGCTTTATTAAAACGTTTTATTTTATTCACAATCACTAAACACAACTCTTCCACGCTATTTCACAATTTATACTGTGGCTTTTTATCTCATCCGCCCGTAAATCTATACATATAATAAAATTGTAACTAAGCCGAATCCGTACATTAAATATTTTTTGGAAAATCTTATTAACAAGTATTTACAAGTGCTCTAAACTTTCATAACTTTTTTTATTTTTTGAGATATTTTAATATTTTTGTTATATTTTATAATTAATATATTTAAAAAAAATTGAAACTTGTCCATTACAGGAGACCACAGCTTGCTCATTGCTCATTTATCTATTATATTATGACTAATTTCATTATGACTATTTATCTTATATAAATTTCTGAACTATTTATCCATACATATAAATAAAATTGAAGTTTATGTCTGTGATTTTAAAATTTCTGTTTTCGCAAGTACATAGGTATGTACATATAAGATGCAGTACCTAATCAAGCCTTTCTTAAAATTTGTTAAAAAAAACAAAAAATAGGGTCACTACAAACTGAGCCAAACATGTCATCAAATATATACAAACTGTTGTTTATCGCTATTTCTATTAGTGATAACCGTATCAAAATATATTATATAGCTCTATACCACTAGTCGAACCGGAGAAATAGATAGAAATAAAAGAACAGACCATGAAAATGAGAAATTTGTGTAATAAATCATTGAAATTTTAATATGAAGGACAAATCGGTCGAACAGATTGTTGTTTACCCGTGGGAATGAAAGATTTTCCTGTTTGTGTGTGCTATACAAAATAGCATTCAAAGCAAGCAGATATACAGACAAACAGACAAAAAATTCAAAAACTATGATTTTGGTATACACTGTACACAACACGTAATAGTCATTGTGTTAAAAAAATATTTAATGTACCTACAGATTTCGGTTTGTTACTATTTTATTATATGTAAGACAATATACTGGAATGCTATTGATTATTTCCACATGAACTGACGATATATGAGAGATCATGATTTAGCTACACTTTTTTCAGTAAGTACATACTATTTTTTATGCCCAGTTCCGTTTGTGTAATATACAAGTCGGTAAAAACTAACCAGGGTTATTTATTTAAGGATAGTGTTATTATTTTGTATGAACTTTAACACCTCCAGGTAAATTTCTAAGAAATTAATTAAAATTCTAAGAAATCTATTGTTAACTGACACGCCGGCGTGTCCGCGATTATAGCAGGGTTAAAACAGTTTAGGTACTTCTACGATGGTCAAATTCTCTGAGACTAGTAAGGCATTATATAACAAGTGCTCGCAGCAATACAAGTGCATTCTCTGTACGTCGATTTATTAGGCGCAGGAGAGCTTTACATGCTCTCTGCTTCCAGGCACGGAAGAGAACAGAAAAACCATTAACCATAATTGGTCCGAGCTGACATCGAACTCAGGGCCTCCAGATCTGTATGTAATATAATTTTCTAATGACTAGCAATTAGCCTGCTAAACAAATAACATATATTTAAAAACTGTATTATAGAATACTAAAAAGTAGGAAGCAAAGTCAGGAACAATCGTTCGTATATAGCATTTAGCTAATAATAAATTATTACGTACCTATTTAACGGAAAGTGCAGTATAGAGACGGATTTACATTCGTTAAAACGACTGGTTTAAAAAAATGTTTATTATATACTAAATTATATTTATTTTATTTTGTGTGATGACTGTACTTAGTAGCCAACAAAAAATAGCTTAAGTCGTATAAAATAAATAAATAAAAAAATCGAACGTAAATGTTTGTGAAAGTAATACAGCAAATATGAGTAAGTGATTTATAATATATGTAATATAATATTTTTTATTAGATTTTTTAATGTTACATTTTCTACTTGAATAAGTTAAAGGATATAAAAGTTTATAAATCATTGTAAATTTATGTCATGATTTAATTATATACAAGTGAACTTGCAAAGTGTTAGATACTAAAAGTGTATGACTCATAAAAAAGGTGTTTTACGTTTATATATTTTAATTTAATTAAATGATGGTTCCAGATAGCTAAATTAAAAATAATTTATTATTTTTTGTTTTTTACTTATTAATTAATTCAAAAAAAGCTAAAAGAAAATTTAATCCATTTCCATTTAATAAACTGTAGAACATAATTTATAAATGTCTTCGATTTTGTTTATTTTTTGAACTAAAACTTCTTTAGGCGTGACTGAGGAATAAGTAAATAAATTGGAAAAATGAGTGTTGCGGAAGTGAGAGTCAAATTAATATATATATATATATGTATATATATATGTATATATATATGTATATATATATATATATATATATATATATATATATATTAATATATGTATATATATATATATATATATATAATAATTATTATTTGGAAAAAATATATTTATTTTTAATAATTTTATAATAATTATTACTTGTAAAACTAAATATTTATTACTGTGGGATGAGTGTGCAAAAATAAAATGAAAGCTATTATGACCAATGTGTCAAGTGTGAATGAAAGAAGAATGAGTGAAATCGACAGAGTTAAATAATGAATGAGAAAGTTTTAGTTTTAAAAAAGGAAGCAAACTGCAAAGACGTATTATACTATTGAAAAATTAACAAACGTATTAAAGTTATTGTGGTATGATGGTTTTATTGCTGGTATCCTCTGTACCACACTACAAATAATTTTACTAAAAAAATATTATATTTATATTTTGATTTGTTTTAATTTAATTGCCGTATCTGCCACAGCGTCCAAGATGTTTTACTTCAACCGCGTAAAGGTTTCACGCACTGTTTTTTTTTTTGAGAAACCATGTGCAATAAACTCTTTAACATTTTTAACAAAATGAAAACTTTTAGGGATAATACACTTCATATACCTGCAGACTTGTTTATCAACAGTCGTGGCCGTCTATAGTAAGGAATATATGAGCATTGTAGGACCACAAATACCTCTAAATAACAACTCACATTACGGCTACAGCATCGCGTATTTTGACAAACAGTAAGTTAACAAATATTCATTTTTATTTCATATTATTTATATATATATATATATACAAGGTTTTATCTGTGTTCACTTGCGTGGTTTATTCATGGCTGTATTTTTTTTTCAAACCTGCGATGAGTAAAGAAGTAAAAAAAGACCGTTATAATATTACTATGTATATGTATAAGTTTTTAGGGTTCCGTACCCAGTTTTGTTCCTGAAGGGTTCCAGCGGAACCCTATTACTAAGCTTCCGCTGTCCATCCTTCTATCAGAGGGTTGTATCTCATGAACCGTAATAGGTAGAGAGTTGAAATTTTCTCAGTCTGTATTTCTATTGCGGCTCTAACAATAAATAAGAAAAATAAGAAAATTAAATGCAACAAACATATTTTAATCGATGATCGAAGTTAATATACTACACACATAGAGTAAAAGTCATATTAATAAAAAGTACATGTACTATGGTACGGAACCGTTCGTGTGCGAATTCGACTCGTTTTTATTTTAAATCGTGACCACTAAAATTTAGAGTAAGAAGAACATATAATTCGCTCAACCGATTGAAATGACATTTATTGTATTTAAAAAATGCCCCAAATATTGATAGAATTGTCTAGCAGAGTTTTATTGAATATCTTAATTCAATTTCTTGCAGGATTTATAAACTCGAAACTTCAAATTTTTTGTAATATAAATATTTTTTTGTTTTCAGATTATTTATAAGTGCACCAGCAGCAGACAACATTGGACACATTTATAGTTATAACATTATTTCAGATACGGTTAAAAAAATTGATACTTCTATGTTCCCACGATCCCATATGTTTCCACGATGTAAGTAAATTTGCGTTTGAGATTTTCTCACTAAAATCCCATTCTTAATCCCTCCACGACCGCGGACACGCCGGCGTTACAGTTAACAATAGATTTCTTAGAAATTTAATTTATATCTTTGTAATTGTAATGTACCGGGAGGTGTTCACTTGCAAACAAATCCAATTACAATTCATAATATTAAAATACATCATACTCGACTTTGGGCTTCAAGAAAACCCCTTTTTTGTGATAGGTAAAAAATAAAAATAAATATAAAAGAAATGAATGTGATGAGCAAAAGTGTTTGTACTCCAGTCATGGATGTTTATATTTATATTATGTATGTATTTAAAGTTATATGTGTATAGTGTATCAACTCTCTGGTATCCATAACACAAGCCTCGTAGCTTACCATGGAACTAGATGGTGCTGTGTGTTAATGATTCAACATATTTATTTATTTTAACGAAGACCCTTTTATATAAAGTATCGCAGTATAAAAGTCCATACAGTAGACGGTCCCCTTTGCTTTTAACGGAAATTGGCAAGGGTTGTCAAAAAATATCAATTTTCATCGGAAACAATTTTAAAGTTAAAACACTGTAGTGCCCTCTCGTGCAAGTTACAATTATGCCTGTCAACCCTAACGCCATTTAACGATTGTCATACAAAATTACGTATGGCAATCATGGGCGGTTCACCAGTATGTCTCTACGCCCACCCCACACCATTGTCCAGTTTGGGCGCCTTCGTTAGACGACTATGGGTTAGTAGACTGTTTATGTTTGTTGCTCTTTCACGCTATAACAGCTGAACAAATCTGTAAGATATATTAAGTTATTTAAAAACTAAAAATAGAGTTTATTGCACAAAAAGTAGCCGTAAAAAGTACATAGAAAGTGACGTAAACAAAGGTGGACTTATCTTTATAAGAGATTTCTTCCAACCCATGTATGTGGGAAATATTGTTAAGTAGCGAGACAGAAAGAGGAAGTGCAGAGAAAAATTGTAAAGTTATAAAATCATAAATAAAACTTAAATAAGATTTAGTACACAGAGTATGAATGTTCTGGAGTAATAGGTTTCTGTTAGTAATAGCCAAAGGGCGGCGCTGACTGTGTATAACGAAAGGCATTAATAATATTTATTTATTTAACAATATTTTCATATGTTTATTTTAGTAAACAATGACAAAACCGACTATTGGATGGGAGCATCTATAAAAACTGGTCCTACGTTTTTAGTGGTACGTAACATCAATTTTGTAATAAAACTATTATTTTCCTGTTAGCCATATTATTTAAAATTTACATAAAGGTCAAAGTAAAGTATTTGTTGCTTAAATTGTATTAATATATTTAGGACAAAATATTCAAGCGCGCTATAAAATAAGGTATAAATATATGTATATCTATATATATAAAACGAAGTCGTGTTAGTTACACCATTTGAAACTCAAGGACGGCTGGACCAATTTTCATGATATTTGATTTTTTGGATTGCTTTTAGTCTGGAATAGGATATAAGTATAAAAACATCAGAAAAATTAACGAAAAAAAATTAATATGTATATGGCTAACGCTGGCTAATAACTATTTATATGTATTTAAAACGTACCTAGCGACGAACCCGAGCGAAGCGAGAGTTAGCTGCTAGTAATATATAAATACGGGTTATAAATTATAAACTAAGATATCGCTTAGCAAATATCAAAAAATAATAATTTAATAAACTCAGAAAAATTATAGTTTTTAACAGAGGAGAAGGTTCTCCAAAGTCGAAAGTCGTTTAAACATCATTATGAATTATTATATTATAGTTGAAATGTGTAAGCAAAAATTTCGTCGAATTTAAAAAAAAATGACTTAATTTGTTGGTGTATTTTCTTTTAAGCAGCAACAGATTACATGATATTTTCCATACACTTGTACTTTGATTAGCACACCTTTACAATTTACATACAATTTGTAAATAGTCAGTATGGGTGGGTAGCTTGCCTTCTTTACATAATAAAGAGTTGTTCTTTCAGATATGTGCCCCACGAGCCGTTTCTCAACCGTACGGTAAGTTATCGATACTAATATTATAAAGAGGTAAAGTTTGGGAATTGTAAGTTTGTGACGTAGGGGGTAATCTTTGGATCTACTGAACCAATTTAGATGAAATGTGGTAAGAAGATATTTTGAGACCCTGGTAAGGACATAGGATACTTTTTATCCCGGAAATCATCCGTTAATGGGGTGAAAATGGGGATGATAATTTGTATGGAGAATCAAGCTAGGGACGAACCCGATCGAAGCGAGGGTGAGTCGCTTGTAATATAATATTAGCAATTCAATGCCAATAAATCTAATAAATCATAGTTGTATTATGTATAATATGTATCCATCCATACCTTTTTTACATTCCACTGCTGGGCATGGGGATCAAGCCACCACGCTGTCCAAGCGCGGGTTGGCAGTCTTAACATGTCTTTTGAAAACTTGCTAGCTTGTCTTAGACATGCAGGTTTCCTCATGATGTTTTCAGAAGTGTAAATCATGTTGGAAATGATTCGCACATGAAAATATCTGAGATGCGAGATCCGGGATTTGAACCCGCTTCACTCGGTTTCCCAAGCGAACGCGTCACCTCTGAGCTACCACTGTACTGAGTCGCAAATAAATGAAGAAAAAAAAAATACTCAATTCCATTTTTCAGGAGCAACAGTTACAGTGGGAACTTGTTTTAAGCTTTCACATCAGGAAGATAAAACGATTGTAAAGAGACTCCCTGATTTAGCTGAAGCGGACAAACAATCAAGTACGTATAATGTTTTTAATATAAAACTTATCTAAAATTAATACTAAGCACCTACATTTGCAAGAGAAGTGGGTACTAAAAGGCTATCTGTAACAATTCACAATACTTTACGTATTTCCTTAAATTTTCGCTTTAGTTAAATAATCTATACATATAATAAAATTGTAACTAAGTCGAATCTGTACATTAAATATTTTTTGAGAAATCTAATTGAAATAGACATTATTATCGATACAGAGTCGGAATCTGTAGTTTTTTTGGACTTTTGTCTGTCTGTCTGTCTGTCTGTCTGTCTGTCTGTCTGTCTGTCTGTCTGTCTGTCTGTCTGTCTGTCTGTCTGTTACCGCAACACAGAAAAACCACTGGAGGGATTTTGATGAAATTTGGTATGGTGATAGCTGTTTATCCGGGTCAACATATAGGATACTTTTTACCGCGGGAAAATATTTTATTTCTGAGAAAAAATACAAAAACTGCATTGTAAGAGTATACTAATATGTAAAACCTAAGAATTTGGTTTTTGGTCATCTGAACGCGGGCGGAGCCGCGGGCAATGCTAGTACTAAATATTAATACTTGTTAGTGCACACATTACATCACGATTTTGTATAACGACAATATATTCTAAATTTGCTTATTTACTTTTGAGTGTATAAGATTAAACTTTCATATTTTTTCACTCATTGAGGCGTGAAAAAAAATAATTTTGTTGGAAAATAACGTTTTACTTCATAGATGGAGGCATGAACAGCTATGGATGGAGCATAGAAGTGGACCACCGTGGCAGAATCCTGGTCGGTGGTCCAGCTGTTGTGCAGGATAAAAATAGTATATATGATAAAATAATTTATACTTCTACGTACATATATATATATATATATATATATATATATATATATATATATATATATATATATATATATATATATATTTGCTTAAGTTTAGTTAATGTCATTAGTTGCGAGACTTTGAGCTTTGATGGCTATATCTTTACAATGACCAGTGCAAAAATACTAAATATTTTCTTTTAAACAATAAGTTTGTTCTTGAGTTTAGAATTATTAAATTGTAAAATCTTTTAGTTCAATTTCAGTTTGAACAAAAATTGTCTCTGTCATCTTTCAACATTTTTTGGTTTTTCCTTAGTTTTAGATTTCACCAACATTAATTCAAACCACCACCCAGGACCTATTTAAAAAATCAGACTGTATACATTTGTTAAAATCATTATTTTAGCAAATACATACATTACAATTATTCATAGATACATTATATCGTTAATATGTAGATGACATCTATACATATAATAAAATTGTAACTAAGCCGAATCTGTACATTATATATTTTTTGAAAAATCTTATTGAAATAAACATTATTTTCGATACAGATGTCGAATCTATAGTTTTTAGAATTTTTGTCTGCCTGTCTGTCTGTTACCACATCACAGATAAACCACTGGAGGGATTTTTATGAAATTTGGTATGGTGATAGCTGGTTATCTGGGTTAACATATAGGATACTTGTTACCGCGGCAAAATGTCTCATTTCTGAGAAAAAATACAAAAACAGCTATGTAAGAGTATACTAATGTGTAAAACCTAAGAATACTTTCTTAGATTTACGCGAATGTTTGACATTTTTAAATAAAACTATCGTTTCGGATTATTTCGCGGATTTATTTTGATTTTTGGGAACCAAAACCTTAAGTTTAAATAATCCGAAAAGATAGTTTTATTTAAAACCTAAGAATTTAGTTTTTGGTCATCTGAATGCGGGCGGAGCCGCGGGCAATGCTAGTTTCCTATATGTTTTGAAAAATTTAAATTTTATATTACTTTTTTATTTTTACAGGTGGGGTAGAAATTTTTTACAATGACGACATAAGCCCAACACTAGTCAATACAACTAACATTATAAATTTAGGTAAGTACAAAGTTAAGTAGATAAATATTAAGTTATCGTTAAGTAAATATTGTATGTATAAATAAGTAGGAATGTGTGTATCTGTATTTGCTAATAAAACCGTTAGGGTAGTGGAGTAGAGAAAGAGACAGTAGACGGAAAGACCAGGATAGATATATTCACGGTGGAAGCGGAAGTGTCTATCTCAATACGTATGTTTCGAATAACGATCAAGTCAAATTAATATTATTAATAGTCCGAATAATAATTTCTGGGGAAAAAACTGAAAAATTTGCCCTGATAATTCTGTTATAACTTGAAAACGGTAGTTTCATACAAACTTTCATCCCCTATTTTACCCTCTTATAGAATGAATTTCGAAAAATGTTTTAGCATTACATACACATATTTATTTAATTTTATTGAAGAGCATTAATACCAAGTTTCAAGTAATTCTGATCATAAATATTTTTTTGCATTATATTGATAACGTGTTTTCCCGTGGGAATTAGAACGTCTCCAGCCCTCAAAATATCTCCACACAAAAAATCACGCCAATCCGTCACTCCGTTTCGACGTGAAAGAAAGACAAACAAACAAACACACTTATACATTTATAATATTAGTATGGATTAGACATCTGACGGTTTAGGTACACTAAGCTAATTACCAATATATGTATGTATTCACAAAAATACAATACAATACCTAATAGTGTGCTAATTTCAGGCTACAGTATAGTAAGTGGGAACTTTTTAACCAACACAGAAGTAACATACGCCGTCAGTACAACTTACGGCGAGCATGGAGAAGGGGAGGTATATACAAATATATATAATAACTTCCTTAGATTTACCCAAATATATAGGTAATACTAGCAGAACCCGCGGCTTCGCTCGCGCTAAAACTACAAGAAAACTCTAAAATGGTAGGTTTCATACAAACTTTCATCCGCTATTTTACCACCTTATGGGATGAATTTCGAAAAATGCTAAAACACGTATTTAATAAATTGCATTGAAGAGCATTAATACGAAGTTTGAAGTAATTCTGATCATAAATATTTTTTTGTATTGTATTATAACGTGTTTTCCCGTGGGAATGAGATAATATCCGCAGTAAAAAGTAGCCTATGTCACTCTCCAGCTCTCCCAGAAATCTCCCAGAATATCAGGTTTCAGATCAGAGAACCATGACTTCGATTACTACATATCTTTAGTCAGACTGCTATCTATCATTCCATGGTTGTGTCACTTTTGAACCTTTGAAAATTCTAACAAAAGTTTTGCCTAAATAAAATTAATGTCCATCTTGTATATTTCAGATCCTCTTTTTTGATGAAAAAGTAAAATACATTAATATGCTCGACCATGGTGAAGTGGGCTCTATGTATGGGGCAGTACTTTGTGCAGCTCGCTTGGGGCATACTCGTACTTCTTTATTGGTGGGAGCCCCAACGTTCGCTAGCAATAGTCAATACAACACTGGAGCTGTGTACCTATATATTCCAGTAAATAAGACAGAAATTATACTATATGTGAGTTACATATTAATTATTTTTATTAAAAACTTTCTATACGGTAAAAGTTAATTTTGAACCCAGAAATTTCCTATTTATTTAACACTTTCATAATTCTAACTATTAAATTCCATTAATTTTTAATTAAATTGTAATTTATAAGTAGGTAAACTACTTTTTACAATACTATTTTAAAATCATTAAAATAAACTAGCGACTCACTCTCGCTTCACTCGGGTTCGTCCCTACTCGTAGTTACGTTTTAACGTTTAGTATAGATTTCTCAAAGATGAGATATTTCCTCGCAGTAAAAAGTATCCTATATGTTGACCCGGATAAACATGATGATAAACATCTATCATCATACCAAATTTCATCAAAATCTGTCAGGTGGTTTTCTCGTGATGCGTTCCTACACAAACAGACAGACATAAATTCTAAAAACTATAGATTCGGCCTCTGTATCGATAATAATGACTATTTCAATAAGATTTTCGATTTACAGATTCGACTAAGACAGAATTTTATTATATGTATAAATTAAAAAGTGAATTTATATTTGATTTGATTTAAAAAACATCGACAGTAAATCTATCGACAATTCTCTTAGTTCCTTTAATCCACCACATTAGGGAAAATTACAGTATGTATATGCCATTGGAAACTAAACTGCTTTAGCTTCAAAGATAGTATGTATATATAAATGTCTTGGTTAGATAGGATAGATGTAAAGTCTCGATGAAAGTTATTGGCTGTTTTAAAACTCTGTTGGCTTGTTCGATAACTGTTAACAGTAAACCCGCTGTACATATTTTAATAAAATTTGGCAAAGATTACGTCATGGAAACGGACATAAGCAGATTTTTATTTCTGCCCCGCTTACCATTTTTTTTAACGTTAGGAAATGCATTTACGCACGAGGTGTGGGACTCACCGGTAAAGCCAGTACTACCCACTAAAACCCAACAAAGCCTTCCCCCGTCTTAATGGGGCGTCGCAAAATCGCTTACGCATTCAACTACGACGCCCCGACGCGACGGCAGGTCTGACGAAGCAGACCACCACAACCACGGGGTTGCTCCAAGGTCCACTCTGCTATCAGAGAAGTACCAGGAGCAACCCGCATGGTACACCGCCCACCGAAGAGGCAGTGAAAACTAGCATGTTCGTAATATAATATATGAAAATTAAATGATGTGTTCTATTTTTAGCGAATAATAAAAGGAACAGTAGATGGCGGCCACTTTGGTAGCGCTATAGCGAATTTGGGGGATTTAGACGGAGACAACAAAGAAGGTAACTATTTGAAATATAGCCAACACAATACAATGGGGGCATTCATTTGTGTGATGAGCACGAATGTTTGTATAATATGTATATATTTAAAGTTAATATATGTGTAGTGTATCAACTATCTGGTATCCATAACACAGGCCTCGAGGCTTACCATGGAACTAGATGGTGATGTGTGTTAATGTACCAACAACTCCCCCTCGCTTCGCTCGTGTTCATCCCTAGGTACGTTTTAACGGTTAGTATGGAATAAATAGATTATATATTATATTAAAAAACAAACAAACAAACAAACTCTGTGTCTTTTAATATTAGTATAGATTATTAAATTCTAAAATTATCTAAATACTGTAATAAATTATTTTATTTTATTTAGATTTTGCTATTGGAGCACCGTATGAGGGACTAGGTGCAGTGTACATATACACTGGTTCTGGTCTACTTTCTGACCAGACATGGTGGCGGAAGATCCAACCAGAAAAATTCAAGTCATTTGGTTTCAGCCTTGTTTCTTTGCCTACCATTTCTGAAAAACGGTGTAATGGTAATAAAATCAAATTATGGTACCTATTTAAAGTTAAAAAAGTTTTAAAAATTACAATAATCTATTAAATAAATTACACATTGTTATTACAAACTTAAAGAAGCGAAAACGCGTATTCTTTTTGCATTTATACATATATTTTTATATAAAATATTTTATTTCTTTATTTATTTATTCATTCATTCATTCATTCATTCATTTATTTCTTTATTTTTATATACACTACATATGTACATTTTTTTTTATTTATTTGTCGTTAGTATATTTAGATAGTCTTCGTTATAGTTATTTAATAAATCAATGATGACTTTATTTCTGGTCTTTCATAGCATTTGGAAAATTTACTTCAAATACCTACTTTATTATAATTAAATCTTATTGTTAAAATTAGACCATTTATGAGTAATTGCTTGTAAAAGTCTAAAATAGTCATATTATTTTTTACTAAACTAAATATATCGAATACCTACATAATATCTACTATGTGTTTCAATATTTTTTACAGATCTAGCCGTTGGAGCACCGTTAAGTAACCATGTATTCATACTGAAATGCATTCCTGTCACTACTATCGAAATATATACAGAGTTTCCGGATTTGCAGGTATAAACTCATAATAATAAATAGGTACTCCTGACGACAAATTCACGTGCTCTCCGATGCATGAGGATGTAACACCACCAATCTCCCAACTCCGAGCAGTATTTCTTAAATAATAATAAAACTTAATAACTAAACATAACCCGACCCAGGACTCGAACCAGTACCTCTGTATCTGTAGCCGTACATGTTAGCCACTAGACTCCGAGTAGTACCATAATCAGATTATTTTAAATTTTGGTCGAATGAAACTCTGACCTCAGAGAGAGGATAGAGGCTATTGCACACTCAAACAATGAATTCATCGATCAGTACGTCCATTGTCCTAAGTCCTGATTAAATTAAGACAAAAGGTATACGTGAACACTTCACATATTGTAAATCAAGGCAGTGAGGAAAGTTGCTATATTTCTATATCTACAGCGCTGCAGTTCAAGAGGGTCTGGGTTCGATTCCCAAAAGTTATTAATGAATTTATGGCCATGCCTCGGACTATCTCGGAAAATGCGTGAAATCGTTGGTCAGGATGGATTGGTCTAGTATCGTTTAACCTACGCATATACATCTATACATATAATAAAATTGTAACTAAGCCGAATCTGTACATTAAATATTTTTTAGAAAATCTTATTGATTTAAACATTATTATCGATACAAAGGCCGAATCTATGGTTTTTAGAATTTTTGTCTGTCTGTTTGTTACCGCATCACAGAAAAATCACTGGAGGGATTTTGATGAAATTTGGTATGGTGATAGTTGGTTATCAGGATCAACATATGGATACTTTTTATTGCGGAAAAATATCTAATTTCTGAGAAAAAATACAAAAACAGCAATGTAAGAATATACTAATGTGTAAAACCTAAGAATTTGGTTTTTGGTAATCTGAACACGGGCGGAGCCGCTGGCAATGCTAGTTTAATTATATAATTTTATTTTGATTTCAGAATCGTTCAAATCAAACATTTTTTCAATTTTTTATATGTCATAAGTTTATCTATCCGACCAATCTGAAACTTATAAAATCAAGTAAGTATGATTTAACTTAGTCACATTTCAATATAAACTATACATACTTGTAAAATAAAATTTTATATGAGTCTAATCTGTACATTAAATATTTTTTGGAAAATCTTATTGAAATAGTCATTATTATCGATACAGAGGCCGAATCTATAGATTTTAGGATTTTTGTCTGTCTGTCTGTTTGGGAACGCATTACGAGAAAACCACACGACAGATTTAGATGAGATTTTTATGATGATAGCTATTTATCCGGGTTAACATATAAGATACTTTTTACTGCGGGAAAATATCTCATTTCAGAGAAATCTATACTAAACGTTAAAACGTAACTAGACACGAACCCGAGCGGACCTAGGGTGAGTCGCTAGTGTAGCATAAATCAATCTATCTCCTTGTCACTTGTACGTAATAGAGACTTATTAAAGCTTAAACTTATTTTAAAGCAATACTTAGCTTATTTTAAAGCTTGTTCGATTCTAGTTATCAATATCAATAAACCATTTTTTGCAGAAATAAGGATCCATGTTCAAATGACACATTCCTCAGCAACATTACAGAAAAAGAGCTACTACGTTTCTACGACAATGAAAAAATGTCAAGCTCGTAACGTCCTAACACCAATTGTTAGTAAATTAATTTTGGCCAAATTTTTCAAATATAATATTAGATACTTAAATTACGGCTTAATTATATCAGAATTTGAAGTGTTGTTTAGGAGAATATAAAAGATACAACAAAAAGTCGTTACGTTCATAGAAAGTGTTCAATACTAATATGACTTATAATAATAGGAGATACTTTTATCGCTTTAACTGTGATAGAAACTACGTGAAGGGGTGAAGTAGCAGCAAAGTCGAGGAATTGACTCGATTTTTTTTTTATTTAGGGATGATTTTTCTTAATTCATTTACGCATACCACCTGCATAAATACAAGTGATTATGTGGGTCTCATCGGCTTGAGAAGCCAGTCGGTACTACCCTAAAACCTAACCGGACCACTCCCGGCTTAATGAGGCGTCGCAGGATCGCTTACGCTCTCGCCTACGACACCCCGATGGCAGCATGTACTATGGACATTCTTAAATCATTATAGTTGAGCGAAAACTAAACAAATATATAAAATTATATATTTAAGTAGACATCATGATCAGGAGGTCAAATCATATGATTTTCAGATATATTTTTTTATTTTTTTACTAACAATACCAATAGTAGAAAGTCAACTTGTCTTGTGGCATCAAAAGAAGCAATGAAGGCGGAAAATTTGATATGACCTATGCCTTATTAGTAAACACACATAAAAATGATTTTTTTAGTACATTTTTTTTCTTTCAGAAAGGTAATTACGATGAGTTATTAAAGTTCAACTTCACAGCAGTTGTAGAAACACCAAAGAAGGGAGTTCCTGATATTGTATTGAGTGATAGAAGCATTATTTCATTGCAAAAGTCAGTATGGGCTGCGAACTGCAGGTTAATGTACGGTCATTGTTTACCACAATTGAAGGCAGAGCCCTCGAGTTCTTTCTCGTACGTACAGATTTCTTACAGAATATTTTTGTATTTATAATATAAAAAAGTTTTTAGTTACTTCGTATTAGCCTGTAATCTACACCTGTACCCTGTACCTGTACCCTGATATATCTTCAGTGAAATAAAGTATAACTTACTAGATAAGAACAATAACAAGTCTATCCCACGGGAACTATACTTTTTTACGGGATGATAAGTAACCTATGTCCTATTCCAAACTATAATCTATCTCTGTGCCAAATTTCATCCAGATCCGTTCAGCCGTTCTGGCGTGATTGAGTAATAAACATCCACCCAAACACCTAAACTTTCACATCTATAATATTAGTAAGATTACGTTTACAAAGAGATAATTTTCTTAGAGCATGTTCCTTTTTATTGTAAATACTACGTATTCTTAGTACGTATCATTTAGTAAACAAAATTTTTTTTAAAGTAAAAAAAATATTATTTGGAATCATACGAGGTTTTTAGTGCCAAAAATTTGTTTTCTATTTGAAATTTTTTTAACTAGTAGCAGCTTAGCAGCACCTCCTTTGAAGTTAAGTTTGTTTATGTTTGAGATAGAAGATTTTATGCCATCATAATATATGGAAACAAATATTAAGTTATCTGTAAATATAGCAGTAAAAGCCACTTGAAAATCGCAGACTTAAGATAGTCCTCTTAATTATGTTTTATCCAGAATTCCGTACAAAGTGGGCTTACAAAAAACTGAGCAATTCTCTCTCGTAATTAAGAATTCTGGTGAGATCGCATACGATGCATGCGCAGTAGTTTGGCTGCCAAGGGCTCTTATGAAGCATATACCACCAGGCTGTACCCGCGATGGTATCACTCAGCGAGTGGTATGTAAACCTTCAGAACCTATACCGTCAGGTTCTAAATGGGTGAGTTTAAAAATCTCTTCAAACTTTCATATTTACTTTCTCTACGATATCTTATTATTTTTATGTTGTGATTTGCGAAACATCTAATGTGATGAGGCAGGTATTTTATAATCTATACATATAATAAAATTGTAACTAAGTTGAATTTGTACATTAAATATTTTTTGAAAAAATCTTATTGAAATAGTCATTATTATCGATACAAAGGCCGAATCCATAGTTCTTAGAATTTTTGTTTGTCTGTATTTTATCAAAATCTATATAGTAGTTTTCTCGTGATGCGCCCAGACAGACAGACAAAAATTCTAAAAGCTATAGATTCTAGCCACAGAAATCTTAATAATAAGGTAATAGAAATGCCATTGCGGTCTTTTAGTACTGGGACGCGTGTCGCCGGCTTGCAGCTACCAACACATTGACAAACAATAAATACACACTATCGCCCACACATGCATTTTGCATTGTTGCAACAAAAATTAAACTTTAAGCGATGACATTACGCAATATTTTCTAAAAACGCATAATCTCAGATGGCGTGATCCTTGTGACCAATAATAAACGTGTGCGAAAAGCACAGAATGATATCGCGCGCTCACTTTTAGTGCAGTACAAAGCGCATAATGCTCATATCGATAATTTTCCGTTGAGTCTTGCAACAATAGGTAACTAATTTATTGAAAGTGTTTTGTTTCATTCCTCGACGCGCTTTTAGACGATTTATTTATTTTCATAAAGGGAATACAATAAAACGTTAAATGTAAGTAAATTTTATTATTATTATATAGTTATACAAAAGTTATGCAATCTATTTGTTAAAATCCTATACATTTTTAACAATGACTTAAAAAAAATTATAGAATTTCTATGTTGTTTATCAAACAACTCGCCCTTAGAATTATTTACTCAATCAAATCAAATCAAAATATTCTTTATTCAAATAGACTTTTACAAGTTCTTTTGAATCGTCATTTTTACATGATTAAACTTTACATTAAATGTCAGTCTGTAAGTCTGTGAGTATGTTACCACCGACTCGGAATGCTGATCTGCTGAGAAGAGCCGGCGAGAAACTCAACAGTTGCTCTTTTCAAAAAATATTTGATTACAATATTTATTGCATTACAATATTTATCCATTTATCCTACGTGAGACACAGCAAGACATTAATCCCACGCATTTATATCTTCTAAATATTCAGTAATGGTGTAATAAGCCTTATTCAATAATGTATTTTTAATTTTAGAACTAAATTGATTCAAAGGCAAGCTCAATATGGACTGTGGAATTTTATTATACATGCGTACACCTTGCCCCATAAACGATCTATTTACTTTATGTATCTTGCATTGTAATGTTCATATTTTCTAAGCACCACCCTTGCTCTCCCGTAATTAATCTATTATCTTCTAATTTTTTAATGAGGTCTTTTAGTTTCAAAATTTGTTTGCTATATCGTCTGGCTTTTTTTTGGCATTGTAAGCGTTTTATTTTTAACCGCTGGTCTGCAATGACGACGCGACTTCTAATAATTTCAGAGCGTAATTTTTTTTCTCTCGGAGTGTCAGCTTGCACAGAATCACTTATTGAGGGCGTCAATTGCTGGTTACCTGCGGACTAAAAAATACGAATTGTTTACCTACATGATATACTCTAATATTTTTCGCAAATGCGGCAAAGCCCCAAAGGTAGTATTTTTATTTTGTACTAGCAAACCCCGCCCGCTTTGCTGGGCGTAAGTCAAAATATATTATACGGTTTTTATAATTTACTAACAAAATAAAAGTATCCTAAGTTACTCCTTATAACATTAGCTACCTGCGAGTGAAAGTACCGTCAAAATCGGTCCAGCCGTTTCATAGATTACCCAGAACAAACAGACAGACAGATAGACTGTTAATTTGAAATTAAAAACAGACGCTTCAATTTTATTTATATGTATAAATTACCGCGTGGAAAGTGAATATATCAAAAAGCAGTTACAAAATGAATAAAATAATATAAAATATCAATACCAATGTTTATGCTTACATCAACTATCTCTGGAAATTCACATTTAGACGTTGATGGCGTCACCGTCGGCTGCAAATTATCTGTTGCCTGAAATATTTGTTCATTAGTAAGTCCCGTTCTTATGAACTTTTCTTGCCCAAAGTTAATAGGCCACAGGTATAATACATTTTTATTCTTACCGTAATCAGTCTCCATATGTCGACTGTCGGTACTGCTGATTTGATCAAAGTCCGCCTTTTTGTTGACGAGTTAAATTGTTCATTTGTGAAATGAACAGAACAAATTCTGCTATACTTCGTTGGGAACCAATTTGTTTTTCCAGTAGCAGATATCCATTTATCTTTAATATCTGGATCTTTTGGGAACCTGTCATAATAGCATTGGATAAAGTAAACAGATACACAAATAAATATGCATAAATATATTGTACGTATCTTTTTTCTTAATCTTTTTCTTTCCCGGCTTCTCATTGATCAAATTTAATCAATTATCCTTACAATATAATAATTTGTATAATTATTTTGACATAAAAAAAATATTTGGTAAATGCAGAACATGTCAATGATACAAGGATATTCAACGCATACTGTTTTTGACTTACCCATATACATAACAATAATAAGCCTACCTCCTAATAATTTTCTGAATGAAAAAGTAGTTTAAAAGTACGAATTTACGGATAATCGTTGATAAATGACTTTTTATAAATTATTCAGACAGAAAGAAAACATACATAATGAGATGTAACAATTAAATATTTAACGAAAAATATTAAGCCAAACGTAATAAATTTTCGATAAAAAATTGTGTTGGCACGTCACTAATTCGCGGCTAACTTATGCGGCGTGTCCTTGGAATTTACGTACGCGACAATATTGTTCTTTACGCATGACTATTATTTCATTGCTGCTTTTAGCAGTTGTAATAGTAGACATGAACAAGCTTAAGTGGTAATGGTTATTGAAAATAAAACGTTTTCCTGCGATAATCGTAGTAGTGGTGGTGAAAACATTTAATTTGGCTATATTTCTTAAAAACGACATTATTTCAAAAATTAAGTACTTACATATGAAATGTTATCCCTTTATTTGTAAAGTTACAAATTGTGGAAGAATTTCCGCAGTTGGATATGCTGCAAAACACCATGTTTACCTCTCCGTGTCTCAAATAACACTAGTTACCGCAACAAACGCTTTACACGCGCTTGTGACCTACGTGTCACATGCACGGCGACAAGGTCACGCGTCTATGCCACTTCTATTACCTTATTATTAAGATTTCTGTGATTCTAGCTATAGATAATAATGACTATTTCAATAAGATTTTCCAAAAAATATTTAATGTACAGATTCGACTCAGTTAAGAATTTTATTATATGTATAGATTACGCTATCCCTTTCACATCATCTGGCAATGTGATGGATTAAATAAAATGATAATAGTGTGAGTATGTTTGCTGTCGCTGGATATGGAACGCTTTTTTTCGCAAGTTTTGTGAGCAAAGATGATGATGATGTTCTCCTGACCGATTCCGGCCACGGCGGCCGATCTCATTGAGACTAGCCAACTGCGCAGGAGATATTATAGTACTCAAGTGTACGCGCAGACACAACGTGCACTCTCTATTCCTGTCACTCTACTATACTACTACTCATACTCTGGTGGGACGACCACTCGACACGACCAGTGAGAGTTAAGGCGCAGGACCGACGGCTTTACGTGCCCTCTGAGGTACGGGGATGAAACATCGCCAACTTCCCAACACCGGGCTGTTACTGAGGCTTACTATACAGAAAGACTCAATAACTAAACTTGGCTCGACCCGGGATAGAACCCAGGACCTCCGGGTGGGCAGCCGTATATGCTAGCCACTACACCACTGAAGCAGTTTAGTTGTGAGCAAATAACGCATCTATGAATATATTTTAAAATATCAACGTAACTGATAGATATAAAGTAATAAATATTATTTTTTAACATGTTTCAGAAAACTGGTAATATTGAAATCGACACAACTTCCTTAACGAATAAAGATGAAAGTATAGATATTCATTATGACATATACGGTCATTGTGGAAATGAAACGGAAAAACAAAGCAGCAAATTATCATTTCCATTAGTTTTCGGCTTTGACGGCATCGTTATTAGTGGGTGAGTTTTTAGGCTGGTCGCATACGCACGATTTGCTTAATCCGATTACCGAATGTGGAATAAAGAAGCTTGTTTCAGAAATAGGTACACGTTAGTATAGTTATTGTTTTGGAAGAGAAAATATTACAGAAGTAATATGGTGCCAACAGAATACGTTAAGTAAAACGAGTGCATTTGACTGCTCGATTTTGGAAAACAAATTCGAACGGAAAATATCCGGATCCGGATATGGAAAAATTGAAGTGGAAATTTTTTTTTATTACATAGATAAAATTAAATATATTAATTAAAATTTTCCAATTTGAGTTTTATACACAGAGTCAGTTATTCTTACTGAAATTATTTTTTATACGTTTTTTTTATATGTTGGGACATAACACAGCACCATCTAGTTCCATGGTAAGCTACGTGACTTGTGTTATGGATACCAGATAGTTGATACACTAAACATTTATAACTTTTAAATACATACATATTATAAATGTAAACACCCATTACTGGATTACAAACCTTCGTCATCACACAAATGAATGCCCCAGCGGGACTCGAACCCGCGATCGCTGGCACAGAATGTAGGGTCACTACAAACTGAGCCAAACTTATTTGAAAATGATTTTATACGGTGCAGATTTTAATAATAAATCTAGTTAACCGATTTCAGAGTAAAAACACTTATGATGAAGGAAGTTAAAAAGTAGAATCGTGTGGTTTCTTATCTCCACAGTAAGATTTTTGCTAAAAAATTTTATGTTCTGTTCCATTTCTGCCGTGGTAGCTAATTTTATTGGAATCAGCTAACTATATGGGATTTTGTAGTGCTAAAGTCTGTATACGAGCACAATTTCATCCTTAGTTCTTTCATATGTACTAATATTATAAAGAGGTAAATTTTATGAGTTTGTGAGTTTGTGACGTTGTAGGGGGTAATCTCTGGATGTACTGAACCGATTTAGATGAAATTTGGTGAGATGATTGTTTGAGATCCTGGGAAGGACATAGAAAATTTTGTCCCGGAAATCATCCCTTAAGGGGGTGAAAATGTTAATGAAAGTTTGTGTGGGGAATCAAGCTAGGGACGCGTGAGTTGCTAGTAGTGCAGTAAAGATAGAAATAGCTTTTTTTGAAAATTGCATATTTTGTTTTATGTTTTTAATATACTTGTATTTAATGGAAATTACTTTTTCCAAAGTTTTATAAGATTTAGTATGAGATATTCCTTAAGCTTCCTTTGTAAAGAAAATAATTAAAATTGCTTCCGAGATAAAAAGCGAAAAAGTCACCAACCGACCTAATTTTTTTTAATAATAATTATAATATTCATTATTTATTTTTTTAGTGCTTCAAGCCCTAACAAAGTCTTGAATATTAGTATAGAAGATGTCAGTTCGGGGAAGCAATTCCATCATATTTATACTGTAAGTACTTATAAGTTCATACTAACTAAATTACTGTACTTAAGCGTATATCTGGACCACATTATTATCTCGCTCCGGCATCCCGGATCATTACATCATCCCGCTAGATAAAAATTATATACTTTTTATTCAAACTATGATTACTTAAGTAAAATAAAAACTTTCACCTACCATCCTCGAGCTTTATGCGATTAAAAAGATATATTTGATAGATTTGAGATATATTTCTGGAAGTCTGGTGTCAATAAAACTCGTCGCTAAAAAAATTATAAGAGATTGTACAGTGTACGTGCTGTGCTTCATTTTTGTTTATGAAGCATGAACTTAAAAGAACGCGAAAAAAACGCGCGCAAAACCCGTGTCGACAGAGCGTTAACAAAACGCCGTGTGCGTGGAAACTGCATATCAATAAAAAAATTTTTTTTTACTTTTAAATATAAAACTAAATAAAATTTCAATTTTATAATATCTAACTTTTTTTCAGATAATCAACAACGGTGCTTTTGACTTAGTGGATGTTAAATGTAAAATATTACGTAGCGATAGAAGCTATTTGGAATACAATACACCTACAGTGGTATAGTTATTTTAAGTTTTACTTAACAAATACTACACGATAGTTATATATTTTCTATTTCTTTAGTCATATTTTAATGTTTTCTTTTAATAATTTTATTAAGATTTATTTTTAATTTTTATATTTTATTAGTGACGTACAAGCCTTATTTCGCTCATATTTGACGAACTGATAACTTATTCTTAACTAGCAGAACCCGCGGCTTCGCTCGCGCTTAAACTACAAAAAATCTCTAAAAAGGTAGTTTCATACAAACTTTCATCCCCTATTTTACCACCTTATAGGATGAATTTCGAAAAATGCTAAAACACGTATTTATTTATTTGTATTTCAATACAGAACATTAATACCAAGTTTTAAGTAATTCTGATCATAAATAAATTATTGGATTGTATTATAACGTGTTTTCTCGTGGGAACAAGACAATCTCCCGCGATAAAAAGTAGCCTATGTCACTCTTCAGCTCTCCAACTATCTTCACACCAAAAATCACACCAATCCGTCTTTCCGATTCGACCTGAAAGAAAGACAAACAAACACACAAACAAACACACTTTCACATTTATAATATTAGTATCGATTTTCTACTAATATCATTTAGGTATTGTTTAGGTTTGTTTGTTTGTACCGAATAAGCTCCGAAACTACTGAAAAGATTTATATAAAATTCGGTAAGAAGATAGTTTTCATCCCGGAATTCATCCCTTAAAGGGGTGGAAATTGGGGATAAAAGTTTGTATAGAGAAGCAACGACAAACGAACGAACCAGAGCGAAGCGAGGGTGAGTCGCTAGTATGTAAATAAACCATTCCATAATAATCATTCAAAGATTTAAAAAAAAAACTAGTTAAAAAGAATAATACTTTCTTATTTAAAAATAACTTTATTTATCTAATTTTTATTATGGAAGAACGAAAATATGGAAAAAAGAGCGGAGCGAAAACTCCAGAAAATACCCTCAATCTTATACTTTGCGTTTAATTTAGTGTACCAGTATTAAACACTATATAGTAATATAATGAGTACTTATTCTTATTAACTGCCTGGGTCGGGCCAAGTTTAGTTATTGAGTCTTTCTGTATATTAAGTAATCGGTCGGGAGAACATCACATCACTTATTCTTATAAAAATTCAGCAAATTTTACGCACAGATACAAACGAAAGGTAATACTACCTCTTCACAAACCTGCGTGTTGGGTGAAGAGGGGCAAATAGAAGATATGATCTGCAATATTGGCGAGTTGCTAAAAGCGAGTGAAATAGTTGTTTTATTACCGATACGATTCCTGCCAAATACATTTAGTAAGTATTCAAAAAGATCTAACACACTAAGTAATGATTTAGAATAAGAGTTCCCAACCAGGGGGGGTACGCCCTTCTAGGGCGGCGTAGAGAGTTTATTTGGTGTAACGTAAAATTTAAAAAAAATGTTAAAATAATGTGTTTTATTATAATAAAAAATGGGGGGAATGGTCCAAGAAAATATTTTTTGTAATCCGGGGCTCAACAGAAGAATGGTTGGGAAACCATGCCCTAGAGGATTCTTGATCTCAGAATAAAATCGTAATACTCTGTAAATATCTTTAGTCTAGTACCATTTATAAATAAAAACAGATCAACATTTTCTAACAAACATCTCTTTAAAAAGTGGCGTCGATGACGTTAAATCAAACTAAATAATAAAATTCCAAAATCGAAAGTTTTTAATTATCTACACACAAATTCGAACTTCCGCACACCGCATTTTTTTTTTAAACGAAACAACTTGCGTTTTAATTTTGTCATCCGAAAAGTAATGAACAAAAGAGATTTGAAAGAAGCGCAATTAAATATTTTGATACACTAATTGTGAGTCTTGAATTTTTGTATATCAAAGTCTGGTACCTGCTATTTTGATTTACATTTATCTAATAGATTATATAAAACCTAGAATATAATATATTTATTATTATATATATATATTTATATTGTATATAAATATATATATAATATATTATATATATATTTATTATTATTATGTATATTACGCTGGACCGCAAAAAGGGTCGGTTAGAAAATCCTTCAATATCTTCAAAAGTACCTGACTTAGCTTTATGATATCAAGACTAAGTTGAAGAATATTTTAATGTGCTTAAATGAAAATAAAGAAATGAATTCAACCTTTTTATTTTTAATAAATGTAAAATAAATAAAAATGCGTAGTTTTTCCAGTATTTAAGTAAATGTAAATTCGTTACAGATGTGCCGTTTTCACGCATTTTAGTGCTTTATGTTGCCTCTGCGAGCTCGCAATAATTCCAAGAGAACTTGTGCAGATATAACAAAATATTAAAAATATACATAATATAGTAATTTTTATAATTTTTAACTGATTTTTATTGTTTTCCAGGCAATATTATAAATGAAAATAGAACAATTTATACTGTACTTAGTCTTGAAATACTAGGTAATACTAGTAAAGTTTTATATTCCAATACTGCAAGGTAAGCTTTTTCACTAAAATTAAATTAGTTCGATCGTTCACCATTATTAAGTTATTCTAACTTTTAATATATTGAACAGAAACTTTTTTATCGCTAAAATATGTTAGGTTAAGTATAGGGTCTTTCCCCCCCAACGTGCGTTCACCTTGTCGTGGTGGGGGGGCTCAGTAGTGCCCGGCAATCCAACCGGGCGCGAAGCTAAGAAACGCACAGGGAGGTTGCCCACTTCGGTGGGCGGTGGGAGATGGCCCTCTTCGGGGGGCGGTGTACCATGCGGGTTGCTCCTGGTACTTCTCTGATAGCAGAGTGGACTGTGGAGCAACCCCATGGTTGTGGTGGTCTGCTTTGGCAGACCTGCCGTCGGGGCGTCGTAGTTGAATGCGTAAGCGATCCTGCGACGCCCCATTAAGACGGGGGAAGGTTTTGTTGGGTTTTAGTGGGTAGTACTGGCTGTATTACGTCGGTGAGTCCCACACGTCGTGCGTAAATGCATTTCCCAACGTTAAAAAAAAAAAAAAGTATAGGGTCTAAAAACCCTATATGTTCTGTAAAATAAATGTAACAATATTAATTTAATTTTAATGTACTTTCATATCAAATGGTTATAATTTTTTTGTCGTTATGACATTTTACTATTGTATTCAGCCCTTTTTAACGTCCCACTGCTGGCGCGAGCCTTCCTTCAATACGAGGGGGATCAGGCCATAGTCCACCATGCTGGCCAAGTTGGGGTTGGCGGACTTCACATGTCTTTCGAAAACTTATTAGATTCTCTCAGACATGCAAGTTTACTCACGATGTTTTCCTTTATCGTAAGACAAGTGGTAATATGTCGGAAATGAATCGCTGAAATTATCTGGGGCGCGAGACTCGGGATTTGAACCCGTTTACTCGGTTTCCCAAGCGAGAGCCTTTCCACTGAGCTACCACTGCCTTATTTTACTATTATTTTTTTTTAAACATTGCACTTTATAGTACAAGAACACTCCTGGAACCGCAAACTACGTCTGTACCGGTCTGGATCTCGATCATTGCCTTCCTCATTGCGCTATTTATTTTAATAATAATAGTGCTCGTATTACGCGAGGTATGAATCTATCTTATTTTATTTAAGAAATTTATTTATGCAGTGTAAATAATGACTTGACCACAAATAATTATTAGAGTTACGTGATTTTAGTGTTGCCAGATCCAATTATATAAATAACAAAACGGTACTGGAAATGGGAAAAATACTTATCTATACCTACTATAATAAAATTGTACAAGTCGAATGTCTGTACATAGAAAAAAAATGCTAAAACCCAGTCAGGGGGATGTAAGAAGAGAAATAGAACAAATCCAGATTTTTTAATTTTTTCCGTTTCTCTGTCTGTCTGTTTGTTTGTTTGTCATATAAATATTTTTTACATTACTTATTCAATGTCAAATATTTAATTTTTTGCTATACTCCTGCTTGCCATCAAAGAGACAATCTATATATCTATCTATACATATAATAAAACTCTAACTGAGTCGAATCTGTACATTAAATATTTTTTGTAAAATCTTATTGAAATAGTCATATTTATCGATACAAAGCCGAATCTATAGTTTTTAGAATTTTTGTCTGTCTGGGAACGCATCACGAGAAACCACTAAACAGATTTTGATGAAATTTGGTATGATGATAGCGAGTTATCTGGGTCAATACTTTATAATGCGGGAAAATACCTATCTTGTCTCTGAGAAATCTATACTAAACGTTAAAACGTAACTAGGGACGAAACCGAATATAATCTATATATATATATATATATATATATATATATATATATATATATATATATATATATACATACAATAAATATAATTTTACAGTCGTAAATTCATTTGCAGTGTGGTTTTCTAAAAAGGAAGAACAAAACGAATTTAGAACGATTAAAGAATACAATACATTCAAGACATCAAAGAGGAGTAAGTATTAACATAATTTGCTTTATATAAAAAATCAACGCGACCATAATATTTTGAGTTATTTATGAGTATATTGATACTATTTGATTTCTTTGAAATTAAAACTCGGCAAGTTTCATTTAAATTTCTATTTTAATACTAATTTATTTCTCTTACCTCTATACAGTACTTCAATAAGTGTAGACCATCGTGGCATCGACGTATGTAGGTGCTGTGCTGTCTTGTGGCCAATAAATAAATAAAGAAAAACACAAAATAATACTTATTTGATAATTAATAGGTTATGATTCTAATGTCCGAGGTCAATAAGGTCGACCACACACGTTTGGCTCAGTTTGTAGTGACCCTACTTGCTGTGCCAGCGGTCGCGGGTTCGAGTCCCGCTGGGGGTATTCATTTGTGTTATGAGCACGAGCCAGCAATACAACAGGAAAGAGACACAAGTATAAATCCAAATAACCTTTTCCATAAACAATAATCGATTTAAACTTTTTTCAGTCACAGAACGTGTCTCTGTGTCCAGGACATGAAGAGCAAGAGTAAAAAAAAGAAAGTTAATTTTTTTTTCTATTTATCTATCTATTATAATTTTTGAGTTTTATTAATTAAAAAAAACATACCTAATAATTATAGTTGTAAAGGTTTTGTTAAAACATAATTAATGTTAACATCTTTGAATTAATATTGCTTATTATCTAACATTATTATATTATAAAAAAGTATTAATATATAGTGCAGGTTTTTTATGTACTATATAATAAATAAATAAATAAATACATAATTAATGTTTTATTTAATGTGTGGACATTAAATAAAACATTAATTAATTTAAATAATCTTTCTATAAAGATAATTTATTTTAATCGCCTTGTAATTTTTATTTTTATCGACGCTATTAGTAATAAGCTATTAGCCCATTTTTTAGATCTTATATTTTGTATCTATTTTTTTATTTCAAATTAAAAATAAAATCTCTTTATATAATTTGTTTTCTCTGTATGATTCAAATCTGTTAAGAAAATCCAATGAGAAATGCAGACAGATTTTGTTATAAAAAGGTTTTATATAAAGCTCTAGGTAAGCTATTCTTCTAAAGAAAGTTTTTAAATAACGATATACACGTAACTTAAAAACTCACTACGGAAATTAATCAAAGATATTATGTAATGAACAAAATATATTTTTTTATTGATTTTAATTTTTTATTATACTAATGATAAACCGAAAAAACTAAAAATATAATATTAAGAAAATTCATGTTTTAAAGCTTTTTAGTTATGTAGGCTTTATTTAAAAAACCTTTAGTAATATCAACGCCAAGCCACATACAGTCCCCCTGAGCCCCTAAAGGGATTACTTCCGTGATAAGAACTATCCTATGTCCTTCCCAGGGTCTCAAACTATCTTCGTATCAAATTTCATCTAAATCGGTCCAGTAATTTCGGGGATTATTCAGTACAAACAAAGAAACAAAAAATCTTTCTTTGTTATATATAATACTAAGTATAAATTGATATACGTATCATAGAACAACTATCAGTTCTTAATCATTTTTTACTTCTTTTTCACAAATGAAGGCGTATAAATGTGAGCACTTTAAATCGTTATATTTTCCATCATTTTTAAATATAGAGCCGCAGTACTCTAGGCCGTCATAATTATTCGGTTCGTTAACAGACCACTGGCTGTATCCAGCTTCTTCTAAGGTTTGGTCTAAAACGAAAAAAAAATGATTAGAAATAATACTTATTCATTTATAATATACTAGCGACTCACCCTCGCTTCGCTCGGGTTCGTCCCTAGTTTGTTTCCCCATACAAACTTTCATCCCCATTTTCACCCCATTAAGATTTCCGGGATAAAAAGTAGTCCTTCCCGGGGTCTCAAACTATCTTCTTATCAAATTTTATCTAAATCGGTTGAGTAGATCCAGAGATTATCCCCTACAACGTCACAAACTCACAAACTTTACCTCTTTATAATATTAGTATAGATATATCACCGTAAAATTGTAAATATTGTTAGATTATAATCTATCTCGCGAGATTGTAAACTGTCGAAAGATTGTGAGCCGTAACATATGTACTGCTTACAATTTAACGCATAATTATTTTTCGGTAAATTATAATCTATCGAAGTGAAACCGTCGAATTGTGAAATGGCAGAATTTACTAAAGAGTTACAAAACTATTACAGTGGGCATAATGAAAATAGTAAAAAATTAGGATGGACTATTCCAAGTTATCTTTTTCATTTAACTTCTTTGGACAATATATCTAAGATATGAATGAAAGTTAAGAATTTTCAAAACTAATCTATGGACTTAAAATAGATTTTTTTAAACCAGAGCAATAGTAGCTAGAGTTAGCACGAACAGGTCGGCTCGAACTTCCAGTTCAAGCTACTTCAACTCTCATCTTTCACATTTTCTTTCGATTCTTCTTCTCAAAATGACAAGAAGAATCGAATAGTGGGTAATCGTTCATAGTTTATACTTACTGCCTACTACCATAAAGCCATATACATAACCTTTGTAATAAAATATCTTGATTTAAGAAAAATATACTCACTAAATATAGTTTTAAACACAACTGGTTTTCCTTCAGGTGGTGTTGGTGCCCGAATACCAGCGTAAAATGACCATGAGGTTCTAACTCCTGTTAATTTTGGCGCTGTTTTTGTTATATTATGTACAACATCATGTTCTAATTCAGAATTCAAAATAACTAAATGCGAGCCTTCATTGTAACATTCATCATACGCTTGATCCCACGAATATGCGATTTGAGGAACTTTGTAACAACTGCCAACGTTTTCGTAAAATTGATAATCTGAAATTGTATTATGAAATGTATAATTTATCTAATCCTAATAGGTAATATTATAAATATGTACCTATATTTGTGAGCATCGATGGATGTTTGTTTGTTATTCTTTCACACAAAAGCTACTGAACGCATTTTCTATAGATTTTACAGTTATATAACTTATACATCAGAATAACACATAGGCTATTATTTATAAAGGTATAATAGTATATAATTGAAATACGCAGGCGGGAAAACGCTAGATAAATATATTTTTTTAATTTTTTTTATTTTCTGTGATATCCACAATCGCCAGTGAAGCAACAGGACTGGTTTGAACTACTAAATAAAGCATCAACTAAGGAATTTAAACTTTAAGACATAACAAAATATTACCCACCTTTGCCATAAACTTTACATTTGGAGTCAAAAAATACATCTCGGGCATCAACTTTACAGAAAAAGGGCAGCCTTCTGTAGCAATCAGAACTTTGTACCTCACCATCCCTAGTCAGAACATCGCAGTTTCGTCGAAAGTGTAAAAAGTGTTCCCGGTAATCCACACTGTCTAAAAGTGTTGTTTTAAAAGATATTTTAATACAGAAATCTTCAAAAAATCTTGCCTCTCCATTTAAAGCTGACCTTCATAGACCATAGTATTATCAAGTTTATTTACGCGTGCTATATTTAGAAGCTATGTGTACATTAACTTCAAAGTACGTTGGAATTAAATTTTAATAAACTCATAGCTTTATTATAAGAAGCATTTGCCATATTTTAAAGAGCACATTGAAGCCATAAGCTGAAAGTTTTTATAAACTTATATGTAAATATCGAAAACTTACAGTCAATTAAAGGATGTTCCTCTTTTGATTCTTTGCCATTTGCATTTTCTCCAATCCATGCAAAATCTACTATATCGGGGAACTGTTTGAACATTCCATGTGCTAGGGATATTTCTCTATCATTAGCCGGTGCCATCAATTTTGCCCCCTCAATCTTGCAAATATCTTCCGCAAGCAAGTGCCGAACACTCTCTATATGGAACTTGTAAAACGCATCAAGTTTTCTGTCGTATGTATAGTCTGGTCGATATTGTTTCGCATTTGCCCCTGTACAGTAAATAAATGAGGCAAATTTATGGGATATTGTATTTATAATATTACCTTAAAATGAAGATTCTCAGATTGAATCTGGTAGGTAATTTCCCTTAACCTTTGGTACGGCATGTTCGTACACTAGACAGTCGTAGATTTTTCTAATTAATTAATTCTAAAGTTCATTTCAAGATTAATTCATTTAAATATTCTATTATGCTTCCCAAACAGATTTACATAAAGTGAAAACATATGTAATGACCCTCGCTCCGCTCGGGTTCGTCCCTTGGTAACGGTTGGTATAGATTTCTCAGAGATGAGATATTTTACCGCAGTAAGAGGTATCCTACATGATGACCCGGATAATTAGCTATCATCATACTAAATTTCATCGAAATCTGTTCAGTGGCTTGTTTTCTCGTGATGCGTTCCCAGACAGACAAAATTTTTAGAAACTATAGATTCGGCCTCTACATCGACAATAATGGCTATTTCAATAAAAAAATTCCTAAAAATATTTAATGTGCAGATTCGACTCAGTAAGAATTTTATTATTATTATGAATAGAATATATTACCATCAACGAATTTTATAAAATTAACTCATATATCGATTTTTGACTTACTAGAGATGAAAACAGAAGCTGTATTGACAAATATTTATCTCTCGAATGTCAAATGTCAAAACCATGAACGAGTCTCTAATTCGTCCATGGTCAAAACAATCAAGAAATCAGCTTTTTGAGTAGATAGATATATTTTAAATTGCACTTAATTTTAAATAACAAATACCTGCAATATAAAAATAACTCACCAATTACAACTAACAAGAAAAATATTGACGATATCCTTTCACAGCAAAACATGTCAACAAAGTGTAAAAAATATTTATTATTTTTTAATTGTATGAACCACACGTGTGAATGAACGATCTGTAAATAGCCAGGGTCTGATATAAGTGAGAAGTTCGAATATTATTGTCCCCTCTCTCGTATGGAGCGATAACAAATGAGTAATGTTTATAAATGTCACAAACAAGTCGTAAACGCTTAACTATTTATGTTAAAAATTACTTATTTAAATGTATAGATTATATTATAATTTATAACCTTGGCCTGATGCTGCAGTGTCATCTGGAATCTGCAAGATACTCAACTCTGTACTAAAATACTGCAAAGATATCGAGTTTAGGCTCGTTGAAATGGCTTCAATTAATTATTCAATTATTATTATTAATTTATTCAAATATTATTATTAATAATTCAATTTTTAAATTTTTAATTAATTAATTTATTTATGTACTTACCAGAAAAAAACATAGCAGTGAAAACAGATACCATGTGTACAAAGGATGACTTATCTCTTTAAGAGATCTCTACCAGAAACCCTCAAGCGTGAGAAAATATAAAAATAATAATGCGGTGCGGTGTAGGTACGAACTACAAACATCAACCTGTACATATAATAAAATTATAACTAAGTCGAATCTGTACATTAAAATTTTTTGGAAAATCTAATTGATATAGACATTATTATCGATACAGAGTCCGAATCTATAGTTTTTAGAATTTTTGTCTGTCTGTATGTTACCGCATCACGGGAAAACCACTGGAATGATTTTGATGAAATTAGGTATGGTGATAGCTGGTTATCCATAAATCTAATAAAAAAACGGGTCAATATATAGAATACTTTTTACCACGGGAAAATATCTCATTTTGAGAAAAAATACAAAAACTGCAATGTATGTGAGTATACTAAAAATATATATATAAAACCTAAGAATTAAATTTTGGTCATCTGAACGCGGGCGGAGCCGCGGGCAATGCTAGTAAGGTATATTAAGAAATAAAACTTCATGTACATATTTATGCAGTTTATTGTTACAGTGTCGAGCCCTGGTGTTACATCTCTATGGACTCGCTACACTACCGACTACACAGATAACTACAAACTGTCTTCCCAAACGAAAAATCCCATTTATTATATAGACTGTTCATTATAATAACGTATTAATGAAAAAAATAATAACCTTATCAATGATTAGAGTAATAGAGGTAAAATAAAAGAAAAATCGTTATCAAATATCGATTTTAAATCGATTAGCTATTAATACCGGCCAAAACTCGATACAGTCTTACAATAAATCGAATATTCGTTTTCTAACCATGTTTACATTATATCTAGACACATTTACACAAATACCTATACTAAATTACTATTCAGTAACAGTTAACAGGTCAGCCATTTACATACAATATTGGGCATATCGCGAGTAGTCCGGGCATCATTGGCAAGCTGACAGATTATAATAAAACTTCAGATAACTCGGCTGTACACATCATTCGATATACAAAAAATAAATGCAAACATTACAAAAAAAACACAATTTTCTACCGGAATTCTCATAACATAACCAACCGAATAAATCCGAAGCTTTTGACAGATGCTTTCTAAAAACCGTAAAAAAACCTCCATGACACCGGAACAATACAAATTCGCAATACACCAATCTCTGATTGCTGCAAATACACGTACGTCGTTTAAAACACGGCAAATGGCGGTCAGACAGATTGTATCATCCGTGCGATCGATCTACAAAATTATTTTACATTACGTTTTGGCAGTTCGCAACAATGGTAAAATGCAACACAGAAACGCGTATCAAATATATTTACAATTTGTTTCCATTATCGAATATTTTTACTATTCGCCATCAAATAAACCCCACCAAAGTTCAAGACGAAATAAAACTATACATTGCAAACGTCCGTACGCTAAGCAATCCTTCCAAGTGAACATGTTTTGGGCTAAAATCAAACAGCCATTTTATTTATTCTAAGTTTACTTACACGCGACTATCAGTGCGAGAAACTACTATTTACAGTCGGGTAAAGAAGAGTCAAATTATATGTCTTACTTTTAACCGATAACTCCTTAACTATACTTATTTTGTGTATTTTTTTTTTTCATTTTATAATATAAGGAACACAAATAAGGGGCAGAGGCTTAAAAAATCAAGTCTTATCAATCACAATTCCTAGTATATACATTGGGGGTCTTAACTAAACGTGCCTCTAGAACATTCGAGCGTGCATTATAGCGAATAACTGAAGGTTCAAAATCGAAGGGGACAAAACCAAACAAATGCATGCTTGGATGCCTTATTGACTAAAATCCACTGTGCTAAATGAATCGTGTAAACAAACTTAAACTAATCGAGATCTCTGAAAGTCTGGAAACGCGATACGTTATATTACATAAAATAAGAAACGTGAAGTCAGAGTACTACATATGAATATACAGAGGACAAAAACTTTATCCTACATTTTAAATTTCCCACATACTTCTAAAATCGCATCGACTGCTGATTATTGTAATTTAAAATGACAAATGTATAGGCAGTCTAAGTTATACGCGATTACAAGCGTATACAGGGGTAGAAAACCTTTTAACGCGAAAAATACTGCCAATTGTGAACATAAGTTCTTTTAATTGCACATTTACGTCAAAAAACTCAATTTTTATATACCTAATGCGTCTCTGACTCATTTTACATATTAGTAATAATAATCAATTTTAATTAAAAATATTTAAACAATAGATATATTTGCTAAAAGGTTTTCGATCCCTGCATTTAAATAGGTATAAAGTTGTGTATCACACAGTATGTGAGTGTCCAATAACTACGCCTAACGGATCACAGTGACAGTTTTCTGAGTTAAGGCAAGGTGGGTCCGATGCGTCCTTAAATTCAGTTACACGTACTTATTATCAAAAATCTAATAAATATGAATAAGAAACTTAGTATTAAATAAAACTATCTTTTCGGATTTATTCGCGAATTTATTTTGATTTTTGGTTCCCGACGTTTCGAATGCTTTACAGCATTCATGGTCACGGGAGGGTCAAGTTTTAAGATGTCTCAAAAGCTATATAGTTGTTACAGAGAGCCTAGCTTACCCACAAATTAACAAAAATGAATTAAAAAAAAATCTAAATTGTCATCAAAGTACCTTACAATATTTGTCAATATTAATTTTAAACATTAACTTTTATGAATATATTATAATTATAATATAATATTCATTTTAATTTTAACATGTAAAGCATTCGAAGCGTCGGGAACCAAAAATCAAAACAAATTCGCAATAAAAATCCGAAAAGATAGTTTTATTTAAAATTTCAAAGTATTAAACTTAGTATTACTTAAGCTTAAATCGCTAAAGTAAACATCCTTTATAATATTTTCATGATTATTCTTTGAAAGATAAGTACATGTAACGGAACGTCTTAGAAACGCTTCCTTTTGTACCATCAAACGTATTTAAATGTACCATTCTATAGAAGATTGATCAATGTTTATCAACCATCGTAACCATAGAATGAAACATGGAAACCGTCAATCGTGCGGGCTATTTTCAACGGCTCAACCGAACATTATAGCTATAACTACTATTTATTTACATTTATGTTTTTTATACTTTATATAGCTTTGAACTAGTTTTAAGGCTACGTCTGTTGACACGCACACAAAGTTTCACCTACATACAGTATAATATGTTAGCAGCTTACAAAACTGCAACTCAAATCTAAAACAATATGGACTTACATCAAATCTTATAATGTAAACAGCTAATCAATTGGAAAAAAAAGGTAATAACATTCGTATGAGTATGAAAAAAAAACATTTTTCATCAACAGAAGTCCAATTTATATTGTTTTAGAGGAAGTTTCAAATTATTTAATATCTCCACGCATACTAAGACGAAGTTCTACCCTATAAATGCTTGAATTCAATATCGTACCTATACATAATGTACACTACGTCTGTATTTCACTATTTCATTGCGTATGGGATATAGTTTACTATTCTAACCTAACTATAAAAATGTTCAGTCGATGTTACATACAATGGTGTTTACAACGTCAAGTATCAAACCTGGTTGTTGATTTCGGTAACCGAAACCGTTCGGTTGCCGGATTGAAATGGTTGTAGCCGTCTATTATAACCATGTTTATTATATCAATCCGGTTGTAAATAATAACCGAAATTAACAACCGAACTTCTGATACTGAACTGTATAGGAAGCTTATATTAAATAAAGCCGCGTACAGACTTCGGGTTGTCGAGATTCTCAATTTGAATTAAGTACGAAGCCGAAGTCTGTACTCAGCCCTACAAACACAGAACACGTAAAAATATTAAAAAGACGCATCTTGAATGTACAATCAATACAATATTAATTTTTCCCTTTTTTTTTTGGGTTTTTCTATGAAATTTTCATACTAAAAATGTTTAAAATTTGACACATTGAAAATTTTTAGTATGCAAATTTTCTCCAACTACGTCTAAACGATACATTTAACAGATGAGAAAAATATATATTTATGCAATACGTATTGATACCTTTATTGCTCAACCAAACACACAAACCTACACACATTTTACATCGAATCGCGTATTAAACGAATATCATATTTGCTAGTATCTAGAAAGCGATCAAAAACATATCGAAATATCCTCGCTTTAGACAATTACTATTTCTTTCGTTGTACGGCATTGAAAAAAAAAGTATTAAATACACAATCAGCGACAAAAAATGTCCTCACCGAATGAGCGCTTATTTGAACATATGAGCGCCTTTTAATTTAAATAAAAAATTTGGAAAACAGCTTCAACCATTGCTTTAAGGTTCAATTTATATTATTGTATATTTATTTCAACTAGAATAATTACCTAAACACAATTGGTGACAGTTTTAAGAGAACTTTCGCATGGGATTGTGTATATAGTACTTTTTTGATCGATGTTGTATGATGATGAATTATTTATATGACATTCTGTTTTATTTAATACTTCAATTTAAACACAATTTCAAACAAAAAAAAACAATTGTTACACACAGATTTTGAGAGAGAATTTAAAGTTAAAGAAATTGAGCTGTTCTAAGAAATATTACGTACATCTAAAAATATTAATAATTAAAATAATATACATACTACTCTTTGCCTTGATGTTTCCCTTTCCACGTTTCGACTTAACTATATACACAAATCGTAACCTAACACTAAACTAAAATTAATTTTGAAATAAGATAATGTTCTAGCCAAAGTCCGTTTGTATTTCAAATTTTCCGTCGTAATTATTTGGATATATTATGCAATCTTTGAATACTCGTTTATTATGAGGTTAATCAATCGTTACTATTGAATGTTTTAAGTATTATGCATTAGTAAACTGGGTATATTAAAAAATATGATTCTTAGTGAAGGAGTACTTAGGCGATTGAGCTTCACTCGGCATTTTTTCCGGGAAAAATATAAAAATTGCGGTTTTTTTTTCAGATAAACTTCAAATGCACAACCTTATCTTTTAAAATTTGATCTAAATGGCTAGAGCCCTTATCAAAATACACGAAATAAATGTATATATACAAGGATTGCTCACATTTAATGAACATATAAGATTAATACGTTATTCAAAGTCTATGTGGAAATCCAATATTCGTGTTTTTGCTCTTATCCTACACATCCTTTTTAACTGTCACCTCTGTACTTTACACGCATCCTCTATCGCACATTCCATTAGAAAAATGCCAATGTACCATGGCCACCATAATTTAATGGTTTCTAAACTACCAAACGTTTTTGGTCAGCAAATATAAATTTAAAAGGCCTATTCCAAGTTATTAGATAGTTCTGAGGGACAATATTTAAAAAAATACTCATTGTATTCCTGTCATTTACACTCTGATGGGACGACAATTCGACACGAACAGTGGTCTTTCCAATTGATTTGACCAGCTATCTCTTTGAAGGAAAAGCTAAGAAAAAGTCAATATTTTATCTATTTGGTATTTTATATATTAGTTACAACAAAATCCTGATAAACTGGAACCGCACTAACAAATGCTTTCTTAACCAGAAAATATATATTCGACACGACCAGTGAGAGATGAGACACAGATCGTTCATTCCTCCTCATAACGTTCACATGTGAAAAGTTTAATAATATTAAATCTAACATATAAAATTCTCGTGTCACAATGTTTGTAACAAAACTCCTCCGAAACGGCTTGACCGATTCTTATAAAATTTTGTGTGTATAATCAGTAGGTCTGAGAATAGGACGTAAATTATTTTTCATACTCCTAAGTGATAAGGGCGGTCCACCCCAAAAACTATTTTATTTTTTTTTAAGATTCGGCATTAAAAATACGTACAAACAACAAACAATAAATTTTTACTAGGGACCAACCCGAGCGGAGGGAGGGTGAATCGCTAGTTTACAATGAAATTTCACAGTTTTTTGCAATTTTTAAAGAGAACATATAAAATACGTCGTGAGATGTCTTCCATATTTTTTAACTAAAACGGTTTTAAATATAGTTTACTAACACATAATACTCTAACAGTTTTAAAATACCGTCAAGTAGTCTCTAATTTAAGCCGTCACTTACATACATCCATTAAGTAATAACGCACTAACATTTACTTTTATTTCAATAAGCAATTACAAGTTCAACGATCAAAATTCCTTTATTATTATGATATAAATACAGTAAAACGAGTTATTTGCCATACTTGGCACTTCTGAGAGTTCCCAATATTACGGCACGGTCACACCATGGTCCTGGGTATCCCCATAGGTACCATAGCTGACGCTCAAATGTAAGCGCTAAACATGGTAAAATATCCCATAGTTTTACCATCATAATAATATTGTCATAGATCATTTGAAAATTTAAAGAGAAAATTTCCTTGTTCACACCTACATAGCCTTTACGATAATTACTTAGATAATTCTGACTATCGAAAGCGTTTTCATTTCAAGCTTTCTGTTTATTTCCTACGTTATAAGAAACAATGAAGACTCCCTACATTTCGTATCCGTTTATCATATTTTTCATCATACACCGATGTTTTGTTTTCAACTACAGATGCATAAAATAATTTCTAAATCGATATTTTAGAAAATCGATTTTTACATATACATTAAATAAGATGATTAAGATTAAAACAGAGGCAACTAACTGCATTTAATTTTGAAATCGTATGTAAAATATACAAGACATTGTTAAAACGCAATTATAACATGTTTGAAATCGATTTTAAATTATACATAACTAAAATCGATTTCAATCACAATAAATTTATCAAACATCTGTTACAGACCACTACAAAAGCAATCCCATTGAAAATTGATCATTATGTTGTAAGAAATAAGGTTGCTTATCATAAAAACTGTCGTTACAAAGCACTGTTAAAGCAATTCCTTGGAAAATTGATCATTATTATGTAAAAAATAAGGTCGGTTATCGCGTTTCGGTGTAGATGGCGCGTTTCTTATCGAATCCGCGCTTAGACTCGCGTCATTCCCATTGGTGCGGTGAAGGCGGCAGTTCGGAAGGGTGAGCAACAGTCGAACTGAAATACATTTGCGATTAGTACGTGTAATACGTGCGATACCCACACCCACGCCTGTTGGTAGCTGGATTCGGCTTTATTACATGCAAAATTAGAGGTAAATTAAAGTACCTTTAAGTATCTAAAACAAATGTCCAAATCACTGTCTTTATGTATTAATTAACATCTTGATAAATTTTTTTCAATTAAAAAAAATGACTATAACACGCGAAATCCAGCAAACAACAAATTTGACCATGCATTCGATAATTGAATTGTAAAACTTTGTCTATGATAATAAAAGACTCGAACGGCAAAATTTGCATCACAAATCAAACTACTTGTCACTACACGATATCACCACAACCGAGTGTTTCGGCACTTCGCTACACATGCACTACTAAATACCGGGACGAGAACTAGAATTGCAACTGCTTTCGAAAATCAATTATATATTAAACTTTAATGTCTCACAGAATATTTATCGAGGTTTTTGTGCAATATAATATTTCGGCGCAATTAAAAAAGCCAATAGGAACAATTTTACTCGCCTTCGCCGTTGGGTAAATTTTTATGTTTTTTTTTTCATAAAAATTATCAACCATGTACTTTGCAGTATTAAGTTTCAATGCATTTGCCACATATTTCGATTTTTTCTAAAAACAGTTGCAAATTGACACAACATTCCGAAAAATATATTTGACCCATATTTTGAGACAACACAACCCCTTTAAATGCAACTAAATTTCATTATTTTTTCATATACATATAGTTTTAATCATATATGACTGTTCGAACATTTATCATAACAGCGATCGTTATAACTTTTTCAACATTCAATATTAACTTAAATAATTCACAAAAATAAAATACATTTATGGAGATGATAAAAAAAAATTGTAGAAAAAATATATTTCCATAAATTTATGAAGTCTCAGTAAAAATAATTCAGTTAAAAAAAACTACTAAACAATAATTAAAAAACAAAAAAATAAGGCCAAAACGAAATAGATATAAAGACCGCTAAATACAACCGGAATATCAGTTCCGCATGCATTGCAACCGAGCCGATGCGTGACGGCGGACTATCCAACGATCAACCCTTTTGAAATAACCGTACGTACGTTCGCGAAGGCACATACCCTCAAAATATAAAAAGAAAACGAAAAATAGGGCCAAAAAAAAGCCCTATTCCAAAACCGATCAAACTATTCAATATTGATAAATAGAAAGTCTCGTGCCTTTCCGAACGTACCAGATAAAGGACAACACAATGATCGTGCGCTTGGACTTACGCTAGGCAGCGCATAGAAATATCACGGGCGACAGTAGCAGTATTTTTGCCGCAGTCTTGAAAGGGGAACATACTTTTGCTTTCGAACTCGCTCTACGGCTAACGGAGAAAGAAAAAAAAGCAAAACGTTTAATAAACACCGTATTTCAAGAGGGTTGATACTTGAACTGCGGTGGTTTGGGAATCGCTTTGGCTGCGAATAATTATAAGAAATAAAATAAAAAATTAAAAAAAAACCCATGCATCAATGGGACTGTACGTCTACGGAAAAAAAATCAACTACAAAGGCGTTATTGGGATGGGAAGTGCGGGATTGTTGTATGGGTTTGCGACCACCGTTTACAATCGCTATTTCCTGTGATACTATATGCAAGTGACACTGAAGGGGAACAGAGTCACACCTAGTTGTGATGATTTGCTTTGGTCTGTTTTATTATCGTTTAATGACGCAGAGACAATCATTTTTAGACAAAAAAAAACAATTATATTAAACAAAAAACTAGTATTACATAATATTGTCTGCACGTCGTATAGAATAAAATAGCGTGGCCGAATATGGGTGCGGGGTGGTCGCTAAATAGCTCAACAAAAATGCTTGTTTTGGTCGGTTGACAAATATTTTGACAGAAAAAAAATTTTTTTACAACAATACTAAAATAAAATTACATTCTATGATATTAAAACTGTCTTTTGTGCTATTGAAAATCAAAAAATACTTGATAATAAAAACTCGTGATTACTTAAAAAAAAGTTTACTTGTGTATATTTTTTTATAACCGACTTAATTTTTTTTTATTTTCATTTAGCCATGTAAATATATTCCGAAGATTCCTTTAAAACCAGTGTATCAAACTACAAATGACACTTAAAAAAAAAACTTTTAAAAAACCAAAATTAAAACAACTCCACTCAACCAAACAAACAAAAAAAAACAACACCACAAAAGACAGTTCCATTCATACTCAAACAAAAAAAAACACCCCCAGAGACCCTCAAAAACAAAAATAAAACACCCCCCTAAACAAAAACAAAAAGCCGACCGTCCAAAACGAGCACAGTTAGGTTATATCAAGTAGATCACCTAGTCCGGATGCGGCGCGTCGCCTTACCTTGCGAAGCTCTTGAACGCGGCCGACTGCGGGTTGATGCAGAGCGGCACGCGCGAAGTTTGCAACTGTTCCGCTATGAACTTGTGGATTTCTTCTGCGGATTTTATTACATAGCAATTTGAATATAATATAACATATCATATTTACATAGTATAAAATCAAATCGATTCCGCTGTCTGTTCGCTTAGATCTTTTAAACTACTCAACGGATTTTAATGCAGTTTTCAGCAATAGATAATGTTTCAAGAGGAAGGTTTATATGTATAATATATGCATATTATAGTACAGAAAAGATTTGTATTTCATACTAATCGTTAAAACGTACCTAGGGACGAACCCTAGCGAAGCGAGGGTGAATCGCTTTTTCTTAACGACGAGTTTTAAATAAAACTATCCCTGGAGAGAATGGTTGTTGTATAGCATTCGAAACGTCTGGAAACACAAATTAATCTAACCCGCGAAAAAATCCCAGAAGATAGTTTAATTTAAAATGTTAAATATTCGCGTAAGTCTACGAAAGTATTATATAACATATCACCTCCTGCTTGTAGTTTTGTTCATGTGCCAGGTGTGTAGATACAAAGTGGACAATGTATTCTACTTTAAATTTCAATTACATCCTTTCAGCCATTTTATATTATAAAAATTGTATTTCGATATCTACCATTTCTTCTTTACGGAAACCAAAATAATTCTTCAAAAAAACTACTCACTTCTCAACTACTAAGCTTGGCTCGCGTTTTTTTATTTCCCCTTGTTCTCTATATTTGCCACCCCCAAACACAAAAAATAGATCTGGCGTGTAGTTAGTAAATGACAGAAGGTGGCACGCTTTAGCAAAACTTGCACATACAAGAATACGACGACACGTTTGGCTCAGTTTGTAGTGACCCTACTTTCTGTGCCAGCGGTCGCGGGTTCGAGTCCCGCTGGGGGCATTCATTTGTGTGATGAGCATGAATGTTTGTACTTCAGTCATGGGTGTTTATATTTATAATATGCATGTATTTAAAGTTATATAATATGTGTAGTGTTTCAACTATCTGGTATCCATAACACAAGCCTCGTAGCTTACCATGGATGGTGGTAGTACTAGATGGTGTTGTGTGTTTCCCAACATATTTATGTATTATTTATAAGAATGGTAGCAGAGCAACCTTCCAGGTAGGGAATTAAACTTTACCTTTAACTTGATGAACAGAAGTGAGTTTCCTCTCCCACCCATCGTGGAAGGCGTGCGGCGCGACCGGCTCTAGGTCGGGCGAGTAGTGTCTAGCGGCGGGTGGCGCGCTGTAGCAGCACTTACACATACAAGAATGGTAGCGGAGTCGACCCTCTTCCAGATATGGATGCGCTAGCGCATCCACCACCGATATACGTTTGGCCGGGTCGAATACTAACATCTAGAATGATAACATGATATATTTGAATCGGACTAATATTATAAATGCGAAAGTTTGTACGTATAGATGTACGTTTGTTTGTCTTTACGCTGAAACGGCTGGATAGAATTAAGTACAGTATTGGCTGGAGTAACTATGTATAGTAATTATGGCGAAAATTGTTAATCTTTATATATATAATTCTTCGGTGAGTGTGTATGTCACTGAACTTCTCTCAAACGACTGGACCGATTTTGATGAAATTTTTTGTGTGTGTTCAAGGGGATCTGGGAATGGTTTAGATTCACAATTTGAATAATAATTTTCATCAAAAAAATTATTAAAAAAAGTTTGAAATTTCCAAATTAAAGACGTGTAGACAGGACAACGTCTGTCGGGTCCGCTAGTATTATATAAGGAGATGAATCATCTTCCAGTAAGAGGTAAGCCGATTCGATATATGCTCGGTACAAAAATTTATTCGTAAACTTCATTTAACACCTCCAATATAATACAATTGTCGACTACGATCAAAAGTCAAACATAAATGGATAAAACATTGTCATATCCTTGTTTATTCTAAAAAAAAATAACGTTAAGATTATTTAATACAGAAATTCCGTCAAAAAGTCTTTTAAAGTTGCTGAGAAAACCATGATCCTTTTTTTTAAGTTATTAGGGTTCCGTGCCCAAAGGATGCCAACGGAACCCTATCCTCCTATATTCTATAAACCTCCGCTGTCCGTCCATCCGTCTGTAAGAGGGCTGTATCTCATGAACCGTGATAGGTAGAAAATTGAAATGTTCACAGAGTATATATTTCTATTGCCGCTATAACAAAAAAAAAAACAAGGAAATTTTTTTAACGTCCGTAATCGATCATTGAAATTAATATACATACTACATACACAGAGTAAAAGTCATATTAATAAAAATTACATGTACAATGGTACGGAACCCTTCGTGTGCAAATTCGACTCGCACTTGACCGACTTTTATTTCATGATTAAACACTAAAAGAACTTAACTAACTATTGTATCAGTCGTTGGCATTCACAATAACTATTTTCATAATTCCCCATCGCAATATCGATATTAAAGTTGTCAAGAATAAAAATTAAAAAGAATCGTTGAAAGGTCGTTACGTAAATGGATGAGACTCGGATCTTAAGACGGATTGAGATTGATGTCGACATCCTATACATTAATTTCTTAAATTACAAGCAAAAACTATATCTAACATTATATCTATACTAATATTATAAATGTGAAAGTTTGTGAGGATGGATGTTTGTTACTCTTTTACGCCAGAACGGCTGAACGAATCCGGTTGAAATTTGGCACAGAGATAGATTATAGTCTGGAATAGCACATTGGTTCCTTTTTGTAACGGAAAAATGTACGATTTATGTGGGATAAATTTGTTTTAACTTTTTACTAGGGACGAACCCGAAGCGAAGCGTGGTAGGTAGCATAGCATATACAATATCTACAAATCTAGTAGGTACACATACATGTCATAACGATATAAAGGCCAGGGAGATAATTGTAAGATTCGGTTAATTGAAATTTTATATACAGACAACAACTTATAATTAGATATAAAAAGCAAGACTTATGGCGAATGCATGTGATTTTTCCTCCTAAATGTACAACTATCAAAGCCTTAATTCACTCAAATTAACATATTACAAATATATAGGTACATATATTTTTAATTCAATACAAAAAGACAAGTAACAGTTATTAAAATGTACTTTCTTTAACTACATAAAAATTTAATTTTTTATGAGGAAATGAATAAAAAAGATGTACACAGGTATTACAAAGGCTTAATGAATTGGAGTTTCGCACAAACGTGTCTGATTTCATCACTCTACACGTGTTCGAGCACGTGTCAAACAAAAACGTAAACAATTGATTCCCCACACAAACTTTTATCCCCATTTTCACCCCCCATAAGGGCTGATTTCCGGGATAAAAAGTCACCTATGTCCTTCCCAGGATCTCAAACTATCTTCATACTAAATTTTATCTAAATCGATTCAGTAGATCCAGAGATTACCCCCTACAACCTCACAAACTTTACCTCTTTATAATATTAGTATAGATAGCGAAATATTTGTGTTCTGCCTATAAAAGCGATCGGCTTTCAAATATAGGCTTCCATTCATTTTTTTTAATAGATTAACTATATATTGTTCCCTTATTATTATTTAGCGTTATCTTCGCCAATTCTGAACCCATTTTATTACTTTTTCAATAAATATTCTTTTTATCCCTATTATATTTTAAGTGATTAATCCCTCCACGACCGCGGACACGCCGGCGTTACAGTTAACAATTGATTTCTTAGAAGTTTAATTAATTTCTTAGAAATTTACCTGGAGGTGTTAATTATTGTGTTGTTTAAAAGTATATGAAAATTACAAATTTGAAAAAATATCAGAGGTGCAAGATCTCTCCCACCCTTAATCTTTAAGCTCATACCCAGCAGTGCGACGTTAAAAAGGGCTGAATAAAATATACGAATCAACACAAATCACAAGTACTAATGGGAAAACATCGTGAGGAAACCTGCATATCTGAGAAAACCTAGCAAGTTTACAAAAAACCATGGATAATTCGTTCATGCAAAAAACATATGACAACCCGCACTTGTCCAGCGTGGTGGACTAAGGCCTGAACATCGTATAAAAGCCCATGCCCAGCAGTGGGACATTAAAAAGGGCTGATTACGAGCACAAAACTCACCTGAGCCAATAAATGAACGGCCTCGTGTGTCGCCTGTACCGACAGCGTGTAGAGCGCGGCGAGCGCGGGCGGGCGCGGCGCGCGTCGTAACATGTGCGCGCGGGCACCGGCGCACGCGTACCGCATGTCCTCTAACGAGGGGGTGCCTAGCAGTTCTGTTATTAGTTCCAGCTGGAATATTAACTTTCTTATGTTAGTTTTTATGTTTTACCATATATAATATAATGGTACACTAAAACATTTTGTTATGCGAAAAATTCGTGTGTCTATGTTCGTTACTACTAGTATCACGACTTGAACGATTAAGATGAAATTTAGGAAACGGCCTATTGTTATTTTGGAGTAACGCATAATATGTAGTATATGTAAGGCATTCAGGGACGCCCCTGCCTGAGTAAGGCCAGGGTAAGTGGCTAGTATTATGAATTATGATGTATAATTTATATAAGCCTATGTGCATTAAAATAACATCCATCCGGGACGTGATGTTTATTAGGTAGGTACGGAAACTAGAATATTTAATCTTTCAAAAACGAATAAATAAATCAATGTTAATTTTTATTAAAATTAGTTTATTTTAGTTATTACTTCTTCAAGCATTCATTCTATTCCTAAGTTTTTAATTTCACCGTCATAATCCAGTTGAAAAATTTATCCTGTATATGTATAATGCAAAATTAATATATTAATTAGAATAAATTTAATATATTGAAAATTAAAATTAATATATAGCATTACCTGCTGAACAGGACTCTGCGCTTGAAACAGTATACGACGACCGAGCAACTCGCCGAATATGCACCCCACAGACCACACGTCCACCGCCGCCGTGTAGTGGTTAGCGCCCATCAGGATCTCCGGCGCTCTGCAATAATTGTGATACAAATAATTATCATACAGATATATTACTATAATAACATCTATAGATGTAACAAACATTTTGTTCGGAGATGATATAATCATCCACACGATTTGTTGAAAAATTAACTAGCGACTCACCCTCGCTTTGCTCAGGTTAGTCCCTAGGTATGTTTTAAAGGTTAGTATTTAAGAGACTATACAATATATACATATGTTTACCTATAGGTATTATGAGTTTTATATCTCTTACTTGAATAATGATTGATTTCCCATGAAAACTTCCATCTTTCACCCCCTTATGGGATGATTTCCAGGAAAAAACTATCCTAAGTCCTTTCCAGAGTCTGAACTATCTACATACCAAATTTCATATAAATCGATTCAGTAGATTAATCGTGAAAAGGTAAACAGACAGACAGACTATCGCATTTATAATATTAGTATGCATTAGAAGCTACATATATCTGTAAAAATCTATATCTGAGCGTCTCATCCAAAAATCGACACACAGTATTTATTTCTTCTTAGAAATTAGAAGTAACAAAGTGTCCAAAGAAAAGTTAAGGGCGTTCTGTTACGAGTACTAGGAAAATATCACATTTGTGACAACGGTATCTGACCGTGATCCAAGAGAATGTTTCTGACACAAACAATTTGTATCCTTAATCTTGTGTCACTTACGGCCAAAATAAACGTGATATCTCTCGATTGCTTTATCAACCTATAATTATGGGGCTTTTGTCAAGTTATCTCTAGTAAACTAAGTACTTAATCTTGAGTACTATAAGTATAGGTTATTATTTATAATATTTATTATAGATAAGAAAATGCAACAAGCAGTCTATATAGATAACGCAAAAAAAAGAACGCGACTAATAACTCAATTTAAGTGACAAAATTGAAGCACCTAATAATAAAATGAATAAATTCTTTAATAAATTAAGCAAATTCTCACGTAGCTGAATAGTAAGTACACTACTTATCGAAATTAAACGTAAAAAATCTTTAAACTAAACGTTATCCTTAAGGTACCTAAAACTCAACCATGCCTATTGCCTACATATTTCACTAGCGATTCACCATCGCTTCGCTTGCGTTCGTCCCTAGGTTGCTTCCCCATACAAATTTTCATTCATGTTCACCCTCTTAAGGGATGATTTCTGAGATAAAAACTATCCGATGTCCTTCTCAGGGTTTCAAACTATCTTCTTACCAAATTTCATGTAAATAGATTCAGTAGTTTCGGAGCGTATTCGGTACAAACAAACACACAAACAATCAAACAAACAAAAAATCTTTCCTCTTTATAATATTAGTATAGAAGTATAGATTAGAACTTTCTAATGAAATATATAGATAAGTAAAAGTCAGAATAACTATAAACATAAATTAAACATCGTCATATTTAATAATACGCTGTATACCTATCGTATCTTTACAATTTACATTAAAATGTTTCACCGTAGGTCATGACTCACGAGCGCAAATTCAATCAACGTTAGCGCCAAGTTTAAGACCCAGCAACGGTTTATAGATTTCTAGACTTCAGTAGGAATCACGTTTAGCATATAAAATACCGTAATATCGAGATGGAAATCACGACCTGCGATATATTATGCACTAACCGCGTAAACCAAGATGGGCCAGCCGTGGCCCACTTTCAAAACCGCGGTCAACAGTGCAAAGGCCATTCATTCATTCGCCTTCACTACACGATTACATCGAAATTGAACTAGCGCGACGTGAATACAAAATGTTGGATAAAAAAATTAATTATAGCTAACGACGGTAACAAAAAGCTAATTAAGACGTGTACCCATCATAAAATTAGAAGAACGAACTAAGAATGTGTAAGATACCTTCTTGTATTGTGAAAAATTACGGTTCTTAAGAATCATACTTATTTTTCTTTCTGCTAAATCGATTTTTTTACTGGCAGAACCCGCGGCTTCGCTCGCACTAAAACTACCAAAAAAAATCTCTTAAATGGTTGGTTTGATACAATTGTTCATCCACTATTTTACCCCCTTATTGCATAAATTTCGAATAATGTCAAAACACGTATTTATTTAATTGTATTGAAAAGCATTAATACCAAGTTTCAAGTAATTCTGCCCAGAAATAATTTTTGGATTGTATTATAACGTGCTTTCCCGTGGGAATGAGAAAATCTCCTGCGGTAAAAAGTAGCGTATGTCACTCTTCAGACCTCCAGTTATATCCACACAAAAAATCACGTCAGTCCGTCACTCTGTTTTGACGTGAAAGAAGGACAAACAAACAAACATTTTCACATTTATAATATAAGTATGGAACATGAAATATTTTGAGTTAGTCAGCTTAACGGATTTGAGTGAAATTCAAGATCGAGACAGTTTTTATATAGAATTAACACAGTAGATCTACGTTTCATCTCCGCGACCGGATCCGCGGGCCTAGTACTGTACAATCGTATAAAATTACTATTCACCCACCTTATATACACACGTGGATTTGCTATCAACAATGTTTACAGAATCAATTTGTAACAAAAATAAAGCACATTCTACACGTACGTACTTTTATGTAAACAAAAAAATTTTTTTCAAAGCGACGGCGTTTACTATAGAGGCAGTTTAGAGTTTCAGGAAAAACGATACCGCTAACTAATAAGATATAGTTGCATCTGTTCAATCACGCAATGCTGTGTGGGGTCTAGCTTTATATCTTTATATATATAATTCTTCTGTGAGTGTGTATGTCACTGAACTTCTCTCAAACGACTGGACCGATTTTGATGAAATTTTTTGTGTGTGTTCAAGGGGATCTGAGAATGGTTTAGATTCACAATTTGAATAATAATTTTCATCAAAATGGTCCAGAATGTTTTAGCTTATTAAAAAAAGTTTGAAATTTTCAAATTAAAGACGTGTAGACAGGACAACGTCTGTCGGGTCCGCTAGTAGCATCATAAAACTAGATGAACTTTAAGTATACACATAAATTTTATATCACATTAATCGTTGATCATATTAATAAAAATACCGTTTTAATTGCAATACAAAATAAATAACCTAAGCGATTTTATTTACAAACTAGCGAATCACCCACGCTTCGCTCGGGTTCGTCCCTAGGTACCATTTAACGGTTAGTATGAAATACAAATCTTTGAATTTCTCGGCGCTTTTCAATACTATACTCGTAATATGCATGTATTATACATATAAACCCCTTGAATCACTCTATCTATCGCTGAAACCTGCATTAAAATCGGTTGAGTACCTAGTTTAAAAGATCTAAGCGAAAAGACAGCGGAAGCGACTTTATTTAATACTAGCATTGCCCGCGGTTCCGCTCGCGTTCAGAAGACCAAAAACCAAATTCTTAGATTTTACATATTAGTATACTCTGACAATGCAGTTTTTGTGTTTTTGTATTTTCTCTCAGAAATGAAATATTTTCCCGCGGTAAAAGTATCCTATATGTTGACCCGGATAACCAGCTATCATCATTCCAAATTTCATCAAAATCTGTCCAGTGGTTTTCTCGTGATGCGGTAACAGACAGACAGACAAAAATTCTAAAAACTATAGATTCGGTCTCTGTATCGATAATAATGTCTATTTCAATTAGATTTTTCAAAAAATATTTAATGTACAGATTCGACTTAGTTACAATTTTATTATATGTATAGACTATGTAAATATATTATTATCGACAGACAAACAAATGTAATGAATGCGAATACGAATCCACAATTCTAATACCTACAGTATAAGTTTAAGTAGCTACGTAGCAAGGAAAAACAAAGTGCTATGAAGAAAGGTAGCAAATTGAATTGAGTGAAGCGATACCATAACAAGGTAATATAACAACAAAATGTTCAGATTATACTTTTGTTTATCATGGTTTAGTTATTTATGAAAATATTGTGTATTTGTTCTTAAGAGATGACAGAGCCGACGTAACGTTAGCTATAGAACCTATAAGTGACTAGCGACTCACCCTTGCTCCTCTCGGGTTCGTCCCTAGGAACGTTTTAACGGTTAGTATAGATTTTTCAGAGATAAGATATTTTTTTCACGCAGTAAAAATTAACCTATACGTTGACCCGGATACCCAGCTAACATCATACCAAATTTCATCAAAATCTATCCGCCGAACGCATCACGAGAAAATCGAGTGATTTTCTCGTGATACATTCCCAGACAGACAGACACAAAGGTTCTCATCATAGATCCGGCCTCTGTATCGATAAAAAATATTATTTCGATAAGATTTTCTGAAAAATATTTAATGTACAGATTCGACTCAGAATTTTATTATATGTATAGATAGATAGATAGATCCGTAGGTAGGTTGGTTCATACAATAAATTTGTATTAATGATATTAAAAATTGTTACAAAACTATCAGAGTTAATGGGAAATATATGATGCCATGCCCATCGATTTAGCATATTTTGAAACTTTCTTTGTGTAATACATACTAATACTTGCTCATGACTTCACATGTGTCAATTAAAAATAGCCTATTAGTTTAGGTAGTGTAGCTTTCCATTAGTAAAATAGATTACCAGATTAAACCTACACTAGAAATATGTGTGTATGTTTTTTGCAAGGGGCAAAATACGCTGATACGGTTGGACAAGTTTTGGATGAAATTTTGTACATAAATACACTTTGACTTAGAGTAACACAAGCTAATGTTAGTAATAAATATAATTAGAAATATAATAATATCTATATATAATAAAAGCGTAACTGATCGCTGTCTGTAGATGGAAGATACACACACACACACACACACACACGCACACAATAGATCCCAATACAATGATTTTTAGAATTTTTATCTGTTTGACTGTGCGTTTGTGCGCGCTAATCTCAGAAACATCTTAAACGATTTTCACTAATGTATTGTGGTAAGCTTCACTTAACATTTAAGTATTTTTTTTTTATTTCAATCGAGTCACGAATAAAAAACCATATCAATTTAAAGAAACATCTAGAGACAAACCCGAGCAAAGCGACGCTTAATCGCTAGTATAATAATATATACAATATACATAATTCGTGTAATATAAAATGGATATAAAAGCAGTATATAATACAAAGAGAATAACGAATGGCCACTCGTTCCTGACCTGTAATACTGTGTAACGACCTCCTGAGTCATGTTTTTCGTGGCGTCTGGTTCCTCGACCCTCGCGAGACCAAAGTCGCATATCTTGAGTACGCAATTACTGTTCACCAAGAGATTCCCCGGCTTGATGTCCCGATGAAGGATGCGAGCTGAATGGAGGTACTTCAAACCTGCAAGTTATAGAAGCATATTATTTAAATGCGAGAACATTTTATTTTACTGAGTAACTTTACCGTTTCTTTATATTTTCCAACTTAACTTGGATATTTTACTAATGATGCTATCTTAGATTTACGCGAATGTTTGACATTTTTAAATAAAACTATCTTTTCGGATTATTTCGCGGATTTATGTATATTTATATTTACCTTCAAGACATGTAACACCTCAGTCTCTCCCGTGACCATGGAGGCTGTAAAGCATTCGAAACGTCGGGAACCAAAAATCAAAATAAATCCGCGAAATAATCCGAAAAGATAGTTTTATTTAATAATGATGCTGTTTTAAATTTACTAAAATGCGAATTTAGTCAAAAAAACTTGTATACATATATTATCATTATACATATATTATCATTATAGAAATGTTTATTTTATTTTTATATGTAAATTCTTTTGCAAAACTATATATGGAAATATACCTAATCTATATAGTATATACTCGTACAATAGATTCTCATCGATACTGTCTTATAAGATAAGCGTCATGAAATCCGTGGAGGTTTTTATCAAAGTGAACAGAGTGGTTTTTCTTGATTTGTTTGAAAGGATAGCTTTTATTGGTAATATCTTATTCGTCGTGGATTTTCAATCTTGAATAAACTTTAAAATGACTTTATTTTTAAATTACCATAGAATTATTAATTAAAATATTTGTTATATATAGTGAACAGTATGTGAAAATTGAACTAAAATAATCTGAAAATTGATAACAAAGTATGTATTCTATATATCAACAATTAGTAGTGAAATAAAACAATTAACCAGTCCATTCAAGCAAATACAATATACATATATAATAATCATAAAACATCACTAAAATTTATGAGAGTCTGCTACAAACTGCATCGAGGTAGATTTAATAAAAATCATATTTCGTCATATCAAAATCTAGTTCGTTCCGCGCCAGATGAGCCAATACCAGACTTTGGATGAACGGAAAAACGTGTTTCAGACGCATATATGTAGCTTTACAGAGATATGCTGCGTCTCCCCAAAAAATATGTACACTTTAAAGGAAGATTTAAGTTACGATATATGGATCCTTCCGACTGGCGCGCCAGATTTTCCAGTCATAAATAATAAATGTTACAACCTCCGTTTCATTTCAAAGAACACTACACTTAGCAATTGCGTAATACGTTTAGATTTGTATAATAATATTCAGTACCTGGGCGAAAATAGTGTTTCTTTTGGAAAAAAATCGTATTTTTTTTTACATACGTCCTACATCTATACATATAAAAAAATTGTAACTAAGCCGAATCTGTACATTAAATATTTTTTTGGAAAATCTTATTGATATAAACATTATTATCGTTACCAAGGCCGAATCTATAAAACTAATCCGAATCTATCAAAATTTCTAAAACCTAAGAATTTGGTATTTTGTCATCTGAACGCGGGCGGAGCCGCGGGCAATGCTAGTACATATATACATGACCTTAAAAAGCAAAACTTTAGAATTTCTTCTTTAATATCATAAGGAATATTATATACGTAATTAAAAAAAATCGATTAAATGTTTACATTTTAATCGTAACTCGCTACTTAAAAGACAAACTATCAAAATTTTCCAACCAAAATTCTCATGACAGCAATTTCACAGTTAAAATTTCCATGGACGTGAACAAGTTTGCGGTTTTAAGACTGGAAGCGAAGCATTAGACCCGCGGAATCCCTGCAGGAACGCGAAACACGCCAACCGTTGTTCAAAGCGGCTGGATGTGACGTCAAAACAAATTAACGACACCTCGCCACCTCGCAGAGTTTAATTTCCCAGAGGGTGCTCTGTTTTCGTATACCTGACGACTAACACCCAACTTTCATGTTAATTGTCAAGGTAAACGTACTGTATAACTGTCTAAATTCAGCAACTGTGCTTTCCCATAAATAATAAATAAATAAATATTATTAAATAAAACTATCTTTTGGGAGAGACTGACTCCCGTGACTATGGATGCTGTAAAGCATTCGAAACGTCGGGAACCAAAAATCAAAATAAATCCGCGAAATAATCCCAAAAGATAGTTTTATTTAATAATGTCAAACGTTCGCGTAAATCTAAGAAAGTATTAAATAAATACGTTGGGACATTCATACACAGCACCATCTAGTACCATGGTAAGCTACGAGGCTTGTGTTATGGATACCCGATAGTTGATACACTACACATATATAAACTTTAAATACATACATATTATAAATATAAACACCCATGACTGGAGTACAAACATTCGTGCTCATCACACAATGAATGCCCCCAGCGGGACTCGAACCCGCGACCGCTGGCACAGCAAGTAGGGTCACTACACACTGAGCCAAACGTGTCGTAGTAACCTAACATAACCTAACTTTAGTTTTCAAAAGACCCACTTTAATTACCCTATTTAATTAAAACTATCATTTGAAAGGTTAACACCAAGATTCTAAATCATAACTTACTCACTATGCCTCGTAACATAAGTCCTAGGGCTTACTTCGGTCTATACGCTATACGTCAGTCTGTAGGCCGCTATATAAAACTGATGATTAACCTAACGGAACCGGCACAGCGCGGTGCATCGAGATATATGAACCTATGCATTGCATTCACTTCCGTGCCAAAGTACTGCACGAGCTTCTTAAAATTCCCAACATGCATGGCTTAATTGGCATAAACCTGTATGATTTATTACAATATTCTCGATATTTTTTATTAGAAATAAAACAGAATATTTATGAAATATTAAATATTTTAAGTCAAATAAATAAAAAATAATAATATCATACATATTATATTCACCGGAACATTATTTTTATACATAAATAGGTATACCATAGCAGCTATCTATATAAATATATAAAAATCTATGTATATTTATGTTTCTTATAGATTCCAAAACGACTATAGCGATTTTGATGAAATTTTCAGGCAATCTTGAGATAAGCCTAGCGGGATTCTGTGAAATTTGGCAGCGATCGGAAGTTTCGGAAGTTAAAGCCGAGGTTACTGCTAATTGCCTATAGCAGCAATATATACGTATTATAATAAAAACATCTTAAATACAATTTCCCACCTATAACAATTATACTAACAGGTGTTATAAAAAGCAATATGTCGTCCACAAGCTAAGTAGGTACGGGTCGTCGGCCGTGCGTGCGCGCACCCGACCGCAACGCTCGCTAGTCCTTACATTGCTACCCGGGGACAATGCACTCCACTTATTTGACTTTACTGGACATCGTACGACTAATTATCCAAGTTTTTGTTCTAGGAATTATCACCGATGGTCACACGTGCAGGTGTAACTTATAATGTAATAAAAAATGAAATAATAAGTAACTCACGATGTGCAAGATAATTAAATTTAAACTTAGCATTTACACGATTGTATTTCAAGTACAAATAAATATGTTAAGTTATAAAATCAAACGAAAGTCTTATTTTGCATTTGGTTCATTAAATACGTTGTAAAACTGGCGTAAAAACACCTGAACCCCGGAATAATGCAAGGAATAACAGTATCTGGGTGTGATATTTGCTCACGCACTAGTAACAAACAACGAGGCCTTCGTGTGCGCTCTCACGATGGAGGATGAAACGGCTTTCACAATTAACGCCCTGCATCACCAGGCACCGTTAGGGTGACCGCGCCGAAATAGAACACTTTACAGTTGCACAATGCGCTGTCCTATCGTCCTTAACATTCTGATATTTAATAACTAGCATTTGCCCAAGGCTCAATTCGCGTGGTTTAAAATAACAGATTTGTACAAACTTCCGACCCCTTTCTCGTCCCTTTAGGTTTTGAATTTCAAATATCTCTTCTCAATCAATACCTATTTCCTATGAAGAAACTACCTACCAAATTTACAAGCTTGTAAATTTCGTAGACTGAGTTTTTGTGGTCTGTTTCTGTTAATCAGTGAGTAGTATTTCGCTTTTATATTTATATATAGAAAAATGATCAAAAATCTGATATTTATCACAGTATATGCGAATACGCGAATTTTTATCTAAAATAATAAGCCAACAATACAAACATAGTTACAATGTGTCCACAGAACGCTTGGACCGTAACTGACGAGAGAGATTACCTAATCACGTACATTTCTACATTCAACAAAATAATCCCCCGCGTCTGTCACTATCATGTTGGAATTAGACTTAGCGACATCAATTATTGTTAACCGACTTCAAAAAAACAGAGATATTCAATTTGTCTGAATGTTTTTCATATAAATATGTTACTAGATACCGGAATTATGATAAGACTTATATTTAAATCAAATATGTTAAATATGTTGAGACATTAACACACATCACCATCTAGTACCATGGTAAGCTACAAGGCTTGTGTTATGGATACCAGATAGTTGATACATATATAACTTTAAACACATACATATCATAAATAAATACAAACACCCATGACTGGAGCACAAACATGCGTGCTCATCGCAAAAACGAATGCCCCCAGCGGGACTCGAACCCGCGACCGCTGGCGCAACAAGTAGGGCCACTACAAACTGAGTCAAACGTGTCTTTAAATAAGTACAAATAAAAATAATTCCTTTTTAAATAATTAATTAAATATCTTTCAGGATCGTCACGAATAAATCTCAAAGAAAAAGCGATTTTGAAGAGGGTGTATGTGTATTCAGCCCTTTTTATCGTCCCACTGCTGGGCACGGGCCTCCCTTCAGTACGAGGGGAATCAGGCCATAGTCCACCACGCTGGCCAAGTGCGGGTTGGCGGACTTCACATGTCTTTAGAAAACTTGCTGAGTTCTCTCAGACATGCAGGTTTCCTCACGATGTTTTCCTTCACCGTAAGGCAAGTGGTAATCATGTTAGAAAATGATTCGCACATGAAAATATCAGAGGTGCGAGACCCGGGATTTGAACCCGCTTCACTCGGTTTCTCAAGCGAGCGCGTTACCACTGGGCTACCACTGCCTCAAGAGGGTATCCATTTTTATTTAATAATTCATTGTATGGATATTTATGTCTGAAGCAAATACGAACGTCCTTTAAATACATAATTCAAACTTTACTCGTATCGCCAACACAAAAGTATTCTAATCCCGCGCCTTGTTGACATCTAGTGATTTTAATAAATCTTATATATAACACCTACGTCGTGTTTGTTGTCCTGATAAATGTGCTGGCGTCTCCAAGAAAATTTTATTACGAACCGCAGAGAAAATGTTCTATCCATGGTTTTTATTTTTTCAATAAATCAACTCAAATTTTGTGTTGTCAGTTGTCACTCTATCTATATCTATATATACAGGTTGTCCTGTTTTCAATGGATAACCTTGAAGTGGCTTATAGCAGAACTTTTAGCCGTTCAGAAAAAAAAATACAAAACCAAATTTATTGTAAGTATTATCAAAGATATGTTTTTTTAAAGACCACAAATTTTTATCTTATTTTAGATTCTTGAAAATTACAACCACAAAATGAATGAATCTCATCGATTTTTTGTTGTTATTTTAACGTACACTAATCATACCAATAGCTAGGTCAAATAGTAAATAGTAAGAATAGCTATTATATATCGTATACGAGTATATACGCAGCTGCGCTATATAAAAATGATATTATGTGTATGAAATAATAAGTTACGGGCTTAATTTCCCCTTGTGACACAAATGCGTTATTAAAACGCCCCTGCTTTATATTCAGTCGACGCACAAATCGAAATTGATTTTTAAATTTCCTTCCATGAGGAGTATGGAAGAAGCGTATGAAATTTTATATACATACATACATACGTGTCATATATCACAACTAGCATGGCCCACGGCTCCGCCCGCGTTCAGATGACCAATAACCAAAGTCTTAGGTTTTACATATTAGTATACTCTTACAATGCAGTTTTTGTATTTTTTCTCAGAAATTAAATATTTTCCCGCGCTAAAAAGAATCCTATATGTTGACTAGGATAACCAACTATCATCATACCAAATTTCATCAAAATCTGTCCAGTGGTTGTCTCGTTATGCGGTAACAGACAGACAGACAGACTGACTAAAATTCTAAAAGCTATAGATTCGGACTCTCTATCGATAATAACGTCTATTTCAATTAGATTTTCCAAAAAATATTTAATGTACAGATTCGACTTAGTTTGAATTTTATTATATGTATAGATAAGACTAGATCTAGTAAAGGAGTAGACGTACGACGAATCAAGTAGAGATTTCGAGGGCAAAAAAATCTAGCGCATAAATAACACTACAGCTTCATATGAGTCGCAAAAGACCTGAGAGGCAGCGGCGCCACATTTCCATAATTTTGCTCGTAACCACTGCGCAGGCTTTGCGATTATATCTTCTCGTTTCGTTGGATAAACAATATTAATTAAATCTTTTTACTGGGTCTTATTTACCAATTATGCGATTTCGTATTATGTGAAACTTACAATTAAAATTATCCTCTCACCAATTCAAAATATTACACGTAAATGCAAAAAGTAACAAATCAACAAAACAAACAATGGCAATTACGAAAGACTAAGAACATGTATTGTTTTATTAGAAGGTGCTTAAATATGTAGATTTAAAATCTGATATGTATACATATAATAAAATTGCAACTAAGCCGAATCTGTACATTAAATATTTTTTGTGAAAATCTTATTAAAATAAACATTATTATCGATACAGAGGCCAAATCTATAGTTTTCAGAATTTTTGTCTGTCTGTCTGTTACCGCATCACAGAAAAACCACTGGTGGTATTGTAATGAAATTTGGTATGGTGATAGCTGGTATCCGGGTCAACATATAATAGGATACTTTTTATCACAATAAAATATCTCATTTCTGAGAAAAAATACAAAAACTGCAATTAAAGAGTATACAAATATATAAAACCTAATAATTTGGTTTTTGGTCATCTTAACGCGGGCCGAGCCGCGGGCAATGCTAGTTATAAAATATTTAAGCGCATAACAACAATGTTGTATATAATACGCATAATATATAAACCTAAATGTATGTCAGGGATACGAGGATATTCAGAGTATCCTTTAAATACCTGTATATCATAGTTTGAAGCTATTGACGACGGCTTGCGAGTTCCAAGCGGACACTCCATACATTATTTATATCGAAACGAACGAACGACATTAGCATACCTAGTGCCTAGCAGGACTGCCCTCGTATCGATTCGACCAACGGAAATCATTTATGCGTATTAAACACACAGTAGGTAAAACCGTGACCAAGTCAGAGTTTTGGGGTATAATGGGATGTTTTCGAACTTTTAAATATTTTTGTACTTGAATTCTTTTTTCCAAAAATCCTACGGTAACATAATAGTTATTTTATTATAATACTAGCGACTCACCCTCGCTTGCTCGGGTTTGTCCTTAGCTTAATTCAACATACAAACTTTCATCCCCATTTTCATCCATGTAAGGGATGATTTCCGGGATAAAAAGTATCCTATATCCTTCCCATGGTCTCAAACTATCTTTTTACCAAATTTCATCTGAATCGGTTCAGTGGTAGATCCAGAGATTACCCCCTAAAATGTCACAAGCTCACAATCGCACAAACTTTACCTCTTTATAATATTAGTATAGATGAGAGCGCAAAAAAATAATAATTTAAATCTACTATATGTAAATTAAGAAATAGTGGCACATAATTTTAACACAGTACGAAAGTTGTCAAAGGACTATATCCTCTCACTAGAACAGAGACCACTGGCAACTATAAAGTTTTTAATTAAACTCTGAGCGTCGGGAGCTTAACGATCACATTTTTCTGGACTCCCTTAGCACGTTTTACTCTGGGGAAATTTCTTGACATTGCAAAAATAATTGAAGGTATTAATAATATAAAATAGGCCTGAATCTATCAAAATTATTCTAAAAAAAGGTAATTTATTGAAAAATATTAAGGCGTAACTTGAAGAAACGAAGCCGGTGCGCTTCTGCATTAAAAGTTCTTAGAAAGTTTGGGTTCTTACAAGTTTTAATTGATTAAAGCTAGGTGGAAATGGAAAAAGCTGGTATAAAAGCAGATTTACTTTGACTTCGACCTGGTCATGACCGCCGTAGCCGTACTCACGGGAGGTGCTTTATTTTAAACTTGAATTTATGGAGGTAAAACTTCGAATACCAAAGTTGTTCTCATCTTTGTATTTTCCAACACAAAATAACCCGAACATTGGGCACGTCCAAAGACCTTTTTCATAATTAATGCAATAAAATTATAGCCTTTATTCATGACCGCATTCAATTTACGTAATAAAGGTATATAGAATTAAACTTACTCTCCATTTTAACAATTTGAATAATATGTCATAAATTATAATCCTTCGAAATATTCCATTCACACAATTGTACAAAATGTAAATTACGAATAATCTACATATTATAAAAATGAAAAATTTTGTTTGTTTGTATCGAATAGGCTCCGAAACTACTGAACCGATTTATATGAAATTTGGTAAGAAGATAGTTTGTGACCCTGGGAAGCACATAGGACAGTTTTTATCCTGGAAATCATCCCTTAAAGGGTGAAATTTTGTATGAGAAAGCAACCTAGGTATGAACCCGAGCGAAGCGAGGGTGAGTCTTTAGTTACTCAAATGACATTAGTTAGAAAAAATCTACATTTTTATTACTAAGGTCAAATAGTAGAAACCTTCCCGTGTGATTAAAACATATTTTTTTTATCCTTTACCAACTAAACAGCTAAGCGCAAAAAATAAACAATCCATTTTATACAAAGTTGATGATGCGGAAACACTCAGAACTTTATATATGTACAGAAGCAACTCTATAAAAATACAATGTACACAGTAAAGAGTAAGGAATCGATTGATCCGTTCAAGCGAGAAAAATGTCGTCTAAAACAATATGAAATGTAATTACCAATGTATGCTTTTGAATGCTATTGCAATTACCTAAAAGTAAGGTAGCTAAAATTCAAATTATGACCTGCAACTATCAAAAATTCTTTGACCCGAAGCATTCAAAGGCATTCCGTTGTAATGAAATATTAAACAAACCTCTGAGTATCTGGTATAGGAAGACTTTGATGTGGTCGGCTGAGAGGTGTTGCGGCGACACGATTATCTTGTGCAGGTCGCTCTGTAGTAGCTCCGTGATCACATAACTGTTGATAACTGGATGTTAAGGAAATTGTTAGAGCACAGTAGTATTTCAATTAATTTAATCAATTAGAAAGAAAAACCCGTGCGTCAATAATAAATATAATTAATAAAAGAAATAACATCACCAATCCGATATATCTAAAATGATAACTTTGTTTAGCCCTCAAAATTGCTTCAAAATTCTTTCAAATTCACATATAAATCTGTTACCTACGTAGCACAGCGAAATTGTTAAAGCTGCGAATATGATCGAGAGTAAATAAAATTATTATAATAGTCCATCCGTAATGACAAAACAACATCAACGGGACATCGCATATATAATCAATACTAGCATTAATTCAGAGCGATTTTGCCGATTAGAGCGCTAATAGGACTTTCACAAACAAACACGTACCGGGTAGCGCTAATGAGTACAAAACCGACCAAATTTAGTTAGAATTGGATATAGGCAACAGACATAAGGATTAATTTAAACACCCACGAAGGGAGTTTTCTATGGAGTTTCGAACGTCGCCTCCCTTGACCTCGGAAGGTTAGGAATGCTGAAGACCGACGACCGTTACTGCTATCTCGCTTATCTGCGAGCTAGGTCCGCCCCTCGTGGCCATTACCCAAATTACAGGACACGCTGCCTGCGGAATTATGCAGCACTTGTTGCGGTTAGTTCCTAAACTCAGTTCTCGAGGAATGTCTAATTCGAATAAATTTCTATACGCCGTGGAACGTGGCGAAAAGTATTTTCTCTTATATATATTTTTCTTTACCATTAAACCTTAAATAGTGATATAACACTATTTTAGATTTGCGCGAAAATTGTAACTAAGCCGAATCTGCACATTAAATATTTTTTGGAAAATCTTATTGAAATAAACAATATTATCGATACAGACGCCGAATCTATAGTTTTTAGAATTTTTGTCTGTCTGTCTGTTACCGCATCACAGAAAAACCACTGGAGCGATTTTGATGTTTGGTATGGTGATAGCTAGTTATCCGGGCCAATCTATATCTTATATATCTTCTTACTACCACGGGAAAATGTCTCATTTCAGAGAAAAAATACAAAAACTGCAATGCTAGAGTATACTAATATGTAAAACCTAAAAATTCGGTTTTTAGTCATCTCAATGCGAGCGTAGCCGCGGGCAATGCCAGTTTTAAATAACACGTATCTTTTCGGATTTTTTTGCGAATTTATTTCGCATTCGAAACGTCGGGAACCAAAAATCAACATAAATCCACGAAAAAATCCGAAAAAATAGATTTATTCAAAAAGTAAAGTAACATTAAAAGCCAATCGATAAGAGAGACGTCACAATAAAAAAATAAAACTTATATATATTTCAAATAAACCTCAATTTCCGAGTAAAAGCGGCATGAAATATTCATGCCAACAGTAACACACAATGTTAACTTATAGGTACTTATTGTAGCTGTATAAATATTATCTAAAATTAAAATATCGTATTCACTACAGATAAAACGTTAACAACGTTTGTACAATATGAAAATTTATTACCCTCCAGTCCTTGGCATGTACGAAACTATGTACCTTATGTATATACAAAACTCTTAGTAAAAGCCTTAGTAAAATATTCACACATATTTTCTCCCACATATAAATAGGTATACCTAAATAAGTTGGGACATTAACACGGTAAGTAGTAGTAGTCACGGTAAGTTGCATGGTAAGCTACGAGGCTTGTGTTATGGATACCAGATAGTTGATACACTACACATAATATATAGCTTTAAATACATACATATTATAAATATAAACACCCATGTCTGGAGTATAAGCATTCGTGCTCATCACACAAATGAACTCCAGTGGGACTCGAACCCGCGACTACTGGTACAGCAAGTAGGGTCACTACAAACTGAGCCAAACGTGTCGTCATCATAGAAAGATTTTTGTGTTAAGGTTAGGTTAGGTGGGCTATCTATTTAATCTCACAAATTACGGTCGTAGGGATACACGGCTGTATGACGTCACACGGCTGACAAATCATCCTGTCAGGTTAGGATCCCTGTGGACCGATACAGACCTCATATAATATATATGTGATAATAAAATAACCAGACATATTTCGTGTCAAGATAAAATATTATTTCAAAATTTATATAAAATAACAAATTTTATATATGTACATTGTACATAATATTATGAATAGAAATTATTATGAAGTCATCTAATGTGATCATTTGATTTGTGAAGCTTCATCGCGTACCTAATTTAATTGTCTGTATAAAACATTGGCTATACTTATTTAGTAGTTAGAAAACAAATGAAAATATAAAAAAACTAACGACTCACCTTCGCTTCACTCGGGTTTGTCCCTATGTACGTATAGTATAGTACGAGATTACCCCCAATAACGTCACAACTCACAAACTTTACCTATTTATAATATTAGTACAGATATATATTATTCTAACTATACGATGTTACATAAGTAGCTGTAAACGTAGTCGAAAGCAAAAACTATACTACATCCAAAGAAAAGGTCCGGAGTCAGTAATAAATAACTTTACGTCAGGTAGCTTCTGACCTATTTCTTGCAACAAAAAGAGAATCCACTAGCTGTTTTCAAGCAAACACAAAGATGCATGTTCCGCCGTGTGAACGTGGAATGCAAAATACCATTTGATAGGTACGAGTATATTATACCTAAGAAACTATAGGTTGGACAGACGCATTTACTTTAATAATTTAGCAACATGTCTGTTTTGGTATTCGTACGATTGAACCCTAGAGAGTTCGAACGTGCAGATAGATATATTTATTTTGTATGCACCCAGAAATAACATAATGGGTCGGTCGTTTAATTTCAGTGTTCATAAAAGGTCTTGTCATCGTTTATTTGAAACTAGCATTGCCCGCGGCTCCGCCCGCGTTCAGATGACCAAAAACCAAATTCTTAGGTTTTACATATTAGTATACTCTTACATTTTTATTTTATTATAGATAATTTACTATTTTGATTTGCTAAAAGCTTAAATGAATAGTTTTATTAATATACTAACGAAAAAGGGAAAAACAAATCTATCCCACGGGAACCGTACAATTTTCCAGATATATAAAAAGTAACCTACGTGCTATTCCAAACTATAATCTATCTCTGTGCCAAATTTCATCAAGATCCGTTCAGCCGTTTTCGCGTGATTGAGTAACAAACATCTATACATCCAAACTTTCGCTTTTATAATATTAATGGGATTATGTATGTCTAATTGAAAACGTAGAGCATTGTTTCAAATAGTTTGTATTATTTCCACGAGTAAATCTCATTTGACGCCATTCTCGGTGAAAAGCCAGGCAATCCTACAAAACCAAGTTTATCTAGATGGACACATTTGTGAAGCTTATATTTTAAATTAATAAAAGAAGCTTTAGGGCTATTCATTACTAAATTATACGGCTTAAATTTAACTCGTTTACACAAAAACACCGAAAAGTTGAGCCCAGATTCTTTAATAACGTCGTCACAAAATAGTGTTTATAATTTGAATTTATCATCAAAGGATGAGTAAGTAATTAAAATTTGCCGTAAATTCTATATATAAATATGATACAAGATACAGAATATCGGATACAATTAAAATTCGTACACTCAGTTATGGGGGCGAATGGAGACCATTCTCTAGAACTGCCGAAAAGCGATGCAAAGGAAACATAAAAACGCCATGACGAGGGAGCTAAGCTCGAAACTGTGAGGGGATGCGCCCTCGTGGCGTCGTAGTGGGCAGACGTAATTATTTACAGAGGGGCTGAGATTCCACCCCCTTCGCTGTTCTACACGATATATCACTATCTCAACTGTCTCTTACTGCTTACGACATAAGAACGAAAATAAATGATGCTGTATATTTTAAGGTTACACTTACATTTGATAGAGCATACAAAGGGCATACTCTAAGTGTTTGTGACTTGTTGCATTATTTCGTAAATTTAGATATAAATACAATTTATATGTATACTAGCATTGCCCGCGGCTCCACCCGCATTCAGATTACCAAAAATCCAAGTTCTTAGCTTTTACATATTAGTATACTCTTACAATGCAGTTTTTGTATTTTTTCTCAGAAATGAGATATTTTCCCGCGGTAAAAAGTCCTATATCCTATATGTTGACCCGGATATCCAGCTACCATCATACCAAATTTCATTAAAATCCCTCCAGTGGTTTTTCCGTGATGCGGTAACAGACAGACAGACAGACAAAAAAACTAAAAACTATAGATTCGGCCTCTATATCGATAGTGATGTCTATTTCAATAAGATTTTCCAAAAAATATTTATTGTACAGATTTGGTTACAATTTCACTTTATGTATATTCAGTTACAATCTTATTTTATGTATCGATTAAACACAAATTTACTATTCTGTACTTTTATCAGGCATGATGAGCAATACTTTAATATAATATTTGTAATACCATAAAGATGATCATTAAAAATACAATAAAAGAGCCATTCATCTTGTTTTCCGCTAAATTTATTCATGAGTAAACTTGAAGAAAAACGTATACTTCTAAAACCTCAACATTTCCCGTGTCATTAAAACTGAAGGCGGAAAATTTGTGACAACACCATAACTTTTGATGTGTTTGAATTAGAAAGTTCGAATAGGCACAAGGGAGCATCGAAGATCATGCAAATTAATTCCATAAAAAAGGAATATTTTTTCTTTATGACATAAAGAATGTAACATATAAGGTTCATTATTTTTAAGCTTTTAACTAACTCACTATGAGATTTAAAACAATTTCTCATTAAATTTAAATTAACTTCTTAAATCTTATCTATAGGTACATATAATAAAATTCTAACGAGTCGAATCTCTACATTAAATATTTTTTGGAAATTCTTATTGAAATAGACATTATTATCGATACAGAGGCCGAATCTATAGTTTTTAGGATTTTTGTCTGTCTGTCTGTCTGTCTGTGACCACATCAAGAGAAAACCACTGGACAGTTTTTGATGAAATTTGGT